AAAAAAAGAGGAACAAAAAAAAATCGAATGCTCGTTATATATGTATAACCGTCCGTTGAGTATGGTTCAATAGATGATGATGCTTCGAAGTGAACATTATAAATGCTCACTCTTTTCGCTCCGTCTCCCATTTTTTCCCTTTTTTATGCATAGTTTTTTTCCGTTGCGTTTCTTTTTCGTCCATGGATTTTGTATTCTATACACACGAATTAATATATGGCAAACCGACGTTCACTCAGCTCAGACTGAGGCAAACGCGAGAAATACAAAGAAAATGAGCAGACAATATATTGAACTAACTGGTCAGCTGAGCTGGGCTAAAACAATAGAAGCTATTCATATTATTGATCAATCACTTCTATTGTTTTACCCCATTTGGCTGGCTAACGTACTGTCATCCCAGCTGACCAGTTAGTTCAATATATTGTCTGAAAATGAGAAATAGAGTAGAGAAGAAAACATAGATGAAAAATTTCACACTTGAATTAAGTAATAACGGAAGCGAAAAATTCACCACACGACAAATGCAAATGGTCCATGTGCCTCTCATTTGTTTTTCAAAACAATAAATATAAACAGACACAATAAATACGTTTTCTCTCTCTCTTGCCCGCTCAAAAGGATCATCAGGTCGTGCACAAACAAGCAATATATACAAGCGCTGACCGAAGGCACATACACTTTTGTTATGTTTACAATACAAAGAACAAGAATCGAATTTCATTGTTAACTGGATCTATAGAATGCTTGTTATCATTTGTCGTCTGCATGTTTATGGCAACAGCAAACGAGAAAAATTCTGATTAAAAAAAAAAGTTGAAAGAAAATCAAGGTGGAAAAAAGTGCAGCCAATGATTTATTGAATAAACTTACATTTTCACAGCATTTCTCTTCAATATCTCCGCGTGAGCTTTTGATGTACTTCTTCAATGTTTGCTCGTCCCAATGAGGCAAAAAAGCATACATGCACACAGTAAATGTTGAACAATGATTATTAACCAAATAAAACTGACGAAAAGCAAAAAACGAATCGCAAAGCACTTTGACAAATGTTCAAATCTCAAGTCTCAAGTCTCAAATGAATCGTTCACTTAATTCCCACTGAAATATCTTCTCACACCGAATATTTCAACAAACGAAATATTGTCTCTAAGCCACAAAGTATGTAGCGAGCTACCAAGCACTGGCACGTAAATGTTTCTTTTTTACTTGTTCGTTTTACACTTGTTGGCACACTGGCAGCCAATATTATTATATGTTTCTTCGCTCAAGAGAAAGCTACGTCTGCTGCTGCTCTGCTTGTTGTTTTATTATATTGTGTGTATGACCACACATCAAGAGCAGACGAGGAGCACCACACAGCACACGCAATTGCAAATAACACAACGCTACGCACAATATCTGATCGCAAACTGTTTCGTTTTGTCGAAAATGGTGAAGACTGTTTCTTGTGGTATTTGATTTTGTGGTGTTATTATCCACACGAAATATATAAAAAAGGAAACTTTGCTACAGAGCAAACACGCCGTTTTCTCGCATACAACACGGCCCGGGGAAAATGCTGGATTGAGTGAATGAGTAAGTGCGAGCTTCGAAATCAAAATTCAGTGTGTATATGCCAATCGTGTATATTTCTCTCAAGCGTATTGTAGTCCACTGTGGACGAGTCGACACATCGATGTGTTGTGCCGTTGTCGTCGTTGTCGTCATTCTCATCGTCTCTGAATCTCGTTGTGTATTCAATGCATGGATAAAATGTTGGAGAAGAGAGTAAAAGGTGCACAAACAGCCAATAGAACATTTACGAGCATATACACATATTCGTTACATGCAGTTCTTTACCCTTGTCTGCTGTTGCTGTTGCTGCCAACGATGGTGCTGTTGCTCTATACTGTACAGCTGGGTGTTATGGCCAAACGATATTCACTGTTGTCATTTCGACGAGTCCCGTTGGATCGGCATGTGCTTAAGCGTGGCACATTTAACAAGATATTTCGTTGTTCGTTCAAATCAACGTTGTGCATGTATTTAAGCTTTTCTATTCCAGCGTCGTTACAATTTCAGTAAGGAGATCGAGACGCAATTGGTGGTTTTGCGCGTCGGAAATACGTTACACACTCACTTGAATTTCACCGAAAGTTTTCATCGCGCGCGAAAATTCACACAAGCAGCGAAGCAACGTTCTCAACACCAATTGGTGTTCGTGTGTATAGCGTATCAACTTCAAAGATCCAATCTAGAGGAGAGATACTTTGTGTATAATACGTGATATACCAAATCTCTTTCTCTTTCTCCCGTTTACCCATTTTCCACAAGACATTGGTGCATAGGAAACAAAAACAACAAATATCATTGCTCCACCATTGTACGCTTCATTCGATTCGTATTCATTGCTCGATGTGTTTTCCGCCACACACAAAGCTCATAACATTCACACGAATGGAAGAATTGAAAGAATGACATAGAATCAAAGTGTTTTAGCGGGGAAAATGCTATGCTATGCACATTTTCCATCGTTTCATATCGCCTGCTGTTTATATTACTACGTAGTTGTACACACATCAATATAGATTGTCGTCGCTCACGATATAGCTCCGTTTTAGATTTATGGTAATGTTGAGCAATGCAGAGCGATTGCGAATTTTATAATTTCTTTTTTTTCCCTTCTCGCTGCCATCTTCGTGCGTAGCCAATTTAGTATCCAGTACATATAAAATCGAGCTTTCCACATTATCATGAAACGTAATAGCGAAAACAACAGCGACAGCAATAACACCAGTCTATTGGTGGGAATGCTGACACAATCTCTTCTTCATTTTTGATAGATAAATAACCATGACTGCGCTTCGACAACACCTCATCAACGCTGCATGCGTTCGTTTACTGTTATTCTCGTTTCGTTATTTCGTGTCTCCTCTTTTTTTTGTGTGCACTATTCTTCCGTTCAGTCGCGGACAAAGATTTATAGCAAGCGTAATTTTCAACTAAAAAAAAAGAGAAAAGGCTACGAAGAGGAGCAAGATAAAATGATTTTTCATCGTGTCTGCAATTGAAGTCTGCTTCGTTTCGGGCAAATGTACAACTTTCTCTTTTGCCACTCTTTGAGTGTCAGACAGATGAGGGAAATTTGAATTTTCTATCGTGCTCAAACATATATCTACATATATCGATTATGTGAATTTTCTTCGGTAGCTTACTCAACGCAAAACGTAGTTTCAATTCAATTTGCGTGAATCGTTTTTTCTGTCTTCTTCTTCTCCTCCTTCACTTTCATGTGCTCATTTTTTTTTCTTGAATTACCATTGAAAATCACAACGCATCACATTCAATTCGATGAAATACCGTTTTTTCCATGATGTACGCTTTTGGATTTTCAGGCAGTTTAATAATTAAATAAGTCGAATGTGGAGAGAATGAAAGAAGAGGGTGTGAAAAAGAATCAAACAGGTTGCGTCAGTGCATGAAATCAAATATATTTTTGAAATGCCTTTAGGAAGTTGCGTTTAAAAATATTTAAAATAACGACTCGCGTAACCAAAAGAATTGTTCTTTCCCCTTCCATATCAATTAATATTCGCGCTCGATTTTGCAACCAAAATATGGTGTTGAAATATAAATGTTGGCTCATTCATTTCGGTTTTGAAACCAATCTGTGTGTGTGTTGTGATTCTCAATTTAAATTCTATTGTGGGACGCAAACAACATTCTTCTTACTTCTTGTTTACTTAAAAAAATACAGAGAGAAAAGAGAAATCAGTTCAACCGTTTCGCTCCGATTTTTCACTAACGAACTGTAAACAATTGCTTTGCTCACTCGTTATTATTTCACCAAAGGGATGAAAATCATTTACATTTTACATGTAACCAGTTTGTTAAAATGCCATTGAAAAGGATTTCCTTTGTTTGTTTCTTCCTTTGTTTTTCATCAGTCTCTCTCTCTCTCTCTCTCTCTCTCTCTCTTTCTCTCTCTCTCTCTCTCTCTCTCTCTCTCTCTCTCTTTCTTTCTCTCTCTCTCTCTCTCTCTTTCTTTCTCTCTCTCTCTCTCTCTCTCTCTCTCTCCCTCTCTCTCTCTGTGTGTGTGTGTGTATGAGCGGGTACGTATGGTATTCTTACTTAGAAGTCTTTTTCTACATATACAAACATAATACGGTAGAATTTATGTTATTGTTTCATCTCTATTCACGATCTAGTCTGCGACGACAAATCTTCCCTTTTGTCTTTGGCATCGTTTTACTTTTCCGCACACCTTTAGTGTAGGGAAGGTATTGTATTAGGCCAAAAAATTAAAGTCATCCCAAAACATGTTTTCTATGCATATTTAATATAGAAAACACGATTGGAGATTATTTTGGGGCATATTAATGTGCGTCGCTGTGTGTGATGTGTCCTGTGTCCTGTGGCGTGTTGCCAAAATTTGTTAACTCGATAAATCTTTTTCCAAAAACTCAATTCAAATTCTGACTTTGCAGGATGATTTGGGACTACTAGGAGACGTGCTGATTAGTTTTTGAGCAATATCTGTTGACCGGTGTAATTTTTTTTGGTCCGAATGGAGTACCCACAATCCCACATCCATACATTTTTGATCATTTCTCAACCATTTTGGTGACACGATGGTTTCGTGCTCAGACATGAAATTCAAAATGTGACTTCACGGGATGATTGGGCACTACGAGAAATAAATCTGGTCAAATTTTCAACGACATTGATTGATCTGTGTAAAACTTAGACTCTGAAGAGGCACTTATGAGAAAAATGCCTTAAAATGATATTCTTTCAATTTGAACGCTGAATGAATGTTTAGTGGGGGGGAGAAACCCGAATCTGATGTTAGTTTTAAGATGCAATCAATTTTTCACACACTTTTCATACAAAAATCCACAAAAAGTTTCATTTTTGTATGAAAGACTTGCCTTTGTGATACCGTAATGATCTGAAACTTTGAACAGGCTATTTTTTGGATTGAAATTTCTTCAAACTTGGTGTGATTATTTATTTTGATAAGAAAATAATATTCACAAGTTTTCACGGTAATTTAAGTTACTGCAACCATACAAAGACCATGATTTCAGTTTATTACCAAAATTTCGGTTCCATGCGGAAAAGTCAGCTTGCGTACGTAAGCCTCTTTATTTTATTTTGTTTTACACTAATTTTATATAATGTCGACTGTATGCTATATATCGTTTGAAATTGTTTCGTTTGTTCTACAAAAACTTTATGAAAGGAACATATAAATCTTCACAAAAGTCTCAACGAACGCCACATCCCTGCGCGCACATACAAGAACAGCGAACGATTTTCGATATTCTTTCATGCTCAACACAGATTTTATTGAATTAAAATTAATTTCAAACAATTCAACAAAAAAAAAACACCGCAATAGAAAATTATGCATGAAATATTCTGATAAAATCATCAAGAAAATCATGAAGTAAAAACAACAACACAGAAATGGTTAAGAAAACAAAAAAATCATCAAGACCTTTTAATTAAGTAGGAAGTAAAACTTACCAACAATTTCACTCGAAAATAAATCCCTTATTTTCGTTGAAATCATTTTCAATTTGCGAGAAAGCGAGAGAGAGAGAAAAAGAAAGGAAGAACGATCAAGAGCAAACCATCTGTGTGCATATGGGTAAAAACTTTTATTATTTTCATGTGACGCAAATCAGCATCAGCCTTTCACTCCATTGACAGTTTAAAAACAAAAATTCTCGTTTAGCTTATTTTGATGCGAAGTATAATCTAGGCGCGTTAGCTTTATTTCACAAGATTCATCGGCGCGTGGAGTGGTAAAAAAGCTGGCATTTCACTTGATCTGAGAGCATTTTCATACAAAATTCAATATATTCAAAAGTTTTTCGGGGTGATTAATGATTGAAGTAAAACATATGTATTTTACATAGTAATAGCCGAAATGCGAAAACACTTAAGCGAAACACATGTCGACTCAAAAACGTGTTCAAAATTTTCTAAATGATATTAGTAGCAGACGGAACGAAAATTGTTGAAAATCCATGTAAATCAAAGTGGATACGTTTACATGAAATGTTTGAAAACATCCAGCACCTACACAAGGTCGTCCCCAATCAAATGAACGCAATTCTATTTCCGTTGTAAATTTCCGCTCGGAAACGAATTTCTCTCACAGTCTTGTTCTTTTTTTGTCATCTCATTCTTTTGTTGGAAAATGGGATTGATGGTTACAACTGCATTCAATCATGACAAAAGTCAAACAAAATACAGAAAACGAGACAATATGTTGGTTTTATTTTTGTAGTAAAAAAAATAGCGTTCATTTTATTTAATAGGAATGTAAAATCGTAGAAAGTTTTTAAATTGGAAAAGGAAAATATGATTCATGCACTTTGATCGTAAAGAGTATATGAGTCACATAAAATTTTATTGTGAAACATCAATGAAATTTCTTAAAAATCTATTGTGCGGTGTGTCATTTCTTCTCCATTTCATTCCCATTCACTCCGTAGTTGTTCATTTTGATTCGGTGAAGTAGCCGGCAAGAAGTTTTTCCAATTTTCGTGCATCAACAGCGAATTTACGAATACCGTCGGATAGTTTATCGGTGGACATTTCATCTTCGTTCATCATCCAACGGAATTTGGCCTCGGTCAATTGAAGCTTTTCAAGTTTTAATTTTTTCGCTTCAACTGGATTCAATTGTTGGGGCACAGATGCATTGGTGCTAGCCAACTCAGCCAACAATTTTGGGCTAATTGTAAGCAAATCACATCCAGCCAATGCGGTCACTTCACCCGTATTACGGAATGATGCCCCCATAACGACGGTTTTGTAATCGAATTTTTTGTAGTAATTGTAGATTTTGGTGACGGAAACAACACCCGGATCATCATTTGCTGCAAATTGTTTGGTGTCTGTATTGGCGACATACCAATCCAAAATACGACCAACAAATGGTGAGATTAATGTCACGCCAGCTTCAGCGCAGGCAACAGCTTGTGCAAATGAAAACAGCAAAGTTAAATTACAGTGAACATTATGCTCCTTTTCCAAAGTCCTTTTTAAAAAAAAAAAAATATATACGACCGTCGATGTTTTGAATGGGCATAAGAAAAATGGAAGAGAAAAAAAATTGAAAATGAGAAAAAAATACACCCAATTCAAATGATGAAAATTCAAATTATATATTGAATGAGATAGAACAGACAATGGTACATACTTAGCTGCTTGGATACCTTCCCACGTTGATGCCAATTTGATTAAAATTCGGCTGCGATCGATGCCCAACTCCTCGTACAATGCAATCAATTTCAATGCCTTGTCAATGCTGGCTTGCGTATCAAACGATAAACGAGCATCCACTTCAGTTGATACACGACCTGGTACAATTTTCAAGATTTCCACACCAAACAACACCGATAGATAATCAAAAGCTTCGGCGATTTTCTCATCAACAGTTCTAAAAAATTCGAATAACAAACCGAGAAATGGAATGAAAATAAAAACAAAAACGAAAAATATATCTTAAATAGTCAAATATAATCATCGTGTATGGTGTAAAATGTTGCTCGAAAATGAGCAATTAAGTTAATGAGATTTCTGAATTTACCAATTTGACAATGCTCTGAGTTTGTGCAAAAAGCAAACCAAATGGATAGACAAGACAAAATGACATCGAGATTATTGAATACATATCTATGTATACGCATGATGTGGAGTGGGGTGAACAAAAGATACTTACGTTCCTGTTTTGTTGCCATGCTTAACAGCACATTGGATGAGATGTTGGTATTGTTCTTGTTGGGCGGCTGATAGGATCAACGATGGATTTGTTGTGGCATCAGTTGGCTTGTGCGCTTTCATAGCTATAAAATAATTCAAGTTGAAAACATCTCAATTTATGGGGATTTCACATTGTGGTCATTAATTCATTTAATTGCTATCAACGGGAAAAAATCGTATATATCTGCTATGGTTTTCGGTTTTTTCTTTATAAATGAAGCGCTTTGAATTTCGTCTGATAAAACATTTCAACCACACACACACACACAAAATGATTGGCATACTGAATATGGGGAAACGAAGTGATTTCAGTGAAAATACCAAAAATGAATAGAAATGCCAGATTGATTGTTCATTTTAACCTTTGAGGAAGTAATTAAGTGCTTTTTTCTGAAAGACGTGAAGAGATAGAAGCTGAGAGAGAAAAATGTGAAAGGTATGAGGGCATTAAGGCTTTTATTTAACCAGGCTCGTTAATAGCTTTATTTGTGCTAAATGCGGCGTGAACAATGTCTTTTTCGCATTTTCTTTTTTACGCAACCCATTATCCTGACGATTCTATGACGATGTTTTATATTGATATTTAAGCGCGACCCTTACCCATCGCTTTTCCCGATTCCCTCTTTCTGTCTATGTCTTTCTCTGACACACCCTCAATCTCTTTTTATTTGTCTTTGTCTGGGGCTTTTAAGTTTGATTTTGTGTGGGCTGATACACAGAAAATTTATTTTTGGTAAATATGAAGGTGAATCTGTAAGTTTAATATTACTTTTACCAATTACCGTACGAATTTTACCATTTTGTCATCTTCGACAGTCAAGCGGCAATTGGTAAATGTAATATGTGGAAAAATTTCATCTGGAATTGAAAAAAAAAAAATCGTTTAGCTTTGCATTTACCAAACAAAAAAAAATGCTGTGCAGAGTAAGCGTTTTCGCAAAATTTCATTTGGTTACATTATTTAATGTTCGGTTTTCTGATCGTCTCTAGTCTCTTTTACTATTCTTTGCGTTGCTATCTTATCATACGATGTTAATCTGGGTAAACCTTTCTCTTGTAAATAGAATTGATGTAGGCGCTACTATAATATCTTGCCATAGTCTATTGCTTTATAGCTTTCTAATTAGAAAATGTTTTCTTATCTCGGTTATATGGCCAAAAGTTTGCCGTTGTATTGAAGTTGATCGACCGAAAATTTACATGTATTGGGTGTGTTGTGCGAATCCTTTTACAGCAATCGCAAGTCGTAATTGTAATGTAAAAGAATCCCACCGATACACAGAAAGTGAGCCGCATGGAATTATCACGTAAATGAGGGAAGAGTTTTGTTGTAAACGATACGCGCCGTAGTATACACACTCTATGCTCTTTATTTTTTGCTATGTTCTTCTTCTTCTTCTCCTTCTTTCAATTAGCAATGTTGTTGTTGCTGCCTGGTGTTGATGGTGATTTTGTTTTGTTGTAACAATGTTTGTTATTTTTGTTGTTGATGGTGATTTTGATTGTCCGTTTTGCGGACGTTTGTGCGCACGTAATGGTCAAATGTTTACGATAACCTTTTAATTCTCATGTGCAGCAAACAATTTATTTGCCATGCAATCGTTTTCGTTATTCGAGCGCTGTTATGTTCAAGAGCGTGAGACAAATGTTTTTATGACATGAGATCGAGAGCATGCTTGAAATTTCCGTTATTACGCGCTCTAATCTCTTCGAGTGTTTTCTAGCACTTATCGCCGAGAAACCATAAAAAAATATTACACAAAAATTGCAATGCTACGAGAAACTTTAAAGGTTTACAATGTTTTGTTCGCTCTTCAAGAAAAAAAAAAAAAAAAACAATAAAATAACACCCGATCTCTAGAAGGTCTAATAAGTCTTATTTGATTTCCCCCTTTCTCTCTCTCTCTATCGCGCTTTTTGATTGTCTCTGTTGTTCAATCACTTTCAAATGCCGTCTAAGGTGTGTATTTGAAGTTCATACGTTCAATGCGCAATCAAAGTTGATTTATTTATTGTAAACGATCATAGTGTTGTTGTTGATTTTTTGTTCTCAATATTCCAAATCGTGTAACATGCGTGCAATGTGAAAGCCAAGGTCAAATGTTCAAACCAATTGCATAATTCAATGACTAGAAAGTTTTTATTTGTTATTTACGTCGTTGTCTTTTTATTTGACTATGAATCGATTCCGTGAGTGCGTGTTACACACTCATTTAATGACAGACATACAAACCCGAACAAACATCATTATAGAAAATGATGTGCATGTGTATAGATATTCAAATGGAAATGGTTGGTGCGCTTAACATCCATTTGACTACAGTCCCAAAATGCCAAAGGGTTAACGAGCACACAAAAATAAATAAAAACGGAAGACAACGTTGTAGTTGCACGAACCATTTCATTTTAAATTGAATACATATTTCCACATACCCTCAAAATCGCCGGTATCAGCTACGATGGTTGTCATCGTTTTCAATTGGTCCAGAGCGGAGCCAGTTTTGCTCTTTTTCACTTGTGGTTCACTCATTTTCGTTTCTCAATTTCAAGTACACAAAACAACGAACGAAAAAAGGGTCTCGGAAAATTGCCAAAAACTACACGACAAGAAACCAAAAAAATAAAACTATATTGAAAATTACAAGCGGCAGCACCAACTAATCCGGTTCGAATAACAGCGCCGATCGGAATAAATTACGCTCAATCGACAAAACACGTATCAAGTACGTTCGACGATTTTTAGTACGCACAATGTGATACGATGCACGTTCGCATGTAGTTGTGATGTGTATGTATACTTTTACATTCAAAATGTTGTTGATTTCAGCCTAATCGGCATTATATGACACTATATGGTTGATGGTGTTTGTGCATTCGGCCACTCTGTCACATACAATTTTTTACAAAAATTGTGTATACATTTCATATAAATCGTTGGTTTTGTTGTTGCTGTTGATACTTTGATAAGTGGCATTTTGAATGGCTCCATTTTCGATGTCATCGTATGACACGATTGTGTGTATACTGTGATGCAACGCACCGTTGGCATGATCGAATGTAAAAGAACAAGCAAAAAATGACTCGTTAAATTAAATTAAATTAGCAACAGTGGCTAGATACTAGTTCAGTCAAATTGCTATTTTTTAATATCGGAACATAGTCACAAAAAGGAATTAGAATAGAAAATTACTGGAAAAAACAACATACACTATATGCACGCATACATACACTGAATATACAAAAATGATACACACACACACAGTCGACACAACGAACTGTCAACGTCACACACAACAAACGAAATCAATGCGGTGTTATCGTGTTGTGTTTTTTTCTGTTTCTTCTCATCATATTCTTCATGTAAATTATTTTTCGACTATACGTTTTCAATTTATTTGTCCCTTTTATTAGTTTTCTAATTCAAAGTAATATTTCAATTAAAATCTACATTTTATACGCATACACATTGAATTTGATGGAGTTATTGAATCGTGTATAATTTAACAAATGAAATTGTCATAAACAAACTAATATTTTGTGTACATTTGTGTGTTCTGCACGACGTTTGTCCGAAAAGCAATTAATTAAAATTCAATAATAATAAAAAGTGTTGCATGCACATTAGATTTGCATTAATGGCCAAGCTATAACAACAATTCATTCTTTTCAGATAAATTAGGGGTGGACAATACACAGTTTTTTGTATGTGTTTTTTTGTTTCGATAAATTTTTTTCCAACAAATTCATTCGAACTGATACGCTGAATGGATTTGTCAAACATTTCAATCATTCACTTAATCGACTAGCATACAATTTGCTCATTTTTCCTAACTAAATACCATGGATGAAGTCGATAACATTATCATTCACTCATTGCGACAAATTGGGTGGTAAGCATTTTTTTTCTTAATCATTTTAAAAATTTGGGCTTGTTTCAATCACTCACTATGAGTCATTCTTTTTTTTTTAAATTTGAATAGTAAACTTGATGGTGAAGTAACAAGTTTGGTTGACTTTACGCCTGAACTGTTGGTACATTGTACCGCAAAATGTTTACATCTCATTCAACCAGATCTTGAAGTACCTGAAAGTCTTCCACCAGGTAAGCTGATGTACATTCACCGACCATTTTGAATTCGATATGAAGTATGAATGATTAATTCAATACAAAAACCATACAGGTATAGCACAGCGCTACAATGTGACCACTGCATTGGCGGAGGCATGTGCCGTAAGTAGAAAATTGCCTTTTTCACCTCTTTCTCTTTCTCTCTGCTTTTTCAAATTGTGCAAAATCGATTAACCAGTTTTTGTCTGTCAAACAGTCAGTGGGATTTCGTGGCGATATCGGTTATCAATCGTTCCTTTATTCAAATGTAACGGAGGTGCGTCGTGTATTTATGTTTTTGATTGAGCGACTGCCAAAAGAAGCAGACAAAGAGCATTTGGATGAAATTCATACGGATCGTAAATCATTGCTTGACCATAACATTCGACAAAATATTAAAATTCAATTGAATGCCGCATGGACACCGCAATATTGTAAAAAATTTGGTGCACGTAAATTTGGTAATTTAATTGCAATTCAAGCATCAAATAATGGTTTTTTACCGCAAAAGCTCAATGTACCGCATGCAATTGAAAAGAATCAATCGAACGAGCTTAATGAATATTGGTCAAAGCGTTCGCCAACAATATTCCAACAGACGACCAGTAGCAATATATGTGCATCGTTGATTCACAAAAATGATCAGGATTTATTGGGTTCGCAGGTCACAATCACTGCAAGCAATGATGAAAATCAGAAACCAGTGCCAATATTGCAACGAAACTTTCGAAAATTGATAAAAATTCAAAAATCAATCGTTGCACCATCGTCATACATAAAAAAAGACAACCTAAAAAATGTGACATCGGTACAACAATTGGCATTGAACAATGTTGAAATTCCAAATGAAAATGATATTGTGGTTATGCCAGAGATTCGTGAATCGGATGCCATACGATTTGAAATTGAAAAAATGAAAGCTGAAATTAAGAATTTACTACAGCATCGTCAAGATCTACAATCACAAATGGCTGAATGTAAAACAAGCGCTAAAACATTAACCGATCAATTGCCACAATTGCAAAGTGAGAGAAAACTAAAAGAACGTACGCATTTGCTATTGGAAAATCCAGAAGAGAATATTGAGAAAATGAACAAAGTGCTGGCCACATCACATGAACGTATCAAAAAATTGAAAGATCAATGGGACGAGCATCGTATTCCATTGGAACAACAAATTGAAATTGCACGAGGCTCTTCCAACTCAAAATATGTACGCATTATACTCAGATTTGCTTTTGAGCATTTCATAATTTCATTGTTTTACTTTTTTCTTTTTTATACAGTCACACACAAAGCAACTTCTTGACGAAATTAAATTAACGAAAGAGGAGACCGAAGAATTGGCCGATAAATTGAAACAAAAAGCCACACTACATGCAAAACTAGTCGATGAATTTGAAAAAAATAACCGGAATTTAAACAGGTTTGAATGATATTCATAAAATGAATTATTTTTCTTTTCTCAATGTGCAATTTGTGTTCGAATCTCTAGGAATTCGTATACATCGCGCATTTTAGAAATTATCGGAAATATTCGCAAGCAAAAAGCCAGCATCGATAAAGTTTTAAGCGATACGCGTGATATACAGAAAGAAATCAACACAATAAATGGTCAACTCGATCGACAGTTTACCGTGACCGATGATCTGCTATTCAAAGTAACTTTTTCATTAATTTGGCTAACTTTTTTCCGATTTGTCCTCTTTGAAGAGACTCCAATTAATTCGGTTTTTATTTATTGCTCTTTACATTGCAGACAGCAAAAAAAGACGAGCCATCGAAAAAGGCTTATAAGCTATTGGCAACATTACATTCGAATTGTGGTGACTTAATACAAATGGTTAATGAAACGGGCCAAGTGGAACGTGAGATTCGTGACCTTGAAGATCAAATTGAAAATGAACGTGATCGGAATATTCCCGATAATTTTAAACGCATAACAAACGATTTAAAATTACTGGAAACCGAAGCCAAGGAATTACAAGAGAAAATAAACGTGCTCAAATTGTAGCCTTCTTAGTTGCCTGTTCTGTACTAGATTGTAGTTTCAATAACAATACATCACAAACAAATGTCAGTTAATTATGGGATCACTATATATATATAGTAGTACACAGATTTTAGCCAAACAAACAAACATGTGGAGCAAAGTTTTAAGAGTGCAGATGCCACAGATGCCACAGATGATTTAGTATTTTTTCAAAACACACACACACCTAAACACATAAACGCATTTCAATTGAGATGGTGTGTTTGTCGTTAAACTGGATTTTATCACATTAAAATCATTATTAAAAGAGAGAAAAGTGTTCTTGTTAAGATTATTACATGCAATTATTAAAATAAAGAGACAAAAGACTCATAGAGATTTAAATCATTTTATACATTTTAATTATCCCGATAGTGATTCAATATTCGGGAGAGTTCAACATACTTGACAACTAGATCAATCTCAAAGTTTTGCAAATTCTTTAGCTACTTTTCACTTATACCGTGCATCACAGGGCGTCTTTATGATGGAAATTTTATTGAAAACAAATGATGTGTATTCTAAAAAATCTACATAGATTTCTTTTATTAAATATTCATTAGACCTATACAACAATATTTAAGTTGATCAACGCAATTCATGCTTGCGTTGCGGTTAAATATTCAGTTTCGTTTGGCGTCAACTTCTGGCGGTATATACGAGGTTTCCGCTGTTTTCTTTTCACGCCCATAAACCTTTTTCTCCGTATGATCGCCTGAAATTTTTTCCAATTGCAAATCGATTTTTTCTTCATTATCAAAGAACCATAATTTCTCCTCTTGTTCGCTCATGGTTTGCATCAATTCGTCGATTTTTTTGAGCCGATTATGGTGATCAACACGAGTCAATTCCTCTTGTAATTTTGTTTGACGGATTTGCTCCCACAATGTGTAAATCTGTAAATGAACCGCGGCATTTACTTTAATATTTCATTCGTGTTTTAATGTGCAATATATGACATGTATACCTTTGTCTGTTCTTCAATTTCCTTGGCTTCATTCTCTTTAACGGTCTGTACAGCTAATTTATGGATGACATTTTCGAGTGATTCTGACTCCAGTGATGTGCTTGATTCGGCCAATTTGTCAACAGCTTCAAGAAATTTTTTATAATTTTCATCCGTATCGCGATCTTTAATCTAATCAGAGTTTTAAAAAAATAGAATGTTTAAGACAACAATAGAATATAAGTTTACAACTAAAAATAAAAACCAATTTACCTCGGCCAACTGTTTTTTCGCAATATCAACGGCATCTTTGTACAATTGATTTTTATTGGCAAGTGATTCGATGAATTGAATGCCATCGGCGTATTTTTCATAATATGTGTATCCCATTAATTTGATCGAATTACCAATTGCACCATCAAAATATTGACCAATTGCTAAAAATGTTTTGCCAACTAAATGATGACTGTTGCGTAAATCAAAGTGATCATCAAAATATGGATTTCGTAAAAAGTTGATTCGGACCCGAATTTCTTCTTTTTTATCACGTTTCTTTGCCTTCTTTGTGGATCGTGCATCAGCTATGGCGCGCATTGCTTCCGATACTTGACTCGCGAGTTCAGCATCAGTTGCTTGATTTTTCAACAGATCATCGAACGGTTCGGCATTCTCCAGATATTTGTAACATGCATACAACGACAGCATGCGATTGATTGGATTTTCGAAATTCTCTTGGAGCATTAAAAATGTTGACACTTTGGCTGCCATTCGATAATCTTTTAATTTTATCAATTTATCGAGACAAAGATTTGCGGTAAATGAATCCAAAAATACACCATAGCTCAATCGATCATCGAGAATATAAACCAAATTCTCAAAATCATTGTCACTAAAATCCAAATGATGCCGTATGACGGCATGTGATGTTGATGCCAATGTATTGGACGTTTCAGTCGATAATCGCATTTTGTGCACCATATCCGATAATTCATTCAACATTTTATTGTCATTCATTCGATTTACAAAAATGTCAAAATCGACGGCACACACTTTGCCCTGTTGATTGAATTGCCGTTCCAAATCATAGTAGAATAAATCAGGCCGAATCTTTTGCAGAATCGGGGATTTTAAGCGATTCTCCCAAGCCTCCGAACATTTGTATGCTTCGGATAAAAAGTAACGTACATTGGTGGCTTTCACATGGAATTTGTTGAGGCACACTTGTTTCCACATCATTGATTTCCGTTTTCAAATCTTTTTTCCAAAATTATCGTTTACTGCATGCATAAAAATGTCGAAGTCAAACTGAAAATACAATGAAATTGTTTAATAACCGGTGTCGTCTACAAAATTCCCTTGCACAATTCACAATAACAATGTTAATTCGATGAAAACACCGTATTTGATGCAAATCGACGCAATAACACGAATAATTATTATCACCTTTTTTTTGTTTTTGTTGATCGATATTATCGGCACACAATGTGAAAGATAGAATTGGCGATGGAGATATGTCTTTTCTTTCCATTCGCTGAGTCGCAACAAAAGTTTTACATTGAGGGTTATGAAACTGTCATTCGCATTTCGTTCACAATGTATACACATGGATTTGACAAATCAAAATACACAGCAAAAATGAGGCAGCCCTATGTGAAAGGTGCGCAGGGTTTTATAATTCAATAAATGGTCCTGTTTTTTTACGTTCCGAATTTGAATAATTCATTTCAATCAGCCCATGAATAAATAAGATACAAATAAATTAAACGAATGGAATTTATTTATTTTGTCTCTGTCTTTATTTGATGAATTCTTCCAGGGTAAATTACAAATTACAAAATAGATTATAAGATGTGTGTGTGTGTGTATGTATGTGCAGAAGATCGGCCAAACACCACAAAATTCATTGATTAAGCTGCGAGTATTTTTTTTTAAAACTTTGTTTTGTTTAGGTTTTCATTTGTGTGTCATTTATTCGTTTCCATATTAATTATGATAGCAAATAAAGATTATCTAATGTGTGTGTGTACTGTTTTGAACTCTAAAGAATTGGTCATAAAGATTGCATCAAATTTTTAAACGTTTAATTTTTGAATTGAATCGATCTGTATTTTAAATAAAATATACTGATCGCTTCAATTTAAAAATCGTCTGGTAAAATTTTGGGGTGAAACTTTGATTTCATCTAGATCTAGAGAAGAAAGAGGACGATATTACTATGCGGATGCATTGTTCAACTCTTTTTTGCTCGGATTTTTATTTTAAATTCAAAACATTGTCTGGTTGAAACAGGGCTTACTAACTCATCATCCTTTCAAATAGGATGAGATGACTCCTCACATGTTGTGTCGGTGTGTTTTTTTGTGTGAAGATGTCTTCTTCTTCTTCTTTTTTTCGAAATATTTTCTGATGTGCCATGGATATGTTAGATAAAAGTGATGATGAATTTTGATGAGAGTTTAAAATATATGTACGATTTTTTTGAGGGATTATGCATATGGTTTCATGGTAATAGGTGCTCATTGAAATTCTTTTATTGTTTTGTTTTTAAATGCAATAAATTGTATGTGTATTATTCACGTAGTGTGTTGAACTCTATTGCATAATTGTTAATTTTTAAGTCGTTTTCTTAAAATATAAATATTATTTTGAACAAGTTTGAAATTTAAAAGTGGTTAAATATCGGTTTTCATTTCGATTATTGTTTGAGAAATAGATTTAAAAAAAACCAGGAGTACTTTTTTTATTGAAAGGGAAAATAACAGAGTCGCATTTTTGCACGATGTTTTAAATCATCTGGAGAGACTACTAAATATAAATGTTCTGTTTAAACTGTTTTTTTTTCTTCAACTATTAGGAACTGTTTATTATTAGATTTTAATTCCACTACGTGAACTATTTCATTCGTTACTGAAAACACTGTGAGTCATTTTTCAAATGGGACGCTCAATTCAATGGCGTCATTCGTTTTTCTCTATCACGACGGAGTTTTTTACAATTTTCCTTGGAAGTTTTTTTTTATTGATGCCATTTTTGGCTTTTCAAAAAAATTCCAAGGAAAATTGTAAAAAACTCCGACGTGATATAGAAAAACGAATTCAGCGTCCCAAAATTATGCGGAAATGGTGTCTTTCATGTCAGTTAGATTTTTAGTGACGCACAGTGAAATGATTAGTATTTTCTCTTTAAATAAATGCATGGATTATCTATTGAGAAAACAAAATAGTGGCTATTTTCCATCCATTTCTCATTAAATTGACCATCTCTATTACCATGAGTTCTCTTATTTTCATTTAAATCACCATTGTAAGTGTTATTGTTCCATTTTGTTCAGTTATGCATTCAATAGCCCCTTTATGTTAATGTGTAAATATGAAGTATTTTTTTTTTGTTTCGTTAGTTTGAATATGAATATGATTATATGTGATGATTTTTTTGTATAAATTAATTGTTTTCATTCACAACAATATGATTTCATGCGATAATGTTTATAATAAGTGTTTTAGTTTCATTTGTTGTTTTGGTAAAGTTCCTTTGGTAGTTATGTTTTTCTTTTCCTTGAAAATGTAATGTTTCCATGCAAAGTGAAGATTATGTATACGTTAAATTCAAAGTGTCACATTTCTTTATCATTCGTTAGTTGAGATTTAAAGAGATTTTTTTTTTAAAATACAGATGAATTATTGTAATTTTTTTTGTTTGTTTGTTTCTTTTTTTATGATAAATAATTGTATTTATAGTGTGAAGAGATCAAATGACAAAAAAATCTTGCACAACTTCAAAGTCGTACACTCATGATCTCTGTCATCACAAAAAATGATTTTCGCTATAGTAACGACGGAACTATAAGTTTAACACTGTGTACGAGTGTAAAGTTGTAATATTATCACATTAAGAATGACAGGTAGATGTAAATGTAAAACGGAAAAATAGGAAGCAGACAGTTTTAATAATTGAAGCGATTCATTCGAATGAAGAAGAAAAGTGTGTGTTAGCAAACGATGATAAGCGAAGAACGATGACACATCATATGTGTGACGGAGTGGAGAAATGGAGTGGCTCTCAAAATAAGAACTATTGTTAATATTTGTCAAGTGAAATGTCACGAACAAAAATGGCACAACTCGTTATGAGTGTGTAAATGAATTGAGAACAATAAAGAAAGAGATAGATGAAGATTTTTTTTTTTTTTCGAATAGAAAATGTTATAAGGAGCATATATTTGCTTTCCAATATGCTTGTACGTGTTTTTATAAATGCTGGGTCATATTTTGCACCCATGTTATGTATGTGCTGATTTACACTGTCATAAATAGTTTAAATTATGTAAAACTTAGTCATTAATACGGTTGTAATTTGTTATTGTCCGATAACGCCATCGATATAGATACAGTCACTCTCATTTTCCATAAGACGGAAAAAATCGCAAAAAAATTCAAATTTTGAAAAACTCTTCTTGGTGTGGCTAAATATGACCCTCAACTGGAGCGGAAATTGGTTTTTAGAGTTATAACGCAATCAGTATGATTGACTAAAAATCCCAAAACTTCTATTGTAAATTCTCAATTTTTGGTTATTTTTTTATATTTTCAAGTGTTCACAAATTCGCACCTACAAGTTAGCTAAAAGCTCTTGATAAGTCTCAGCGGACCTGATTATGTCTATTCAATATGTTTTTTTCTGTGTATTGTTTGGTTACAAAAGTGCTTGAAAATCAAACTTTCCTGGGGGGATCAAGGGAAAAAATAGCCAAAAGTGGGCTCATTACATTATTCAATAACGACCATCAACCGATCGATTTCAAACATTTTTAGTCGAAAAATGACTTACATTCAATGTAGGTGTTGTATGGAACAATCAACTTTCAACAGAACTCTTAAAACCAGTTTCCGACCAAGCTGCGGGTCATACCTAGCCACACCAAGAAGGGTTTTTCAAAATTTGAATTTTTCGCGATTTTTTGCTGTCTTATGGAAAATGAAACTGACTGTATTTTTTGTATTGAATAAAATGGAAAGCATCTTCATTTCACTTCTCCATCAAACTTTTTTTTTCATGTTTGTGTTAAATGTAAATATCAGGCGAAACCCTTTATAGAAAATGCATTCTTAATTCGGCGTATTTTCATGCCAATTTCAATTGATAGTCTTCCCATCTTTGACCCAAGCATCTATTTAATCACCATTGCATGTTGCAATTTTTTTTTATTTATTGTGTAATTATCATTTTCTCCATTCGATGAATTACCGATGATAATATTTTCTTTAAATTATCTTCAAAGCATTTCCTGCAATTCTTTCCTCTTTTAAATTTTAATCATTTTATTGTATTATCAAATGCCGATACGATTTTAATGTTGTCCATGGATAGGCCAATTTATTGTTTTGTTCTTTCTGATGACATTTTTTTTATCATTTCCGCAATCAGAACCAATTCAAATGGCAAATAGAAATGCACATTTCTATTTTCATATCTCTCTATTCTCTCTTTTTTATCAATCATATAATTTGTTGTTTTAAAGCTGTTATTTGACCAATGCAAATGAGAAGAAGATAAACATACAGATAAAAAATAAATCCGCATTTTTTCAATAATTATACTTGATGGTGTTAAATAAAATTGATATATTTTTTGGGTAAAAGCGTGTATAAAAAATAATTTCGAAATAATTGTGTCTTTTTTTCAGGAGCCTGATTATAAAAACCAATCGAATTGTTTTTGTTTCATTTATTTTGATATAATACAGATTTTTTTTTAAACATAAAAGACAAAAAATAAAGATTTGAAGAAAAAAAAACATATATATTTAGTCGATTTTTTTCTTTTTCTTCTTCTTCTGTCATAAATATCTTGTTTTTGTTTTTCTTTAAGCTATATAAATACATTCTTTATTTCATCATCTTATTCGACGTTCGCTTAATTTTCTTTATCTTACAAAAAAATGATATCATCTGTTTTATGCAATTTTCTTTTCAATGTCTTTCATACATTGACAGTGTTCAGTCAAATTCTAGGTTTTTGCAAACTGAATTCGGAAAATGTTTGATTGATTTCTTCGGCAATATTTTTTTTAAATCTTGAAATTTGATGTATATAAGTTAAACGTATGTGTACTGTAGCTAATGAAAGCATTGACATTATATTTGCTGTTGAATTATTTCTTTCGCTTTTCTTTGTGCGGTTAATAATCTCGCAGACACAGAAAATAAAAAATTCCTAGCGTTCACAACAACAAAAATAAAACATTAATATTTGATCTATTGTAATATGCAAAAAAAGCTTTGAACAAAAGCAAGAATTTAAGAACCTGAATTGATTCAAATCGAGCGTAATTCAATGCTGAAACTTCGATCTACATTTTGTTTTTCTACGACATTAGCGATCGATCTTTCTTTTTCCGTCGTTTATTTTGGCTCAATTTGATAATAAATATTTTCACTAATGTTTTGCGTCCATGAAATGGTTTCAAATTTGTTCAACGAAATGGCTGTTCTTGTTTAAATTTTTCGTCTGGGAATTGTTCATTGATTTCGTAGAATTTGTTCCAAATTGAAAGAAGTCATCAATTTATTCATTTTTTGGACGCAAAAACGAGGCAATTTTGGACATGTTCTCTTATTTAATGTGCAGTGAACGTAATACACGTAAAATACCTAGTTAACTTAATATCTCAATCAATTCTCAGCTCTTTTTTCTGAATCTGAATCATTTTTTTTTGTTTTTTTTTCTCGTTTTTTTTTTCTTAATTTAAAAAAATACACATAAATTAAATAACAAAAATGCGGAGCCCATGGTAATAGTTGCGGACGTGTAAGTGTGTGAGTGAGGCAAGATGCTGTAAAAGAAAAATTGGCGCGATAAAAAAAAAACAACAAAAACAACTTAATATGGTGAGCGAAAAATGTGCGTTAATGGCTTGAATATGAGAAAAGCAGCTTGCAGCATTAAATAAAATGTTGGAAAATCAAAAGAAAAATTACACAACAAACAAACTCGAAAATAGAACAGAAAAAAAATAAATAAAATGGCAAACGTGGTTAAACACCAATCAAAAGAAAATATGTGTTAGTTTGTGTTAAATGTCGGCGAAAAAAATTCCATGAAAAGGAGGAATTACATTGTTATTTCTAGGTTTTTCTTTCTCTCTCTTTCTCTCTCTCTCTGAAAATGGTATGCAATTTGTTTCGAAACAATGCACTAGAATAATAAATATTTTGCTGTGTCAAGATGTGCTTTTAAGTGGAACAGAGTGACATTCGTTGAAATCACGTTGCTGTGCACGTGAATAAGGGAGATTTGTTCGTTAAACTAAGCCTAAAGTCATGTGTTATGATATTGAGAGAGAGGAAAAAATACAGTGTAACAAAAAATGGATTTAACGAATAAACAAAAGGGAACTAAAGATTTCACACAAAGTGATTTGAATGAAAAAAAAAAAAAAATAATGTGAATTTCAAAGGAGAAATTCAGTAAAAAATTGTTCTTTCTTTTGAAGAAAAGAAAAAAATTCACTTGGTGGGTAAATGTTGACACAAATGATGTAAAATTTCTGCTTAGTTTTTCATTTGATGAGACGATGGATTTGAATGTTCATCTGAAAAGACGTTGTTATTGTACTTTTTTCTTTTGATATTGTAAAGAAAATGTTAAAAAACTAAGCCGCAAATTAGAGAATTAACGCACGTAAAATTGAAAATGTTGTTTCGAAGGGAAAAAAAGCAGTATAAAATATATATCTATGTATATCTGAAGATTTTAAGGGAAGTGGTAGCCCCCGCTGGAGGCGCGTTGGTTCCTATGATTTAGAATTAAAATTTCAAGCTTGATATAGGTAATTTCCTATTGCAATGCTGCTGAATTTCTTTCTAATTGAGGTCTTAAACTCAATAACGCCCATTATGTATTTATTTGATTTGTGATTTTGATAAGTGTTGTTTGTTGTTTCTTGTTGTTGTTGTTGTTGTTGTTGTTGTTGTTGCTGCTGTTGCTGCTGTTGTTATTGTTATTGTTGCTTTTTTCTCTCCGATCCGTTTTTTTTCTTTTTACTCACTCATAAATATGATTTACAAACGTCTGCGTGGTTCCGTCGATGATGGGGAACCTCGGTGCGCGCTATTCTCACAGTTCACATCATTGGTTTTGTCAACATCACCCGCTAATTGTCATACGAAATCCATATCCGTTTTGGTTTTGTACATACGTTGCTCCATTGTGCGTTCAAACCATTTTTTCACCTCGGATACAATGAACACGGACGATGTTAATGTCACCAAAAATATTAAATCGTATGCGGTCAACGCTTCCGTTTGGAATACCTAAGGGGAGAATCACAAAAGAAAAGAATTAATTTAAAATAATCGACAAATAATCCGTTTGGAATACCATTTGTAGTGGTGGAAAATAAATCACAAGCAATTGGCCAATGAGTGAAAATCCAACGGCAAACAAAAACATTTTATTGGTAAATAAACCAATTTTAAAGATGCTTTTTGTTTGTGATCGACAACTGAGCGCATTGAACATATCGAATAATACAAAACAGGTGAATGTCATTGTTGTATCACGTTTTGTTCGACCGCCGGAACCGTCAAGCATTTCACGTTGAAATACCCATAGTGTGCCCAAAATTATAATGCTTGCTGATAGTAAAACGTTGATTATGACAGACTTTGTGATCATCGGTTGTTTAACGTTGCGTGGCCGTTGACGCAACACATCCTGATCAACAGATTCAACACCAAGCGATTGAGCTAGAAACGATGAATAGAAAAATGAAAAATAAAAACATAAACATTAAAAATAGAAACACAATTGCAAACATTGTGAATTAAAATAGCACGCTGAAAGCTCAAATGTTCGACTTGAACGGAAAAAAAGACCCATACTGACCTGGTGGACCATCCATAATGATATTGATCCAAAGAATTTGCATGGCATTCAATGGATTCGGAATGCTCATCAACGTAGATAAAGCAATCAATGAGAGCGCTGCAATCGACGTACTCAATTGGAATCGAACAAAGTTTCGAATGTTATGGAAAATCGCCTTGCCTTCTTCAATTGCAGCACTAAATTTACAAGAAAAAGCGAATGAAAAAAAACAGTCCTCTGAAATGGGCATCATCTTCTATTAAACTTACATAATTGTGTGAAAATCATCGTCAACCAAAATCATATCGGCAGCTTCTTTGCATACATCTGTTCCATTTTTGCCCATTGCAATTCCGATATCGGCACGTTTTAATGCAACGCCATCGTTAACACCGTCACCAGTCATACCAACAATGTTACCACCACGTTGTAATGATTTAACTATTTGCAATTTATGCTTTGGTGTAACACGATAGAAAATGCTTACATTGTTGATGCACTTGTCCAACTGTATTTCGGACATTTGATCCATATCCGTGCCAGACAAAATAATATGATGAACGGTATCCAAACCGATGAGATTTGCAACGGCAACAGCCGTTTCCTGTGAATCGCCCGTTACCATTTTAACGCTAACGCCACTTTGGCGTAATATTTCAATGGATTCACGTACCAATGGCCGTGGCGGATCAGTAATACCAACAATTCCCAAATACACTAAGTCCTGTAGTGATTTCCCTTTGGCCAATGCCAATACACGCAATCCTTTGCGACCCACTTCATATGCTTCGGCCAAAAATTCCGATTCCGTTTGTTTGGTAAGTGGTACAATTTGACCGCCATATTTATATCGGGTACATTGTGGCAATACCATTTCGAGGGCACCTTTTACAAAGAATATTTCCTCTTTGTTGTTACTGTATTTGGGTACAACACGAACCGCCATTACTTTTTGCTCTGAACTAAATGGATACTCTTGTAAACGTATATATTTGTCGGCGGCTGCATACAGGCCACATTTCATTCCAACCGCTAACAGTGCACCTTCGGTTGGTTGACCAAGCAATGCACTATCTTGAATAATTGCATTATTGCACACCGTTCCAACCTCCAATAAATGTGTAATACTTTCTTTGGCCATATCGATGCTATTGCATTCACGAATATGAATCTCACCTTGATCATTATAACCGGCACCCGTAATATCGGCCATATATCCATCTGATGTGATAATAACCGTGACTGTCATTTCATTTTTTGTAATGGTGCCCGTTTTATCCGAGCAAATGACATTTACACAGCCCAATGTTTCGACTGTTGGTAATTTTTTCACAATACAGCTTCGTTTTGCCATTCGCATTACGCCCAATGCAAGCGTTACGGTAACAACAATTGGTAATCCTTCTGGAATGGCAGCAACGGCCAAACTCACACCAATCGTAAACATTTCAACAACAGCACGACCTTGTATCCATCCCAAAAACATGATTATACCGATGATACAAAATGAATAGAAACTAAGCTGAGCACCCAAAATATCCATTGATTTTTGTAATGGCGTTTTTGGTGCTTCTTCGGCTTGCATCATTTTAAATACTTCGCCAAATTCACTGCGTTCACCAGTACTGACAACAATACCCTTTCCGCTACCACATCGCACCAATGTGCCCATAAACGCAATGTTTCGCATTTTTGTATGGTCTTTTGTAACGCCATTTGTTCCATTTGTATTGCCGCTGATGGCCGAATTGAACATAACCTCGGATGTTTTTGATGCTGGCTCCGTTTCACCGGTGAAACTTGATTCGTCAATGGACAAATCAATCGTTTCGAATAGGCGACAATCGGCTGGCACACGATCGCCCACATTTAATAGCACTATATCACCGGGAACCAATTCACGTGCCAAAAACGATTCCACACGACTCTCTCGCCAACTAAATGTCGGTAAATAAACAGAAGGACATTTTTCAAATGAAAAATTTATGAAATTACGGTGAACAATTGGATGTACTATTGTACTTGTACATACCATCGACATTCTGGTGGCACCAACTTTTTTAGTTCTTCCAAACTTTTTTCCGATCGATATTCCTGAATGAATGCAACGGTGACTACAATGATAATTGCTATCGTAATGCTGGCCGCATCGTCAAATTGTTTCATAAATATACTGACTAGCGCCGAACCTAAACATCAAAAGAAATGCATAATTTCGATTATTATTTTGTGTAGGCTGTGCTTGTCGTTGATTGAATATTTTATATGTGTGCATTCGGATTCGTCATAAACCGCAAAGCGAAAAATATTTAATGATATTTTGAGAGAAAAAAACACACTTACCCAATAGCAATAAAATAAGTGGATTTTTAAATTGATCTACATATTTTTTCCACGCTGGTTCATCTTCATCCGCAAGTAATTCATTGTATCCGATGATTTTTGCTCGATACTTTGCCTCTGACCATGTCAAACCGGTGCGAATGTCTACACGTAAACGTGCTGCCACTTCGTTAGCTGCATGAATCGATGAATCAGCTGTCGATGGCAGCATTTCCAATTCTAACAATGAACTATCGTCTGACGACTGTAAAATAAATGACATTCATTAAAGAAAAACAGCAACATGTTAAAAATTTAGATTTTGAAATGTTTGTCACATTAATTAATCAAAAAAGTGCAAAAATATGTTTTACGAAAAATGTGTTTGATGTGTACACTGTACAAATTTATTCTACGAAACGATAATGTTTTGTGTCAAAATAGCAATCAATTTGAACACATTTTTCACACAAAAAACATTACTATTTGTTCAACGAAGAATGTTCATATCAATCTAATAAGCAATTTACATTTGGTTTATTCATGAAACGAACACAAACATTATCGTTTCTTGGAATTTGCAATTTATAAAAGTATCATATACAAAATAGCCGCTCATTTCAATTGCGAATCGAGTCAATAGATCTTTGCTGATAAAATTTCAATAGAATTATATTGATACACTTGTTGAAACAACAGGTTCATTCGTAACTTTTATTGCAATTTGCTTTTATTTTTCGTTTTTTTAAAGGAAAAACAAAAAGGAAATGTCGATTTGTGCCAATAAATCCTATTTTCCGATCGATAGCAAAAATGTAATGTTTGAAGAAAAAACAAATTCACCATACGAACGAAGGAGTTTTTTATGCTCAAAAAAATTGCATATTTGGCACACGACAAACTACACGACGGACCCAACTAACAAGCCTTAAATCACAAAACGATTCAAAACAATATAAAGAACACGAAAAGCACATTCAAACGTACACAAATACACATGCACACAACAAAAACCGAAGATTTACTGGTGAAATAATAAAAAAACACACCAAAATCGATATGAAATAAAACCGAACTAAATAATCTAGTTTATGTAAATTGTCGATTTGTGAAGCTACGATTCACAGCAAAAAAGTACATTATGAGTGGATAGTTAGTGTTTTTTTTCTCTTCTCAGTATTTGTTGGTTGGTTTTCACTTAACCTGGATATTTTTCTATTTCTTACGCACTCCAGGTGGACTAATATTTATCACATTGTTAAAATCTCCAGTATGCAAGATACATTACCGGTAAACCATGTACATTTACGTTATGAATTGATTTTGACAGCAGCAGATGAACTAAACCTAACTCGAGTGTACAGAACAGTACACAACGCACGATGCGCGATATGGGAACAACGCAAACACACACTCACACAGGCGACAAAGTAAAGAAAAGACGAAACTACGAGAACAAGAAAGAAAGAAAAATGACGAAAAGTCAACACAAGTGCGTGTATAGTGTAATACACATATTTTATACGTCAAATAATTTATGTGTTATGTATATTTGAGGCTATCACAGAATTACCGAACGAATGAAACCAAAAAAAATATGGTAATAACATACATTGAGCGAGAGCAAGAGTGTATGCCTGTATTAAAAAACTATTTGATTTTGTGCGGTGTTTCAGACGAAAAACCGATGTTTTCTTCTCTCGTCCAACACAATCGATAAGCAATCCCATTTTTATTTGCTCTCTATTTTGTTTACACACATTTTATGGTCGGTCTCTCTGGCTTTTGTATTGTGAAAATGCCTCACGATTCAATTCAATAAATATGATTCAGTTTTTTTTTCTAATCAGCATTGAAGTTTTTTTTATTACGACTGGAATTTATGTACAATAACATTGGACAAATGAAACGCAAATTGACTGTGCAAACGCACACACTGAATGTATGTAAGGAAATGATATTGGATTGAGTATTTCTGTTTCTTTCGTTTTATTTTGACAGTTCAATGTTCAATTCGGTGGAAATTAATGGCACACGATTTACGTGGAATTCCCTGGTTGGTTGTTCCTTTTTTTACTTTGGTCGACTTCCGTTAAAAAGCTCAATGTAAATATTGACAATCACATCAATCGATTTTTCGAATTATTACTCGTGTGTGATGGATCTTTTTCGGGTGGGCCAAGAGTCGTTTTATCAAACAATTGATAAGAATGAATACAGCATAAATTGAGCTATTTGGCATTCCATACACATGTCACAATCATAGACATCAAATGGATCATATTGTCCATGTTATATGGTTTGTAAAACAATATGCATTCTCTCTCTCTCTCTCTACTTTTTATTATATATTTGGCACTTGTAATCAATTTTAATGAGCCAGCATTGCTAATGGCATTGAATTTTATATTTTTATGCATGTTAGCCACTGCCAACACTGACCAAATAAAGGTATGACACCATTTATTGAATTTCCTTCATTTGTGCAGTCTTATCAGCTGATTTTATATCACGTAGTTCATTTGTTTTCATCAATGGCACAACAATCAATGTATTTGTGTGCTGGTTGCTTTGTCAATTAACTCGATTATACAATAACACATGAATGTCCCTTTCGATGAAAGAAAACCATCAATATGCATACAAATGAGTCAAAAGGCAGATTATATCAATAACAACAGTTGCATCAACAAAACTACAAATTCAACACCAAGTCATATGATTATGTAGCTGTCATTGACCGACTAAAATTTTCATTGCGCTAGCCACACGTTTGACGTTGCGCTGCCAAATGACAATTGTAACGCTGCTTTTGTATATTTCAGATGGAGCCACGTCATGACTTGTTACGATTGTTATTTCTTTTCTTCTTCGTTTTTTTTTTGTATTGTTCATTGTAAAAATATATGATTTTTGATAATTCTGCTAATAATCTATTACGTGTTCGTCTACATTCTCTCTTTCGTATAAGTTTCATGTGATTTTTCTCAGCTGCTTGAGACTTTTTCGCCAAAAATTTAAATGAAATTATAAACGGTGATTGAATTGCACTGCATGGTAGGAATGAAGGTTGTTTTTGTATGAGTTTAAAGGACGTATTTAAATTTTTATATCTTGACGTATTGTTGACTAATCGTATTTTTTATAATATATCTTATTAGAATCGAATTACGCTTTGTAATTGATTCTTGTTTCAAATTTTTGTTAGGAAACAGCTGGAAGTAAACATTCGACTTGAATCGATTGAGAATAATTGGTAATGATGAAAATCAAATAAATTGTTTGCCCAAAATAAAATGTGAAAACATAAAAATACACAAAACACATAAAAATACACACATTTGTTGTCTGTGTCAAAATGTTTGGGCGAAAATAAAAAATAGTCAAAATATCGAGCATTTATATAAATTCATTCAAACGTATGATGATGAATCTAAAAATATATAGTAACATTTCTCTCGCCATCCATGTTTGATACGCTTTTTTTCTCTATCTTACTTTCTTTCAATTCTCTTCTTTCAGCAGGCATAATAAAGCAGCGTGCCCACTAATAAAAACGTCGTAGAAAATTTTCATTTCTGTTACGTAGAACGTGTTTTTGCATTCGATTTGACTGATTATCAGCATTTTTTTTTCATCTTCTTCGGCTTACTCTTGTGGGTTGCTGTTTTGTCGAAAGCGTGAATGAAGTCAAAGTCGGTGCGTGCTTTGTTTTGTTGTGCACGCATTCAGTCGTTCGTCCTCAATTAGACGGGAATTGAAACAAAGAAAGTATAGAGCATCATGTTTGTAAGTATTCATTTGATTCGGGCACGTAGTCAAAGTGAATGATTTTACAGAAAAAAAAATATTATGATGAGTACTTCTATGGGTTTCTATCGTTCCTTTTGATGTGATCAAAAATGATGTCGGGTGACTTATGCTTTCCATATTCCTACACAATATGTTGTTGTTGTTGTTTTTTTGCTTGTCATGAAAAAAATGAAAGGAGAAAATCCTGTTCTGTTTTTGCACTCGTTTTTGTATTTCAACAGTTTAAGCGATGAAGTCAACGACTCATAAAGCCACACATACAATTTACTTGAGATTCAAGAGTCTCAATGATTTTGTAATGAATTTATAACTTTTCATTTATGAAATAAGAACCATTCACCGAAAAATGATCTTATTCTAAGCTTTAAGTGGTAAATGTATATTTAAAAAACTAAGAAAACATGTCTGAAAACAATTTAAGTTGAAAAATTAGCCATTTTTGTAAATAATAACGAAGATTTATCTAAAAAAAAAAAACTATTTGCAACAAAATAAGATCTATTTTTCACACAACATTTCACAATCGGATTTCATCCGATTGAATTCATTCCAACATGTGTAATTTTGCATTATAAATTTAACATTAATTCCAAGTGAAATCAGTGAATTAAACTGAATTTTCGATGTTGTTATTAAATTGATCAAAATCTATCTATTTTCCAATCAATGCGCTTGTTATCATTAATGTTTGATGAAATGGCAATTTAATTTTAGTAAAGGACTTATGCGGCTATGCTTCCGATAACGAGATGCAATCGTTTTATCCAAAAAAAAAAAACACACACACACATTATGTCATGATAAATGTATGCGTATAACATACAACGATGTGAAAATATGTGATTTACCGATTTTCCCGTTTTTTCGTCAATAGTCCCATTTTTATCGTTCTCCACGATGGCCGCCGTCATTGCGTTCCAATTTGTGTGTCGTTTGACACAAGCACACACACGTTTTAACAACGATTGGATTTTCAACTGCGATTATTTAATGTTTGCATATGTAAAAGCCACCCAAATCCACCGTTTCTATCACACAATGCACAATGTTTATTTAACCACACCGTAGTCTATATGTCTATCTTTCGCTCTCAAATCCAATGGATATATATTTTTCGAACAAACAGCACCTGCGAATTTCCGCCAAATTATTGGATTTTCTCATTATCTACTCACATAAATTGATAATAATCATCGATATTTCATTTTTCAAAAAGCGTGTCTATATCCTGAAATCATACAAAACATTATCTACATATGGACAGAGATCGAAAATCGAACGATGTTCATATTTGCACAATTCGAATGATGAATTAGTTTAACTATGGCTTAAGCACGTTAACATTATTCCGTTTTGAAATTGAAACATTAGTAACAATTTCGATTACATTTTCTGGGGCTATTGATTCAATTTTCGACATGGAAAGTTTATTTGTTACGTTTTATGTTTTTTCTTGTTAGAGTATGTTTTTAAAATTGAGCACAAAATGGACAAATTCTGAAAAATGTGAAAATTTATTGCTGAAAATGTCTCAGTTTAATTACGAAGAAGCAAAAACTGTTTTACGTATTGAATCACTTTCTTGCTCGTCTTGATGCTTGGTATCCTAGACTGGACTGAGCAACGAATGTAATTAAATGTTGTGTTTGCTGTGTATATCAGCTGCGAAATAAATCGAGCCGACAATGGTTCGAGTGATGTCTGCTTGTACTACTACTTGCAGATGTATTTTTCACAGACTATGAATCATAATATGCATTGTAAGCACTATGAAACGGAATTTTCACAATTTAATGAAGGAATATTTCAAGCCGAAGCCGGTCGGTCATTCGATGTACTGTGTATGAATTCAAAAAATGCTATACAACATGAGAAAATGCTGAAAATTATACGTCGATTAAATATGCGTGCTCGAGAAATGGAAGTGAAATGAGAAACGTGTCATTTATCTTGCTAGTTAAAATGAGGAAGAAATTGAGACGGGGAGAAATATGGAGAAAGGACTTAATTCCATCATAATTCGCACATATCCATATAAAATATAATAATTAATATTGACGGGGGAGTCGAGTCATTGAATTCCAATATGGAATAAAGGAGAGAAAAAAGTTATTCAACTGTAATTAATTTAGCACGAAACCGATGATACGTTTATTTGCATAAATGAATGTGAACATTGGGATCTATTGAGCGTGAGCGATTTATTTTCGATGCGCGCTCAAGACTAACATATACAATATGGCAAGTTGAACGAACAAGAGATTGAAACAAAATGACAGGCGAATGATTCAAATGGGGAAAAAATACTTTCCAAGTAATCGCGTATATAGCATTAGAATATAATCTCTTTGAGTGTGCCTTTGTTCGATTTCATTTGTTTGATGCATTCAAATGAATGGAAATGGAGTGGTTTTTCAAACGATTTTCATTATGTGAAAATCGGTGCTTGTGCTATCACTTTTGTTCCATTAAAAGCACACAAAACAAACACATTTGCACATATGCACACGCGGATTGTACTGAAAAGCCGTTGTTGTCTTGTCACTATTTGCACCAACAAAAATTGATGATGAAGAAGAATGGAAACGATGTACAACTCCTCGGCTCGCAATCCAGGTTTAATGCAACACTATGCGAAAATTTAATAACACAAGATAGCGAATGAGAACAGGCACATTACAGTGTGCTCTGATTTTCCATTAAACGCTTTTGAACCGTCGTTTGAATTATTGATTTCACAACGGGTCTTATTTTGCCATCCGGGTATAAATACGTGTGAATGAAAAAGAGAGAAAAAAACCAGAGCACTTTGAACACATTTGTGTGCGCTTTTTATGTTTTGTAATAACGTTCAATTGGTTTTTAGCGAAGTGGCGCTTTTTCTCGTTTTCGCTATTCGCCATTCTCCACTTTTAATCCTTCGGTAAAAATGCAATTTCAATTATATAGCCCTCCCGATTGTATTGTACTTAAGCCAGTTTTTTTTGTTTGGTTTTTGATTTCAAGTGTTGCAATTGCACCAAATAATTAATGGTTGAAGTCGAAAAATGTCACTTAATCAATTCACTGCAAAGCACTACTTCACTATTTTCTTTTTATAACATTTTTGTTTGTTCAACGAAAATCAATTTATTATTTTATTTTCACATAAAAATTTCTCTTTATAGACATAATTTAAAACCTTGTTTTATTGTTGAGTGTGTCGAAACTTAATATGTGGAAGAAAAAATATGGTAGAAATTGTGATTTTGCTGAATCATCATCGAATGTGGTCGATGTGCACGTTGATTGTGGTGCGATTTTCTTTTTCGAAAACCGTTTTGATTTATATGTGTGTGTGATAAACGGATTCTGAATTTTCGAGAGAAAACTCGCGGCTCTTTATTATTTGTGCCGCTTAGATCGAGTTTCAAAATTGAAATGAGTAGTGTGTATCGTGCACACAATGCGATATATTGGAATGAGCGAACGCGGCTCTTTTTTTTCTTCTAGCTCTCTCTCCCCCTCTCTTTCTCTCTCTCGCTCTCGCTCTCGCTTTTGCGTTCTATGAACTCAAACAGAGATATATTTTCGGGTTACTTTTCAGTCGAATGTGCTTTTTTCTTTTATTTCTTTCATTTCCTTTCGATCTATATGTGAATATATGTGTGCACTATCACCTCCACCTCCAGCTTTTCAATACAAACCAAAACGCGATCACATGCACACCAAGTTTTAGCGAATATTGCAAGTAACAAAAACAACAGCAGTCCGACCACCATTCAAATCATATGAATGAGAAATAGAGTAATATACACAGCACAGAACATATATATATATACGTCGTGAAGGAGGCACACACAACCAGCACAGCACTAAAATAAACATCCAACAGATCCACACACAATTTCGAAATAATATAAAAATAAAGCAAACACCTTCGATGATTCAATTCTATAAATTTTATGTTTTGTAAGTGTGTTTGTGTGCATGTGCATATCCAGCTTTTGCCGCAATTTCATTCCGGGAATCGCGTGTTTTCTTCATATCTTTAATGCTGTTGTTTTTTTTTGTTGTTCGTTCTCCATTTGTTTCATTTTCGAAATTGAAATATTTATATTCTATAGTTTGCTATTGTTATTTTTCATCTCAAAAGTTTTCCACGGTGATTGGAATTTGTAGGCAACGTAAAATTATTCTTGACTTTTGCATATTCTCATTGTCAGTTTGAATGACTTTTTTTGTTCAAATTCTATACAATTCACGCACATTATATTTCTAAAGTTGATTTCTCTATGGAAGATGGCAAAACAGAAGGAGAGAAACTCGATAAATATGCAAACTTTTAAAATGAATGTCTGTCTGTAGGTAAATTTCCTACTTTGCGTCAAAACTCTGTTTACCTGCTGCCATTCAATATTTAACAAACAAACAAACAAACAAGAAATATTAAAATACTTTTAACTATAGGAACTTGAATGGATTTCACACTCTTCACAATGAGAACATTACACAAGATAAATAGATCGACCGATTTGACGATTTAAATTCCGTTCGTCAGCGCTGGCGAAATGCATATTCTATAAATGCGATAATAAAATTCTGTTTGTCTGTTCGTAAATTTATTCGATAAATCAGCGTTCATTAGCACCTGTATTAAAAAATCGGCAAACATTGCAAAAAAATGGTTGAACAAAAGCCAATTGACAACCAAGTTTCAAATAGAAATCGAACATTAAAAGAAGAGCGAATTTTCGAGATCGATCAAAGAAAGGTTAAAAAAAGGTTGAGTTTTTTTTAACGATAATCAAATCGATGACAGAAAAAATCTGCCAAAAATATGGTTTAGCCAGACTCTCGATCATTCTTAAACGTAGAGTATGTGAATAATTTGATTGACATCAATTTTCATTTATTATAAGTTACTTATCATGGGTGTATTATTATCTCTTGCTTCTGGGGAGGATACGAAATACAGATACACATGGAATCTGAATTATAAATTAAAAAAAAAAGATTTCAAATTAAATACAGGTGAATTGTCGCTTGTTCAATGAGATAACATCAATGTTATTGTGGGTATAATGTGTGATATTTATCGATTTTTTTCTTCCATGGTTCGCTAAATTCCATATAACATTGTAAGCCCATATTTTTGTTTATACATTTATTAATTAGGAAAATCACCCGGGACGGAACTTTTCCAAATTCAATTCGAAACACGACACATTTCATTGGATTTGTGTTCATTCTGTTTTGCAAAAAAAAAATAATAATCTGCTGTTTACAATGCAGTTAGAAAGTTGTGCCAAACAATGACACATACCGTGCGTCTGGTCATACTGAACATTGAACCGTGTGAATGATGATGATATATGGCACGAGATAATATGCGAAAAAAACGTACACTTTGCAAATGAACAACAAAATAAATTCGAATATCACGGACGTTTTTTATTCTCTCCCGCCACTGAAATAGTAGTGATTTGGTCGTTTTTTATTTCAGCATTTTTTTAAAAATAATTTTGTATGCACTGTATTTTTAATTGTCATGGCAAAATGCCTTTAACTCCATAGTCTTTTTCGAAACATTGTTTAAATGAAGAAACATATAATTTTGCACTTTTGATATAATTTTATTGAATGATTTCCAGTTTTCTCTCTGATAACAGCTAAATTATATGTTAGTTTTTAAATCGCTGAATCTGAAATGTGAATCATTCACACAAGAATTGAACGTCATATGCTTATTGTTAAATGTTTTTGGTATTCATTTTGTATTTCATTTGCATTGACATTATACAAATGGGTAATTTGAAGTCGATTACATTGACCATCGCCACACACACACACACACTTACACGAAACGCAAATGTAACAAATGGAATGGATCTCATTGAGTCATATAATTTTTTTAATTCAAATTCGCATACATAAAATTCAGCTGTAGTTGGTGCAATTTTTATTACTGATTATTACTAGGGGGTAGACACAATAGAGAATGAATGAATACCAATGAATTGTTATAATACCTATCAATTTTCAAATACGACAATTACTTACTTATTTAAAGATTACTTGTACCGAAAATGTGAATACCGTGATTACCAAATATCAAACTGATATCGGCAATAAAGATTTCAAGTTTTTTCCATTTCGTTTTAACATTCACCATTTCGAAATTTATTTTAATTTTTTCTGTTTTCTTTCTGTTATTTTTATCAAAATTGTTTTTGCATTTATTGAACCAATTGAAATAATACACTTAATAGCGTTGAAAAAGTTTTTTTAATATTTGGAAGATAATATTCATATATGCACATTGTGAGACGTTGCTGAATGCATTGACATTTCGTCTAAAACTGAGAATACCAAGAATACCAAGAATACCTTCAATTTCGGTGAATATCTCAAGTAATATTCTATGTGTCTACCCCCTAGTTATTATCCGTAAACGTTTACTTATTATTAACATATACATATCTTGTTGATGAAAAAAAAAACATCAATTGCTTTGCGTTGTAGTAAAATGTTTAAATTCGAAATCTGAATTGAAAATTTATATGAAAACTCAAAAAAATGCCAGTTTAGTTTTAAAATGAGTTCACAGATTCAAACTAATTGGCATTTTCAATTTTCAGCAACTATTTTCATCGAACGAAACCAGACATTATAATGAGATATTTTCAGCCAGATGAATCAGCTCAGCCAAATTCCTTCAGGAGCTGAAATGGAGTGAAAACAATAAGAGTGATTGTTATAGTGATTGTAGCAATGTAAGTGTAATTATAACCATAAGAATCACTTCTATTGTTTTCACTAAATTTCAGCTCCTGACGATATATGGCTGAGCTGAATCATCTGGCTGAAAATATCTCATTATAATGTCTGAACGAAACAAAAGTTTGCAACGAAAATAATTTCACAAACATCAAAATAGATAAATTTTAATTATCGCATGATGACCCCATATTTCTGGTTAAATTATATTTGTCATGGCCAACAATTTTCTTCTCATTAAAAATTAACATTAATTTTGATTAGTGTCAGATGTCGAATTGTATGTTTCCGCCGAAATGGATGGAAATATAAATGAATAAACGTCATTTTTTCTCTCATTTGGATATAATTAATTTTTCATATGGAACTGTAAATAAATGTAATCACTGTTTTGACACTGTTTTCAGTTGGTCTAATAAAAAAATCGAAAGAGAGAATTGTGGAATGTATCGAAAAACCAGATTGGACCGCCTCGGTGCAAATCAACGCTATGGAGTCAAGCCATGCGAAAAATTAAAACGCCAATTTATTTATTATTGACATAGGAATCATTACAGCACTTTTCTCTCTCCTTTCAATCATCTCTGCTATTAAAACGTATAATCAAAATATGTTACAGTGGAACCTAACCACATTGGCATCCAGAATGATTTTGAATGTATTCAAATGGCCATTTAGTTAGTTCAACTCACAATTTCGATGAACGATAACATTTTGTTTGGTCTCATGTAATTGAACTATTAGACGGTTTATGTGACCACTGCAGATATATACAGACACTGCAAGAGTGGCATTTCATCATGAAATGATGATAAGACATTGAAATGTTGACTGTTCATCAATGGTTCAATGATTGGCGTATGCATGAGATGACTCTCCACTTGAACGAAGTGGAATCATTGAAATGTATATTATTGTTGTTAGTGTTGTTGTAACTTCCCATGTTTGTTTGTGCCGCAAAGCTTTTGGATGGATGCGCAAGTGTAGGTGAAACTCAATAAGTGAATTGAGACTACTACATTCCATCGCACGTGTGTCAACACATTTTCCATTTACAAAATCAGAATCAGTTCTGCAGATAGAGGTAGAGTCGACTATGTGGACAGTGTATTGCTCCTCATATGGTTGATATTAGTTATTTTCGATATCAAATAAACACCTCACAGCCACAGGGTGCATACACAGTAGCTATGATGAAAATGTAAATTCGTTCGATGAAACGAATAAAGCATGAGAGAGAGAGAGAGGAAGGGAGAAAGATATTGACATATTCTTTAGCTTATATGCAAATATGTTCTCTTATCTCTCTATGCATTATACCCATTTTAATTCATTCGTATTCACACTTTTGTGTTTACTATTTGATTTTTGTACAAGATAGACCGAGAAAACTTCAGAGAGAAAGAGAGAAAGTGGGATGAAAAAGTAGTGGTGAACATCGTTCAAAAGGATATTGATCGTGAATGCGGTATATCACTGGATTAAATCACACTTTTTGTTGCATCAGGGTTTTTTTTGTGATGCATTGTTCATGACGTGCATGCATCAACTAAATTGAAAAATGTTTCTCGTCACTCTTAATGGCATGTCACCAACAATTCGTCATATTCTAGACAACGACAATGAGCAAAATAAACCACAACGAAAATATAGAGTGGGAAAAAACTGTAGTAAAAAGAACAAATGCCGCACATACAATCGCAATCCGATTGGGATGCGAAAAAAAGACAATAACGGAACAAAACAACGAAGAAAAAAAATCGGTTGAAAATATTTGTACAGTTTCATTAAATGTCCATTTAGACAAAATGATTCAATGGAAAAAATACCAAATACGCCGTCAGTTTGTCAGTTCATGAAAATGCACGGTCAGCGCTTGCAAAAAAGAAATTAGCGCCGACTTCTTTTGAATTGGACAAGTTCATTGACAGGAATTTTGGTTGAAATGCACGGAGGATGAGAGCAAAGGGAAAAATAAATATTCTTCCTTTTGATACGCAAAAGGCGCAGAAAAACGACGAAAAATGCAATATGTTACATGGTTGACAAAACGAAATTGCATTCCATCAAAGTGCAAGCGGATAGTACGGGGAGTTAAAGGAAGACGCAAACATTTTGTGAGAGTCTCATTTATTTTTTGTTGTTGTTGCAACATTAAAGAAAATAACTTATAACGAAAAGAGAACTTCAATCGAAACGGAACCGTTTAAAACGGCATGACAAAAACTCACAAGCAAATGGCAAACACAAGAAAATACGTTTCATATTTTTGTTTCCTATTCTCCCTCTTCTTTTTCTTCTTGCTCCGATTTTTCCTTTTTAAGCTTACATTTTTTTTTTATAAATTTGTTTGCATTGGTGTAAAAAGGTGAGGCGAGAAAGAAAAAAAAATAGAGCGCGTGTGGGGTGTAAAGTCAAAACTTACCGCGTCCGTTGATTGTAAATCGTCTTTGGAATGATTTGATAAAAAGCTGTCATCCAATAGCAAATCGCCTTTGATGTTTGTCGATACCTTCTTGTATTTTGAGTAATTTTGCTTCACTTTGTTTGATTTCATTCTCTTTATATATATAATTTGACTCGTATCGATTTAGATGGATGTGTTTGTGAATGTATGTCGCAGTAGTAGTAAAATTCCGTTTGATATTTTCGAATGTGTGTCCTTTATCGGTTGCATGAATTCATTTCGAAATTGATTATAATATCCGTTGATTTTTCATTTAGATTTCCGTTCACCGATAAAATCTATTGATTCTTGTTTTAATTAGTGGTTAATAATGTCGATTCGCCTTTGGCACGCCACTACAATCATACATTGGATGTAAGAATGAACAATCCTCAATTATGATTGTGAGTAAGTCAAAGAGAACCAAAGTAACGAAGAACGTTTCATGACCACACGTATCGATGTTTGATAATTTTGTTCGTTTCTTTGTCCTTTCGTCTTCTAATTTATTTATTTTTTCTCTCTAAATGTTGCAAATAATGAATCGATCATAAAATTAAAACCATTTTAACGTTCGTTAGCGATTATGGTTTATAGTTGCTATCGTAACGTTCAAAATGCTGTTCATTTCCTTTTTTTACTCCAATATTTAACAGGATATTAATTTTTTTGAATGTACCGCTACTGCTGACTCAACCGTAGTCTCGGAAACGGATATTATCAACGAAAAAAAAACGTAACGAGAGAGAAAAAAGCACAAGTTTTGTCACTGTAAAAACGCCAATACAAACTGACCGAACAATAACAAAAAAAAAACATGGAACGCGAAAACAAATTTCTGTATGCCGAAATCAAATCCGATTAGTCACCATCGAAGGGAAAAAAAAGACGGAGAACAAATCCAAAGCACCATAAATGCTCATTACAAATTGAAAATTGCAATGTATGAACCTTGTATGACTCACAGCTATTTGATTCTACTTTCACTGTTCTATTTGAATAAACACTGACAACTGGCCAAACAAACAACGGCCACGTACAAAGGCTTAGATATATTTTTTTATCGAATTTCTTGCATTATTGAAGTGACCGGTTTGATTGTGTATTCACATTCCCAGGATACGGATAGTATGATGCTTCTTCTTTTTTAATTTGTTGTGTTTTACTCAGAGTTGTTATTTTTAAAGTTTCCGTTTTTTTTCTCTCACCTCCTTGTATATGTTATCAGTGTCTGTACACCACGAATGGTATTCTTTGGTTTCGTTCGTTCGACTTTTTTTTCTCTAACTCAATGTTAATGGAATACGTACGACGACGACGGTGTGTTCACACAAAATTGGCTACTCTGCAGCATGAACAATCCAAGCAAACTACGTTGAACGTTGTTGCTTGACTTGAACATCACTTTAAATAACTAAATAGCACCATCATCAAGTCAAACACCAAAGCTATCGAAGTTTATCCTTTATTTGTTCGTTTTGCTTTTTTTTTGTCTTGTATACTGTGTGTTGTTTGTGTTTGTGGTGTATTTAAGGACGAAACGAATTTATTGCCGAGCGCATGACACACAACGGCATTTAAACACACTACCGAGAACATACGCTCTATCAAAAAAAAGAAGAAGCAACAAATAAACTCTATTTCTTTCTCACTTTTTTCTTTCTCGCTTGCCGTCTCTCTGGTTCACTCTGTCCCGCTCCTTTTACACTGTCCACACAAACACTGTGTATATATAAAACTGCATTTGCGAAATAAAACACACGAAATATGAAGAAAGCACAGTGAAATTAACGTGGATTTATTTTATAAAAGAGCGCGCGCGTGCGATTGCGCTGTCAAAATCGACCGTTTTGTGTATGCTGTTTTTCTTCAATGTTATACCATCCAGTTCTAGGCACACATCAACGCATACTTATTGCTTACGTTTGTATACGTATTTCTTCTGTTATCATAGTCGTTGTCGGTGCGAATACAAGCCCACCAAACAATTAACGAGAGAAAATGCATTGACACACATGCATTTATAACATGCATACAGAACAAGTGAGACAAAGAGTTGTATGCACAAAACCGTTGCGTGCTCATCAAGTCATTAGTATAAAGTTTTGTTATTTGCCATTTTTCTTCTGCATGATTTTCTCGCGTAAATTAAAGACGCAGCATGAATAATAAACATAATGTGTGCTCTACAAGAAAACATCTCAACAAATAACAAACAAACAATTGACAGCACCAGCACGCATACACACACACACGCGCGCTTTCTCACTCCCTCTCGCTATCTCTCTCTATTTCTCTACCTGCCGCACGCATATAAAACATGACAGCATAGATACACTCATCACACATACCGACACATAGCGTCTCGTTTGCATTGGCATGCAATAGGCTAGCATTTTATGAGTGAGATGGATGTTATGCTGTTGCTGCTGCGGCGGTAGTGTTACAATTCGCCGCATACATGATGTATATGCAAGAAACAATAACAGCGACGATCACATATCGTTCAGTTACAATAACAATGAAGGGTCGGCCAATTTTTTTTTCTGAAATGAAATGAATTGGTTTCATTCTCATTCGAAAAACACATTTTTTTTCATTTCAATTGAATGAATGCGTTCACAAATTTCTTTTCGGTTTTAAATTTGAAAATTCATTTGAATTTAACATTTTGTTGTTTGTTCAACTTGAGAGAAAAAAACACATATTTTTTCCCATTGTTAATCTCTGTTAACCTTACTTACTCGGAATTCGCAGAAAAGTTCGTGATTGATAAATATCCTCACGTAAACACTAAATCACATCATTCAATTTCGTTTCCCTCTTTATCCGTTGATTTGATGTGTGTTTTTCAATTTAAAGCAGCTGATTTGAATACCACATTGATTGTAGGTACACATTCACTTATTGTGATAATCCACTTGGACCATCCAATGGAAAAGGGCAAACAGTTTAAAAATGTTTGCATTCAGTTGCGAATTTTATTGAATGCAACTTTGTTTATTATTTTTTTCTCGTTGTTTATAGTGATGAATCGCGACTCAATGTAATGAAATCTTTCAATTGTTATCACTGTGTCCATGACATGACCATGATAATATTCTGTGTGCGTTGTCAGTTTTGTATATTGATAAATGCGACGAAATTTACGTACATACATGCAGCAAAAAAAAAACAAAAACATTGAACTATGGCGTGAACACATCGATCAGTCCGATATTCTCGTTATGTTGCGAAATTGGACGCACATTCGATTGAAAGATTGTTCATGCAAATTCGGTTAGTTCGAATGTATTAAGTTAAGAATTTAAAAATAAAATCGGTTTGTATATGTAAAGAGAATCCGAATCACCATATGAATGGCGTGCGCTGTTATGTGTTCACAGAGAGCGAATCCAGAATGTTGTTATCAAAATTGTAACCTAAAAAAAATTGAATGGGGAAATTGTAATTATAATTTATTTCGGAGATGTGTGCTGCTTAAGCTGATTTGTCCCTATTCTACCCAATTTATCTCTCTCTCACTCACGTCAGCAATATCACATCATTTACTTGAATTATTGTTTTTGTTATACTTGGGGGGATGTAGTAATGAATGTGCAAACGCATGTGATAATTTTCTTCAATTGCGCGCATTGGACACACATTTAATACACAGTAGTTCCACAATATATATTGACGGTGACATACACATTGTGAAGTGAATGTGATTTGATTCGGTTTTCGACACTTGGTTGCAACAATCCACAATAAGCTTTGATCAAAACGAACTATTATAACGAGAGACCGAGAAAACAAAGGTGAAAGAATTCTTATTGTATATTTTAAGTGTTATGTGTGCACATGTAACGTGTTACTTGAACAACAACGAAACCAAAAATCTTTTGCAGCAGCTATTCAAAACGAAAATAACCAAAGCATTATCATTCCGGGAAATCGAATGCGTAAACACGATTTTATTTTTCGCATTACAACACAATTGGATACAGTGATCAGAATTTAGCATATTCAATTTTTGTCATAATAATCAGATGCGAGTGTTTGAGAGATGTTTGCTCGCAAATTTGTTATACTTAATTTAATCGTACATGTGCTTACTGTGATTAGCTATGTTGATGTTGCGCACGCACTACGTTGCAATCGCGAACCAGAAGGTACGGGCGCCAGACGATCACCATCAACTGGTAACTTTCGACTTCGATTTTCCGACGATTCGAATTTATATAAACCAGGTAGACCGTATACGGGTAAGTGGACTGAGTTAAATCACTTCCTTTCAATAGACGATCTATTGAAATAACATTTAAAATTCATTTCTATTTGTTTTTTCGCATCAATTTAGTCTTCCTTGAACGAAGTAGTAATGCTGTTCGAGGTCGAGATCGACCTCAACCGAAATTTACCGCATTTGTTGTAGCCGTTGAAACAAAAAATAGTTTGCCGGGAAAATATGCAGAAGTAAACACATTTTTCCACTCTTTATCTCTCTTGCTTTTTATTCGATGTTAACATTTATTTGCACAAATCTTTTTTCGATAGGAATTTTCGCCAGATAAGCATGGTACATTTAGAATAGAAGCAGGTAATATACTGGGGAAATTGATGTGCGGTAATGTGGTGACACATACAAGTGAAACAGCAAAGAGTGAAATTTATGTGAATTGGACGGCACCGGCACCGGGTTCGTTTAAATACATTTTATTATTGATATTTCGTTCAAATATATTTTATTATTGAAATCGATTTATTGGAAATTGAATGGAACAATGTTGTCAAAGCAACGAATCAAAAAAATTGTGTAGATTCTGAACCTTATTTACCACAATGGAATTCAAGATGGATTCAAGTGCCTACAATTATTTGATTCGTTTCTTTGACAACATTGTTCCATTCAATTTCCAATAAATCGATATCCATAATAAAATGTATTTGAACGAACGAAACAGGCAGTGGTTGTGTTACATTTCGTGCAACAATTATTGAACACCGAGATGTTTGGTACATGGACGATGGTCCGTTGACTAAAGAAATTTGTGAAGATGAACAAGTACAAGACGACATCATTTCAAATGTGCTTGAAGAATGTTGTGCGTGCAGTGAAGCCAAATATGAGGTGGGATTTAAAAAAAAAAATGACAATTAACATATTATCCTTAAAAATGCATGAAATATTCCGTATCCTTATGTCCTTTCTAGCTAACATTCGAAGGATTATGGTCACGTAATACGCACCCAAAAGATTTTCCACAAAATGTGTACACCACGAAGTTTGGTGACATTATTGGTGCAACACATACTGTTGGCAATGGGTACTTTCACTTACCACATCAATTTCTTTTGAACGCAATTACAATTTAAATATGTTCTTTTTTTCTTGTTCATTTCAACTGCAGTTTCTGGGCAAATGGCGTTTTTGCAAGTGAAGGTTTGAAGGAGGTAGCTGAAATGGGTATTACTCGAACAATTGAAAGTGAATTGAAAAATAAGGTTTGATTTGATTTCAAAACCAAATATAATCAATAAAAAAAGGAAAGCGAAAAGAGAATGACAATTTAAAAATTGATTTAGAGCGATAACATTCGTACGATCATCAAAGCACGTGGTTTATCGTATCCAAATATAACCGGTAAAACTTTTGCTGTGTTTCGTGTTGATCGTGAACATCATTTGGTTTCGTTTGTATCGATGATATCACCATCCCCTGATTGGTTTGTTGGAATATCATCATTTGAATTATGCTTACGGGATTGTACGTGGCTCGAGAGTAAAGTTATCGATCTTTATCCATGGGATGCTGGCACTGACAAAGGCACCACATATGATGTAATTTTATGAACAGTTTTTAAAGCACCAAAAATAAAACCGAATTATTGTTTCACTTCATTTCGTAGTCACCTGATCAACCATCAAAACCGCAGGAATATATTCGCCACATAACATCTGAATCGCCAAACAATCCTGAATCGCCATTCTATAGTCCAAACGGTTCCAAAATGAAGCCACTTGCCCGATTGACATTGTTACGGCAACGTTTATACGAGAAAAACTGTACAGCTGATCAATCAGGTGAATAAAGCGCTTCAACTTGTTTTGAGCTTGTAATTTTCACAAACTTTTCATATATGTGTTTTTTTTGTTAGATATCGTTATATGGTTATTATTGAAATGGTTTTTATAGTAAATTCATTACTTTCTTTTTACTATTTTTTTTTTGTGCCGAAATGTATAAAAAAACCATTCATTTCTTTTGTTCTTAACAACTTAAATGTGAGAATGGTTAGCAAGTGATGATTGTCAGGTGGGTGAATATAGTGGTTGGGGCGAATGTACGGGGGCTGTTTGTGGTGGAACTGGTAAACAATATCGACAGCGATATTATAAAAATCCGGATAAAGCAGCCAAATGCCATCGGAAATTGTTTGAAACAAGAGCGTGCCTCATGCCAAACTGCACTTATGGTACTTACAACAATTGCACGATCACCTAAGGACAAAAACAACACTCTGTGATCTCCTTCTTTTGAATTATTCACGTCTCACTTTTTTTCATGAAGTTTTTTTCACTCCTTACTAACTCGATTCTTGTCTTTCTGTTCACACTTTTTCAAACGATAAAAATGGTTCTCATAAATTTGAAGTAGACAAAGAATTCTTTTCTCTCTTTTGTGTCTCTTGATGCTTGAATGACCGTTTTTCGTCATTTTTCCTATTTTGTTGACATATTCTCGAAAAATCGGCCTATTTTTTACAGAAAACGAGGAAAACTCACAGAACGATCCGGACTGCGAAGGCAAGGTTTATTATAGTGATTGGTCAAAATGCGTTCCAGATTGTAAAACGCGTGAAAATATGACTGGAAAAAGAATAAAAACATTGCAGTATGAAAAACAATTTAAATATTGCTTTGTATGTTTGATTTTCAATTGGTCAAAAGAATGTATCGTAATATTCTGCTTAATAATTCACAGACTCGATCACAGGAAGAGAGACAAATAAAGGATGATTGTGATATACCATGGTGTAGTAATCAAAATCAGGTAAACTGGTAGTTTTTCATGGCACATGAACCTTTGTGTAACGTCTCTTTAGTTCTAATTTTGTGTGTGTGTTTGTAACATTATCGTATTACTATAGCCATATACATTATTGTAATCAAATTCGAAAAAAAAAAAAAATAAAGATTTTAAAGGATATCACTTCATTTTGTGTTTTGTCGATGTCTTCATTCTATTTCAAACAAAAAAAATTGACGTTACATCAAATTTGTGTTTTAACTCTTTTTCTAGGATAGAAATAACGAAATTAATCAAACACCCGAATCAACAGATCCAGCAACGACAAATGAACCAGAGCAAAATGAGGATAGCCAAAATAATGATGGCTGCATGATTAATGGGAAGCCGATCATGGACAGATATATGGCCGTTGATCGAACGAAAAATCCTTGTATAGGCACTTGTGGTAGGGGCAAACGAAAAGATACACATGAACCATATGCCATATATAAAGAATGTAAACCATTTACCGAAGAGGTTGATTGTGATACAAATATTCCGTGTATAAATAAAGGTAACCAACATACAATTCAATTTCAGAAAAGATTCGTTTCGAAAAATTATTGGAAGTAATTTGTTTCTTAATTTGCATAGCATTCTGTGCGAATCCACCCGATAAAGACAATTGTGAGCGTGATGAAAATAAAAGAAATCTTATTTTTTATAATGCAACAAATTGTGTGTGTTCGGTTTTTACGACGAATTGCACGAAACAGGAATCAACAAACATATTTGAATCGATTGAAGAATGCAAAGATGCATGCCCTGAAGATCTAACGAATGGCGACTGTAACGGGTTTTACGATCAAAGGCAAAAACAAAATCAAAACAAACCAAGGAACAATTGGAATAGATTTAAACAATATTGAGAAACTCAACTGATTACTTAGTGGAAAACATCGAGTACTTTAAAAACTTGCTTAATTTTATTTTTTGAACAATATTTTTGAATAATAAAGTGATCTAGTTTTATACGAATTGTATTGAACAGCGTTTTAAGTGACAATTGGATCGAATCATACTTAAATTTAGTCAGAGTCATTGCTATCACTGTTACTGTCATATCCGCCGAGTAATGACAACGCATTTGACGTCATTTTCACTGGCTGTGATGAAGAAGATGACAAAACGTTCGAAACCTCTGCACCTTTCGTAATACTAGCACTCTTCTTTGCATCACTCGAGGTAGCTGTTGAAGTGATTGTTGTGGACTTTGGCCTCACTAAATTTGCCAATGAAGACTTTTGATTTATACCTAATCGATTTGTTTGTGGCTTTTTGAATGTTCCCATTGACAGTTGATTTAATTTCTTGTCCTTTTCAATGCTTGGTAGTTTGGAAGTTGTGGCAGCCATATCTTCTACTTCGATAATTACCTCTTCGGCAACACGTTTCATGCCACTTACATTTGATTTTTGGAATTTCACTTGCCTATAAATGAAAAGAAAAAAAAAACATACACCGGTTTAATTTAGTTTCAATATTCTATATCATTTTTACATAAATGTCACGATTTGGAACGGCACTTACTTGATAAACTCTTCGTCTTGTCGCGCTAGACGTTGTTCCATCTCTTCAGGCGTTTCTTGTGGTGCGTACTGCTGAAGCATTTCCTCATAATTCACCTTTAGCTGGCGTTGCTTTAAATCTTTTAATTCTTCCAACGATTCCAGCAATTCAATTTCGTTTCTTGACTGTTGCGTTCGATTCTCTAGTAATTTCATTGGATTGCTGGCCTCTTCTTCTTTCAGTTCGTCCATTTCTTTCTTGGCTTGCTCTTCGGCCAATTTAAGTGCCATAAAATTTCGTGTTGCACCCGCTTCAATTTCATAGTCTGTATTTTGTGGATCGGTTTTGAATGAAATCTCTTGCAAACATCGTGTACATTTTATATAAAATCGATAGATTCGTATGCCCAAGTATGTTTCATGTTCAACATCTTCTTTGCGTGCATTGAATTTTTTTCCTTTATAAATGTATTCACCGCATGTAACACATCGCATATTAAATGGTGCCATCAATCGAACGGTGTATTGACGATTTTTCGCCAATTTCATACGCGGAATTTTCGATGGATCGAAATCCGGTGGATAGTATTTCTGAAAGTAAAAAAAATATTACCAAAACAAATTTTCACATGTCGGTTTTTCAATGCACCAAATAAATATTGATTTTTACTTACGTTTAACACTTTTCGCTCAGACATTGTGGTTTATACTATTTTAAAATTATAAAATTCTGGATCAAACAATACAAATTCTATAAAAACGTTTGCTATTGTAACTCACAATTAGATGAAATGCACTGTGACTTTCGAACCAATAGCAGATGTGTGACGTGTGTCAAATATTTCGATTGAATTCCACCGACGACAGCGCCACTTCAAAAAAAAAAATTCACCGTGCGTTAAAAATAATACGTTTCGACTTTGTTTTTCCAAACGTTTTAGTTAAAACATTAATTTTGAATAAATTCAAGAGTCGTCAGCCACATCGTCAATACACAATATTCATCAATTCTGTATGTAAAATTTGAAATCGTCTGATGTTGTATCATTGTTTTATATAAGATTTTTCGGTGAACCAATAAAGACCTTTATTCATTTGCAAATTTGAACAAAAGTTTGGATTTAACTGAAAGTCTAAAATTCTTATGAATTTACCTTACAACTCGAGAGATCTCTTCGTCCGCTCCATCAACACAAATCAAGAGTTTTCGTATAAACAAATGACATCTCATTAGACAAACGATTACGACAATCATTTACGACAGAAAACGGTCTCTTGAACGGCGAGAAGAATAGCAAAGAAGTAGAATATAAATGCAAGGAATTGTGAAAATAAAACAAAATCTATCGTTAGAATTTACGTGAAAACCATTATTTTCTTTATTTACAGAATAAAGCATGGAACATTAAACCATCCAGCAAAAGTCATGTGCTATAAATATGAATTCCATGTATTCCATAATAATTTTGACTTATAATAAAAAGAGATTTGTTTTTTTTTATTGTTTTCATCATGATCTTCAGTATTTCTTCATATTTTTCATTTTTTTATTCATCAATTTGTAATAAAATACCATCTCATTCTTCTCTCATTTTTTTTTTGTTGTTTTAAATACATTTAATTTTTGTTTCAAAAATATTCTTAAATCTTTTTTTAGGTGTGTGTATTTTCTAAATGTATTTTTCTCCGCTTTTCTTTTATTTTCGTTTTTAAATATATGCATATTTATATATATATTCAAAATGAACTGATCATTTACAGGATTATGAATTTAAAAAAGGGCGATAGAGACGAAGAGAAAAAATTAGCGTGAAAGAAAATTATATGAAATTAAAAGATATTTTATGTACTAAATATGAAAAGAGAAAATAAAAAAAAAGATTAATTAAATTCTCGAATTAAGAATTGTCAAAGTAAAATGTGTGCCGAAATCATCGGGCAAGCAAATGTGTTTTTATGTATATTGTCGACAATTCTAGTCGATTTCGGTTGATTTTTGATTATTTTCTTCTTTTCAGTTAATTTATTTCGTTTATTTTTATTTAACTTCCTCATACGTGTTTTGTTCTTTGTATAATTCATTTAAATATCATTATCATTCGTTTTATTCTTAATATTTTTTGTTAATTTTTTTTTTTGCTATGCTCAGATTGCCTACTAATTTTACCCACATGTGTGTAAAAAATGTGTTTTTTTTTCCTCTTAAAATTGTTGTTTTGTGTTACAGTATGATTTATTCCTTCTGTTGTTGTTTTTAAGTAGATCTAAGCCTAAATGAAATTGTGTGTGTGTGTGTGTGTGTTTGTTTAAATTCTTGCCATTTGTGATTTGCCGAAAACAACAAAACAGGCATAGAAAAACTAAAATAAAATTAGAGAAAAAAAAACGCTCAAATAAAATTAATTAGAGACGAGAATCATCATCAAAAAAAATTAATTATTATTCCATAGCTATATCATTGATTTTGTCTGTGCTCGATGGGTCTTCTTCATCGTTTTCATTTGCTGTCGCATTGATTGCTCCGTGTGCCGTGCTCATGTGCACATTCAATTTTTGAGCGTTTGCAAATAGTTTCAGGCATATTGAACACTGAATACGTCCATCGGCTGTTACAGCGGCCTCGGCAGCTACAGCACCTGTAATTTCATCGACCACAATGCCGGTCGTTTTATCAATATTATCGTTTCCTACTGTTACAGTTGTTGCTGTTGTTGCTGATTGATTATTTGTGTTTGTCGTCGTATTATTGGCAATGGACGAACTATTACTCACACCACCGTGTACCATACGCTGATGCGTTTTCAATGAACTACTAGCGTTATACACTTTATGACATATGTCGCAGGAGAATGGTTGTTCATTTCGATGGATTCGCATGTGCTTCTTTAGGCGATGCTCTGTCTTGAATGTTGACTTATTGCAAACACTGCACGAATACAGGGTTTGTTGTTTACCTGATGCCGTTTGTACGATTTGGCGTATCGGCGCCTGTTGCTGTTGCTGTTGATGCTGATGATGATGATGCTGTTGCTGTTGCTGATGATGATGCTGTTGCTGTTGCTGATGATGATGATGTGCCGCCTGCGATTGTTCTTCAATCGTTTGAATTGTTTGTTGCATTGCAACTAAATCGGCTTCCGTTGCTTCAACATCGCCAACGATCATCTTTTCTGTTTGCAATGGCAAACAATGTTCACATGAACAGAATGGGAACGGATTATCGGATAATGTGCCTGCCGATATTTCGCTATGAATGTACATATGATGACTCAATTGAATCTCGGACGTAAATTGTTTCGATTCGCAGAAATGACACAAGTAGATTGTTGGAACCTGTTCAAATGAGATAGACGAACAGACAGACAGAGAAAGAGAAAGAGAGGGATAGAAAAACAAAATAAAGACCATGAAAATCGCATAATTAGATCATGTTCACTGTGTGTACATTTTTACTGCTATACATACATTGAATTGTGCACAAAACGTGAGATGAATATGTATATGCATGGAAAAAAATTTACCTGCTGATTCAGGGACATCGGTGATAAGGCTGGTGTTTGTACCAATTCAGTGACGATTGGATGTGCTTTTTGAATGTGTTGTTTTAGAAAATCTTCGCTGATAAATTGTTGCTCACAATTGCTGCAGCTAAATATTTTGGTGTCACTTTGTAAAATAATGTATTGCAATTCGCTTGCATCGGTACCGTTGCCATTGTTCATGTCCAATATATTTGAATCGTCGTATATCAGTTGTTTGTTGTCTTGATGATGATTTGCGTTCATTTGAACCATTGTCGTTTGATTTGGTTTCTTGCGCGATTTACTCGGTCGACTTGTTTTCATCTTTTTCGCCGGCCCATTTGACACCGTATGCATGACCGAATTTGCAGTTGACACCGTTGAACCAACCACTGTACTCCCACCTGCCATACTCATCGCAATGTCAACAATATTATTCTCCTTATTGTTCGATTGATCTCTGCAAACACAAAAAATGTGCAATAAAAAGAAAGGAAAAAAGAAAAAGCATCGAGAAAATATTAGTCATCAAATGATAAATTGAGCAAAGTTTTAATTTGCCGAAAAATAAATATGGTACTCAGAGAATGAGAAGAAAAACATATATGCCCTCACCGATGCAACAATTGTGATTCATCAATTATAATATTGCTGTAGGCATCCTCAGCGCTGATTTTAATTTTGGCGCCTTTGACATTGGTCGCTGTTGTGGCACCACTATTTTTTCCATCCAAATCACCGTCATGCGTTGAATTATTGTTGTTGAGCGGTTGTTTTTGATCATTTGGGGAGTATTTTAGGCACTCTTTTAGGTTTTTCTTCAATTTTTCATGAGATTCCAAGTACATCGTACGAAATTCATTGATATCAATCAATTTATCGGCACACGGTGGGCACAACGGCAATTTATGATCGGTCTCCGAGTCATCAACCTAATTTTACATATTCGTTCAAACGAAAGAAATACAAACAGAAAATAAATAACACGAACATTTCAAATCAAATTGCATTTCATAAGAAATTTTGGGGAGAAAATTGTAGTGAATCGCGCGCAAGCATGTACTGCCTATACTCAGTGAGAATGTTGTTGTTATTATTGTTGCTGTTTAAATTGTGTATCGCTGTAGCGAGTACTGTATGCAGTACACACGACATGCAAAATCGCACACGACAACACAAAATTTGATATCGCAGGGAAGTGGCTATGCATGTATACATATTAGTTATATCTATATGGGATTTTGTGTGTGCCACTGCACATTACATAAAAATTCATATATCATTGGGCTAGCTCATTTAACAGGTCACACATTCTCAAAATGACGTCCACGGGCTACGAAGTTGGCGGGAGCGAACAGACTTCAAAAATACACAACAAAATAATAACGAAAAGGATATCGACTCACCTTAACGCCTGTGCAATTCCATATCATTATCGGCAAGTAATGATAATGTTTGTATAGTGTTAATAGTCGGACACCATTGTCCGTGTAGTTTAAACATGCTCTACATGTCGTATTCATTTTTATTTCTCTATATTTCCTATGATAACGATGACGACGACGATGATGGTTGTTGTTGTTTTTTTTTTTTTTTGTTATTTTCGATGCACAATGCCCAACTGTGTTGTGTTTGTTTTTTGGGTCGCGTGCAATAGTCGTTTTCTTTTTGTTTGTAATATCTGGCTTCAGTAAATTTCTCGGTTGGCGCTGTTGTATATTTATTATTTATTTACTTGTCTTGACTTCTACGCCAGTTAAGATAATTTTAAAAACGTTAAAACCTTTATTATACTTTGATACAATTCTTCACTTGTGTGATTGTTTATATGCCCCGTATGTTGCGTCTGAAGTTGCGATTGATTTCAATGTTGTTGCTGGTTTTATTGTTTATTGTTTGGATTGCAACCGATTCTGTCACCACTTCACGCACTCACAATCACCAAATCAAATGGTTTTCCACTGTTCTGCCATAAACATTAAAAGAGAGAAAGAAAATGAAATAAATATTCAATCACTTGATACGAAAACAAATAGCCATCATATTTGATTGCATTTATTGTAGTTTATTATGTTAAAACACACTAATGCCGCGCGCGCAGTAACTCGCGCGATTAGAATCCCCTTTCAGCAATAATTGTTATTAATGAAAAATGTAATTGAACACTAAAAATTCAAGCAGCAAATCAACACACACACGCACGCACAACACACACCGAAATAGGAGCTCAGAGAGAAAAAAATATGTGCGTTTTTTTTTCTTTTGCTTTTGAGAATACACAAACAAAATGTTGTTGCTGTTGTTGTTTTACAAAGATTTTGGCGTTTTAAATTCAACACTAAAAATACTACACTCTGTCGTGTACACAAGAGAGAGAGAAATAAAAAGAGAGAGTGTGTGTGTGCGTACGTGTAAGAGAGAAAATAAAAAGTGTAAATATTGGCTGAAAGAGCAACAAATGAAATGAATGTACAGTGAAATGGATGAGTAAAAAAACACTAAATAAATTGTCGAACAATATAAACGCAACACAGAAAATAAAATCCGAAAAGAAAACGGTATGTGAACGACAACGAAAAATACAAAAACAAAATTTCTCAATACAGTGTTTCAGTTAGTTTTCTTTCAAATGAAAGTTGTTATTTTATTTTTCTCGATTTGATTTTCCAAGAGAGCATTTATTAACAAGAAAACCACTCCACACGAATAATTTAGCTCTTGATTTTATTTTTATTTTTCTTTACTTGCTGCAATTGAGTGTATTATTTTCTTTCACTGTATTTTTTTCGAACATTTTTTTTCGTTCATATGTACTGTAATGAGAGAGATATGTGCATAGTTTCTTCACTTATTTATTGTTACTCTTATACTGTTATTACGGATTTTTGTGTAATGCTCTTTCTGTCGTTGTCGAAAGCGCGCTTCGTATGCCCCCGTCTTTTTCTATTCTTCGATAAATTTTCTCGCGCTCTCTTTCTCCTCTCTCTCTCTCTATTTAACTACACATACACACTCTGCATTTGATATAGTTCAAATGAAGTAGAAAAAAAACAAATTCAGTTCTTCTTCTTCTTCTCTATTTGTGCAAAACAATGTATGTATTACTTTTATTCGCTTGTCTAAACATTCATTCAAATTAGAATTTCTCGATTGCTGCAAACATACAAGCTTGCTACTAGTTCGCCGCGCACAAAATTACACCACAAAAAATGTGTATCAATTGTACACAATCCACGCACATATACACACGAACATACAACCATGCAACTCGATGAATTTCACTAATATTTCGTATATATATATGTGTTGTTGTTGTTGTCGCTTTTTTTCTTCTTATTTTAGTATTATTATTATTTTCTTGTGTGTTCCCTCTACTTTTATCTCTTTCTCTCCATTCGAACATTTATTTTATTCTCTCTTCTTCTTTCTCCTGCTTCTTTTTTATATTTTCATTTGCTTCGTTTGCTCGTTTCGTTTGAATCCGTTTTATTTCACGGCACTCGTATGGTATACACGCAAATTGATCGAAAGAGAGAGAGAGAGAGAGAGAAAGAGAGCGAAAAAAAAAACAAAAAAAGACGCACAGTACCCCCGCATTACATGTTCGCATATAAAATGATGACGCTCATACAAGCAACTCTCTCAACGTATTCGACACAAAACACGAAACTATAGAGAAAAACAGGCACCGAGAAATACAAACACATACATCTACACGCACACATATTACGAATGCACACAAAACACACAAGAATGTTCCGAATGTTTATGCACACATCTACAGATACGAAACGGAAAAGAGAAACAGAGATACCGAAGCAGCCGAAATCATCGCAGTCACACACTTTGCTGCTATGTAGAATAGAAGTTAAAAAAAGAAAGACGAAGACGATCAAAATGAAGATGAAAAAAGTAAAACACATACGAATTGACTGAAAACATATTATACACTATACACGGCGATTTGCACGATTTGATCGTGCTCGTATCAAGACAGTGCCGAATGTGAAAATATTGTTCGAGCATTGGTTTGAGCGAGAGGCAATTCTGAAATAACGACAGTATATATCAACAATTCGTTTCATGGCTGTTTCGCGCGCGTTCGTTGCCGTCATTGTTGTTGTGCGCACGAGAGATATCGAGAAATTAACTTGAAAAAGAAAGAAAACATGAATTGTCTATGCATACAATGAGCAATGAGCAATGAAACACAAAGTAATAAATGACGATGACAACGACGACGACAACAACAACAACGGAGACAGCACTCGGTTGAACAATACACAACGTACACTTACATTGTATAGCAACAACAGAAATCGAAGTGAATAAAAAAAAATCCAAAAACGTTTCAAACAAAAACACAACAACACTCACGACAATGGGTGAACATTTGTTGTGTGAGATGTTGTTGGTGCTTTTTTTTTATCGTTGTCGTCGTCGTCGTTCACTTCTCAACAGCATATTGAATACAGTCGTAAAATGCAAAGAACTTATCGTACGTGGAGAATATTTTATCGTCGTTGCGCGCTATTATTCAATGCAAGAGAAGCGCTGCCAAAGCGTGGATAAAAACCACAACAACAACAAACTTAAAATGTTGGCCGCTTAATTCTCATTCCAATATTCAGCAGTCAAATGCAGTTTCACATAGAACTTCACTGTTGAATAAGTGCTAGCGCTATAAGTGCAACACATAAAAAACAACGACGAATTCAATTCAAATAAACATTTTTTCCACTTGCACTAGCATCTATACAAAGCCACACACACACATTCGCACGCACACATACAACAATGAGAGCCAAGCCGAAAATAAATGCTTAACAAAAAATAAGAAGAGAAAAAAAAAATACGATCACGCTCTTACACATTCACAAAAACAAGGCGAAAAGTTTCAGTCAATGCTATGTATGATCCGTGACAACGAGAATTGAACTTTGTGTTGTTGAAAAGTACAGTACACACGAGCTTCGGACAAGCAATAAAAAAAACGTACACTAGGAGAAAAATTTGCTTCGGCTTGTCAAATCGACACAAATACATGCACACACTTGAATCGGCGCGCAATGAGTGAATATGTCGACAACAACAAAATTCGAACACGTATAAGACATCACAGCAAAAAAAAAAAGATATATATATATTATATTATATATGACCGAATTGAAACTCTTTTCTGAATCTAAATGAGAGAAATAAAAAGAAAATGCAATTCAAAGAGAATCTTTAAAGCCTAAAAGCATTGACACATTTACGAGATTCGATTTAAAACCGAAATACCAACTATGTACTGAATGAGAAAACAGTGCGCGTTTACATATTTGACACGACCAATTGAAAGCAAAGAAGGTAAACGCGCTTTTCCCCCAATATTTTTTTATGAATGGCCATTAAAAATGCATGATCCAACCGAGAATTTGGAGCATAGCATTTTTCGTCGTTTATAATTTTATGATTGGTTGTTGTTGTCGTTGTCAATTGCATGTTTATTATTCCGGCTTTAAAGATTTCTTTTTCCCTAAGTATTTATCGCCTGTATGTCCACCAATACCAATCGACGATCACTTACATATTTTTATTTAATACACGCACAAATACACCACCACAAAATATCTATATAGTTCTTCTATTCACTTCATCACTTTTCAACTCTCTCGGATGAGACAAAAAAAAAATTAGTGCAAAATTCATCTATTCATCTTTATTCATACACGCACGCACACACCAAGCTATTTTCTCGCCTATATATATATATTTTCGGTGCTGTTTTTTTTTCTTCACTCAGCGACTGCTAATGCTGCTGTTGCTTCTTCTCCTTCTTCTTCTTTTTCGTTTTACATTCGTTGCTGTGCACTGTTTTTGTGCTGTGGTAGCCCTGCTTCGTTAGTACGTTTCGTTTGCTGTGCAACACATTTATACGCTGAACTTATATTTTGAGCGAAGTGGTTGATGAGTTTCAGTTTAGGTCATCACGTTCAACTACTTTCTATTTGAATGTGTGTTACACAGACACACACACATACTGCACCACCATCACCACCACCACAGAAAATCGACAGCTCAACCAACTATACGACGACTCACATTCAACACTCGATTTTCGAACAATTCAGCCAATGCGAACCGTTTTTTTTTTTAATATTCGTTTGTTTTATTTGAAATGGTAAAGCGAAAGAAAAAAATAATTTTTATTTGACTCGTGTACACACTAAAAATTCAATTCAAAATTATGATATCAAACAAATCTTTCTTTTCGAAAATTTCAATTACTTTTTTCTTCGTCGTTTCGGCCAAACATTTATAAATCAATGGAATTTTTTTTTCTCGACAATTTTTCTTTACCGTTTTATTATTTGCTTTTTCCAGCCCTCTCTCTCTTTCTTTCTATCCCTCTATGTATATGTGTACCGCAGTTTTTTTTTTGGTTAACTGTGTGATTATGACTTACATATATTTCGATTTGTTTCTCTATGTGTTTTGAGAGAAAATATAGAGAATATGTCTGCGCTCGCAAAATATAGCGTAAAATCGAACAAATAGTAGAAAGAAATGACTATTGCCAACCGAGCGAGATGGAAAAAGCGGTCGATGGAATGAGAACAAGATAACTGAGCAAACATCAAAAATAAAAAAGAAGAGGTAACAAATGTTCAATGCAAAATGCGTTTATTGCCGATTGCCGCTGTCGATTGAACGCACTCATTCTCATCATATTCACTTCGTTGGCATTCTCTGACAAACTCACTGCCTGTGAGTTACTAGATTTGAACTGAAAAATTTCTTTTTATCTCTCTCACACACACGCACACGATCATCGAATTGTGTTTTTATTTTGTTTTGATTCATCGATAACGAGTCTCATTACGTCGAGTTTATGCTTTCGCATTTGACTTCTTTTTTTTTGTCAAATTGCATAATTGCGCTATTGAAATGTGCAACCATCGCTCATATCTTCGTCTTGGTCGCACTTATTCAATTCAATAACTGACGGTTTTGTTGTAATGTTTTTTTATTATTAATTTTTTTTCGTTCCTACAGATATCTTTTTTTCGGTTTTATGTATTTTAAAACAAATTTGAATTGCATCCAATTATTCGAATGAAATTAAAGCATTCGCAGCAAAAAAAAAATCTCCGATATTATTTCACTTTGTACGGCTGGTGAATCGTGTGTGGTGTTTTGCGTTTAACGACTTTTTGGTTCACTTGGTTTTCTTTTGTCTAGGATGTTTTTTTTTCTTCATTTTATTCGTAAATATCTTCTTTGTCAGCGATGTACTGAATGATGTCACATGGTCGGAACAATCGTTCCGCATCTGAATCGGGAATTTCAAAACCTGCATTGCGAAAATTGAATAACATTTTGAATTATATTTTTTATGACTTACTTTTGAGCAGAAATAAATATGATTTTTAATTGAATTATATTCACAACTCACCAAATTCGTCTTCCATGGCCATGATTACTTCGACGTGGTCCAGAGAATCCAAGCCCAAGTCATTTATGAAATGTGATTCTGGTGTCAGCTAAATGGCAGAACGAATATTTCAACGATTAGATTTTTTTTTTCGATTTGAGTGCAACCCTAGGGTCACATAAAAATGTGCCAGAGTATCGTTTTGTCACAAACGAAAAATTGATAAGAAAATGAAGTGGCCGCTTTGAAGCGCATTTACAATCGTTAATAGTTTCCTTTTCTTTTAAAATGCATATTTTGTCAATTGAAAATTTGGTAGATTTTTTTGTATCTTATTTTCAATTTTGTAAAATGTGTTTCTTTGATCTCACACTGAGCGATTGTAAATGTGCTCCAATTGCAATAAAAAAAACGCCGCTGGCAATTTTCCCTTCATTGCGTTAAAAAAACCGAATGCTTGAATTCGATTCTTCTGTTTTTTTTTTGGGAGCAAATCCAGCCGGCATTATTAAAAAAACAGAACTGTGACAATTCTACCGCCCGTTCATCATTAATTTTCTCGAAAAAAAAAGAGATGCGAATGAAAAATAGAAAATAGCTAATACCTTTGATGCGTCAATTTTATCGTACAAATTGAGCACTAATAAGACGCGTTCTTGAATTAATTTTAATGTAAGTGGTTGTTTGGCTGAATAATGTCTAGTGGTGGTCACATTTGAATTCATCGACTTCGATTTTGATTGCCAGCAACGGATTTTCTATTATCGTATACATAATACACATACGCGCACAGCCGGAATATCGAAATGAAAAAAAAAGAGAAAAAAAGAGAGCACATTAAAAAAATGAATTGATTTGTATACCTTTTCGGCAACGATTTTATCGTAGCTTTTCACAACTTGTAGAACTTTTTCTTCGATTTCTTTTTTGGTAAGTTTTTTTGTGGAGTAAGTGTTCGATAGCACTTTCATTACCTGATTATGAATCAAAAGTTTTACCAATAAAATAAACTACGCAATTTTAATTTGTAAATAAAGCAATAAATGAGGTTAAGTTATAACATGAAATGATTTCTGCTTTTGATGGATACTTCGGTCTTTCTTTTAAAATGAAACATCCATTTCATTATGGTAATAGTAGCCAGTTGGCTCTTTTGTATTCAGATTTACCGAAAAAAAATGATATTCGATAATAGAGGCCATGAAATTTACCTGAACGGATTTGACTAGCGATGGAGCGATTAGGCCAGTCGATGACAATCCATGGTGCATACATCTATGTTGGAAAATGTTGCGTGGTCCGGCCACTCGTGCAACCATAACACTCTGATTGACAACACACCGCAAACCTTGTACCAGGCGTGACATTGCCTGAAAAACAATAAAAAAAAACAAATTATTAATGAAAACGTGCCAACAAATAAATATTAGGTCCGATTGAAAATGGGACGTGGACGAATCCAAATGGTTCAAAAAAAGGCCAAAAAATAGACTCGAGTCTATTTGCTCAATACAAAGGCACGATACATCAAGAGCTACAGATAATGTGAGCAGCACACTGAACCAATAGATTTTCCTCCACATTTGATCACATTTTTTTCCACATTGCATACAAAATGATCAAAACATTAATGGCACTGTGATTGAAACAAATGCAAAAAACACTTACGTTCAATTTGTTTAGAATAACAATTGTTAAAAAAAGGAAATTTTTTGAACTTTTCAATATGACTCAAGTCAGAAATGCCAAAGAATTATATATAACCCTCTTTTCTTTTGCTAACTTAGAATTATATTTTTGGTTGCATAATGATGGATAGAAAGAGAGAGACATTTGACATTTCACACATACACACTTACACATTTCGAAAAATGTGGTTAATGTGTTAATGAACGAAAGGCGGTGTTGTAGTTTCAAATACACAATAAAATTTGTGAAAAGTTCAATTGGAAATTGAATTGTTTCAATGAAATATTTTGCGTAAATGTAATTGAAAAATAAAAATTCATTATGCACAGAAATTTCATTTGATGAAAAAAAATGTAATTCATAATAAAAATCGATTCGAGCAAACATTCGTGTAAACGACGCATAACGGTCGCCATCTTTAATAGATGTAGAGAGCGCTTGAAGCCGCACAAAAAAAAAATACAAAAAGCGACATTCGTCGACTCGGTAATGGCATCATTGTAGCAATTGTGTTGTTGTGAATAATTTTTTTTTTCGTTTGATTAAAGACATTTTCATCGAAACAAATTTTATACGAGAAATCCAAAGACAGCGAATCAAATAAATTGTGGAAATTTTGTGTAAGTTTGTTTTTAAAATGTGTAATTGAAATGAAGCGAATGATGATGTTCAGATAGTGCGACAAAAATAGAGTCTGTAATGCCATACATACAAAAAAGCTAAAAGAGAGAAAACAACAAGCAAACGATTCTTCGGAACAAGAAAAAAAAAGTTCAAACCCAGCCATTTTGTTGTGTTGCGTTCAAATAAATTATATAAAAAGTGTATTTTCTTTAAGATTCATTTAATTCCATGTCGTTTGGACCTTTTCAATTTTGTGACAATTTAATTTTCGTTTACTAAACTGACTCATTTCGTTTGGTTTTGTTCACATATAACAAACGCAATATGTCATCGCCATTTCAATGAAATGAACAACTCAAAATAGACATAGCATTCAATCAAAGTATTTAATTGGCATTTTTTGGTTTAATGTGGGCATTATTTTCATTTTAGAAATTTGAGAGTATCTTGGGTATATCAATATCAATATGGGGCCACCGGCACAAAGTCCAGCTCCATCGCAATCACCACACAGTCCATATCCACCAAATCCCACTCCGCCAGCACAACAAGCACCATCACAACAACAGCAGGTAATGCAAACATTTGCGCTTGGTTTTTTTTTTAATTTTCGTTAATATGAATGATTTTGTTGTTTGGATATAGGTACAGCAGCAACCACATCAACCACCACGACCGCACGGTATGATATTTTTACGCATAGATGTATTTCATTGATTGTTATTCAAGTGGGTTAATTTGTGTGTTTATTTTAATTACAGTTCCAGCCCAACAAGGTCATATAATGCAACAGATGCCAATGAATGCACCGCCGCATCATTTACAACAAAATGGGCCATCGCCCTTGGGTTCGGCACCGAATCATATGCAACATCATCCGCCAATGGGTCCTCATGGTAAATATCATTCGAATCACATTAAAATTAAACAATTTTTAAATGAATCGATATTTAATTAAGATGATGGAAATTAATGAGCTGCATTTTGAACAATTTTAGTACCACCACACGCAGGAATGCAAATGCAACCAATGCCCCCGATGGGCTATCAAGGGCATCAAATGCCACCAAATGTAAGTGAAACCAGCATATTGTTATTTGTAAGAAAAGAAAGGGAGAGAAAGAGAGAGAAAAGCACATTATCATTATTAAAATCACAATCCAAGAGCTTCTTTATTCAATTTGATCAATGCATCGCACAGCTCTTTGGTTGCGCCACAAATTAATTTTGGATCGTTAAGATCAATGGGCGATCCATCAGGTTTACAACAATATCCGCCCGCTTCACGGATCAATAAAACAGCGGCTGCAATATCCCAAGCGAATAGCTCACTGATTTGATAGCCATCCAATGTGCCTCTTGCCACAAATGTTAGCGAAATGCAGCACGAGCCAAATGATCGAAATCTGTGTATTTAGCGAGAAAGAAAAAAATTATATGATTAAATCTCCCAACTGGCTTTTTTCCCGCTTTATAAAGATTTCAGAATTTTACCCTTGTGCTGCTGATGCAAATGAGACCACTTGTTTTATATTTCGTTCACGATGTTTTTGTACGCGTATAAATGAGACTTCATGGCCGAGAGTGGCATCTTCAATTTTTTCCACTTTATTACAATGAATTTGTTTGCCATTCAAAAAGGCACCGTTTCCAAGGCGTGCCGAATAAAAATCATTCAAAATTGGATTATAGACAATTCCAATGCAAATCTCTTTCTTCCATACAAATGCAACCGAAATGGCAACAAATGGAATGTGACGAATAAAATTGTTGGTGCCATCAATCGGATCGATGATCCATGTTGGATTTTCGGTCAATGCGCTATTCGTTGCTTCCGATTCTTCAGCGATGAATCTGCAATTTAACGGTTGAAAGTTAAAAATTTAAATAAAACAAATGATGAAAGTATCACTTACTTGTGATCCGGATACTTGGTTTTGATAGCACCAATTAAAAAGGCTTCGGTCTTTTTGTCATAGTCGGTAACCATATCCCATTTGGCGACCTTTTCAACAATGCCCAAATCATCGTTTGACTTTGAGTACCCTTCTTTCACCAGTTCACCGGCATCTTTTACCAATGCTTTGGCAAATTCAAAACACTCGTCAATCAACTGATTTTCCGCATCACCAAATGTCACCACTGATGTCATTTCCTTTGTTGTGGATTTTGTGTACACACCGCAAATCGCTTCTTTCCGTCTGTCGACTGCGAAAGAAAATGGAATCTGTATAAATAACACGCTCTACCATTCAGGGAAACGGCGACGTTTTCAATACATAGGCAAGCGCAATCGTATTTTATAATATGAAGAAATAAAGGCGTGTTCAAGTGTTTACTTCGATATGTATACATTTGACAGTTGAATGTGCAGAGCAGTCTTTTCTTTTGGCATTCAATACGTCGTTCAAAACACATAAATGAGGTTACCGAATCTGATGTTAGGCAACGATAAGTGTCAATGATGTATGTGTGCGTGATAATTTTATATATGAACGGTATACACATGCATGCATTCAAGTATTCAACAATTCAACAATTATTATTCGAATTAAACGAATTATTTAAAGAAAACAATTTAGTTTGCATGAATTGACAATTCTATCATTCGAAATCGATTGAATTATTTGATAAATGAGCTATTTATTAAATTTCTTTCAATTAAAAAAATGTCTATAGATATTCGAGTGAAGAGTATCCATTGCACACTTTACGTTATCTCTGAATAAATTTAATTCAAAAAGACCTTTGGAACCAATTGATTTTTAAATGATTTTTTCTTCGAATGGGAATATTTTCTTAATTACTTACAATTTTATCTCAAAATGAATCTTTAGATCAAATGAAACTTTAATTCAAAAGTGTACTACTAATGATGCAACTAAACTGGAAAGTAATTATTCACAAATGAGCTCTTTCTTTTGATTGAGCATTAATTTAAACTGATTTTACATACATGCAATGCAATACCCTTACTGAAGCTATAGAAATATATTTTTTTGTATGAAGCTGTTTATCTTCTCCTATCAAACAGCTATCGCACTAGGTTAAATATCTTTGAACACACTTGACATTTTTTTCACCAAATTTGTTGCTATTTGCAGACACAAAACTTATCAGCGTGAAGAGATTTTTTCTTTAGAAAAATGATGAAATAAAATTTATAAAAAATTTCTTCTAATCGCAAAATGTATTTGATGAATTCTTTTATGCGCAATGTTGCATATTTGCATCTCAATGACGTTACATTGTCTTTGATATTGATCAAATTGAAAAATTAATTTGACGAATCAAAATTTGTATAATTTGACGTATATTACGACTACTTTAGTCGTTTTAATGAATAAAAATAAATTGCGACACGTTTGATGAATTTTTAATCGAGTCATTTTATAATTTAGGGACCCCCACTAGGACCATCACAACCGGGTCAAGAAAATCTGAATGCATTGCAACGAGCCATTGATTCGATGGAGGAAAAAGGTCTTCAAGAGGACCCAAGGTGAGTTCGTGTAGAATTTAATTCCATTCAAGTTTTTTGTGGTCCAGTAAAATTTCGTTGATATTGTAGAAAAAAATCGAATTTTCCTCCATAAAAATCGACTAACAATTTATTTTAAATCGGCTTTGTTTAGATATTCTCAATTGCTAGCACTTCGTGCAACATCAAAACAACAACACCTGAACCAAAATCAGATGTCATTGCTACGTTGTCAAATAATGGCGTATCGTTTATTGGCCCGAAATCAACCGTTGTCCAAACAGATTCAAGCCGGATTAAGTGGATCACCATGCTATGATATGAATGCTAGTGCGGGCAATACAAGACGGTCACCACCACATTGCTCAACTCCGCCAGCAAGCCCGTATCAACAACCGCCATCTGGTCCAATGCAAAATCAGCAACCATCGTCGCTGCCACCACACCAACAACCACCAGGTAAAGGAACAATTTTGAATTTAATTCGATTATTATAATTATTCAAAGATGTTTTTCTCTGTAAAATATATTCTTCGTTTTGGAGAAATAAAAAAAAGAACGCCAACATATTTTTCATTTTATTTTTAATAATAAATACATTTAATTTTTCTTCAATACATTAAAGCTGCAACAGGGGGAGAACGAAATGCAAACGAACCCCGTACTGATGCAAGAAATGATCGATCTGAGAAACCACAACCAGCTCCAATCAGTGTGAAGCAACGTTTTACAACTGTTGCCAAGCCCATTGGAATCGATCCAATAACCATTTTACAGGAGCGTGAAAATCGTATGGCATCACGAATTGCATTGCGTATGGAGGAACTAACTAATTTACCAGCAAATATGCCGGAAGATTTACGACTTAAAGCACAGATTGAGTTACGTGCATTGCGAGTATTAAATTTCCAACGTCAATTGCGTAGCGAAATTGTTCAGTGTGGCCGACGAGATACGACACTTGAAACAGCCATTAATATCAAATCATACAAGAGAACGAAACGTCAGGGATTGCGTGAGGCGAGAGCCACTGAAAAATTGGAAAAACAACAAAAACTCGAAGCCGAACGTAAGCGTCGTCAAAAGCATCAAGAATTTTTGGCGGCCGTCTTACAACATTACAAAGATTTCAAGGAGTATCATCGCAATAATCAAGCACGTTTGGTGCGTGTTAATAAAGCCGTTATGAATTATCATGCGAATGCGGAACGTGAACAAAAGAAAGAACAAGAACGTATTGAAAAGGAGCGTATGCGCCGTTTGATGGCCGAAGATGAAGAGGGTTATCGTAAGCTTATCGATCAAAAGAAAGACAAACGGTTGGCATTCTTGTTGTCACAGACCGATGAATACATTTGCAATTTAACGCAGATGGTTAAACAGCACAAAGATGATCAACAAAAGAAAAAAGAGGAAGATATTCGCCGAAAGAGAAAATATAAGAAAGATATGCTACAGAGCGGCAACTTCTCCGAAATCGATGAAATTTCGGCTGATGATTTGCGTGTGACCGTTGTAAATCCAACAACTGGTCAACGCTACTCTGGTGACGATGGACCATTGTTGCGTGACTTGCAACGCTGGTTAGATGCTCATCCAGGTTTTGAATGGGTTGATACGGACACCGAAGATTCAGATAATGAAGAAGAAATCAAAAAAGAAGATACCACTGCCGACGAAGAAAATGACAAAGAAAAGGCAGAAGAACTTCTCAAAAAACCAAAAGTCGAAGACGATGAATATAAAACTGAAGAGCAAACATACTACAGCATTGCTCACACTGTTCATGAGAAAGTTACAAAACAAGCCAAAATTATGGTTAATGGTACTCTAAAAGAGTATCAAGTGAAAGGTTTGGAATGGCTTGTATCACTTTACAACAATAATTTGAATGGCATTTTAGCTGATGAAATGGGTTTGGGTAAAACTATTCAAACCATTTCATTGGTCACATATTTAATGGAAGAGAAAAAAGTAAATGGCCCATTCTTGGTCATCGTACCGTTGTCAACACTATCCAATTGGGTATTGGAATTCGAAAAGTGGGCACCATCCGTTGTGGTCGTTTCGTACAAAGGTTCACCGGCTGGTCGTCGTCACATTCAAAATCAAATGCGCGCCACCAAATTTAACGTTTTGCTAACAACGTATGAATACGTTATCAAGGATAAATCGGTATTGGCGAAATTATCATGGAAATACATGATCATTGACGAAGGTCATCGTATGAAAAATCATCATTGTAAATTGACACAAGTACTCAATACGCATTACAATGCACCGTTCCGTCTATTGCTAACTGGAACACCATTGCAAAATAAGCTGCCCGAATTGTGGGCATTGTTGAACTTCTTGTTGCCATCGATTTTCAAGAGTTGCTCCACCTTCGAGCAATGGTTCAATGCACCGTTCGCAACAACTGGTGAAAAGGTCGAATTAAATGAGGAAGAAACCATTTTGATTATTCGTCGTTTGCATAAAGTTTTGCGGCCATTCTTGTTGCGTCGTCTCAAGAAAGAAGTCGAATCTCAGTTGCCCGACAAAGTTGAATACATCATCAAATGTGAGATGTCATCGTTGCAAAAGGTTCTTTATCGTCATATGCAAAGTAAAGGTGTTTTACTTACCGATGGATCTGAGAAGGGTAGCAAAGGAAAGGGCGGTGCGAAAGCACTCATGAACACAATCGTTCAATTGCGTAAATTGTGTAATCATCCGTTCATGTTTCAACACATCGAAGAGAAGTATTGCGATCATATTGGCGGCCATGGTACGGTTACTGGAGACGATTTGTATCGTGTATCCGGTAAATTTGAATTACTTGATCGAGTTTTACCAAAACTCAAAGCAACCAACCATCGCGTTTTGCTCTTCTGTCAAATGACACAGTGCATGACCATTATTGAAGATTATTTGGGCATGAGACAATTTACGTAAGTTGATATTTCCTTCTTTTATGTTCAGTTTTATTTGAATTATTCACAATAACAAAATTATTCTTCTTGTAGATACCTTCGTTTGGATGGTACAACAAAATCCGAAGATCGTGGTGATTTGTTGAAAAAATTCAATTCCAAAGAATCCGAGTATTTCTTGTTCTTGCTGTCGACACGTGCCGGTGGTTTGGGTTTGAATTTACAAGCGGCTGACACCGTCATTATATTCGATTCGGATTGGAATCCGCATCAAGATTTACAGGCACAGGATCGTGCCCATCGTATCGGCCAACGGAATGAAGTGCGTGTATTGCGTTTGATGACCGTTAATTCGGTAGAAGAGCGTATTTTGGCTGCGGCCCGTTACAAATTAAATATGGACGAAAAGGTTATTCAGGCCGGTATGTTCGATCAAAAATCAACGGGAAGCGAACGTCAGCAATTCCTGCAAAGTATTTTGCATCAAGATGAAGGCGATGAAGAGGAAGAAAATGAAGTGCCCGATGATGAAATGATCAATTTGATGATTTCACGTTCTGATGAAGAATTGGAATTGTTCAAGAAAATGGATATCGAACGTAAAGAGCATGATGGTGACAAAACACGTTTGATCAGCGAAGACGAATTGCCCGATTGGTTGGTGAAAGAGGATGATGAAGTCGATCGATGGAATTATGAAGAAGATAGCATTCTGGGCCGTGGATCACGTCAACGTAAAGAAGTTGATTACACTGACAGTTTAACTGAAAAGGAATGGTTGAAGGCAATTGATGGTGAAAATGACTTTGAAGATTCGAATGGTAAGTTTGAATTCGAAATAAATGGAATTAAAACCGATTTTTATTTTCTTCAGAAAATAAAATGTATATTTAAATGTAGTTTTGTCAATTTTTATAGGTGAAGATGATCGCGATAAACGAAAGAAGAACAAAAAGCGAAAGAGTCGTCGCGGCGAATCGGACGATTCGGATGGTGATTTACCATTGAAACGTAGAAAGGTGCAGGTAGATCCAAAGATCAAAAAGCAAATGACTAAAGTGATGAAAGAAGTCATTCGATTTGCCGACGATACTGGACGCGTATTGAGTGATCCATTTATGAAATTGCCATCGCGCCAAAAATTACCTGATTACTACGAAATTATTAAGAAACCAGTAGATATTAAGAAGATATTGCAACGCATTGAAGACGGTAAATACTATGATTTCACCGAACTGGAGAAGGACTTTGTGCAACTCTGTCAAAATGCACAGATTTATAATGAGGAAACATCACTCATCTACGAAGACAGTATTCAATTGCAGTCGGTGTTTTTCAATGCAAAACAAAATTTATTCGCTTCATTGGCGGCGGCTGCTGAAGAAAGGTAAATGGGAAATTCCACTGAATTATACAAATGGTATTTTGACATTTTCAAAATCATTTTGTTTTTTTTTTTTTTTTTTTTTTGTAAATTGAAGCAGATCCGGTGATAATGGTGGCGCGGGCGATTCTGATGAAAATGATGATGATGAATCTGATGACGGATCAAATCCATCACAATCCAAATCGAAACCAGGCACATCATCTAGTTCATCAAACAATACGAATAGCAGTAATGCGGCTAGAAAACAGGCACCAACACGTAGAAAACGCACACAAAAGAAGTACGCTATTTCCGACGACGATGACGATGATTTAGAATAAGCTTAGAACCTAATTTCATATCTCACATAATTTGCTTGAGTTTACTGATTCGCGCCTTAAGCATAGTAGCATGGATCGATCATGATTGGCACTTCGTGGCCATCTTGTTTCAAAGTAAAAGTTTTTATTTTTCATTGTAATCTATTTAACTAAAAAAACACAATCTAGACCCCAATCAAATTTCAATCCTAAAAGTATGATGACAAAAAACAGAAAACAGCAAAAAAAAAACTCTATTTAAGATACAAAGTAAATTTTATGTGTGTGTAATTTGTATTTTCACTCTTCAAAGAAACTTGTGTCAGTGCAATTTTGCACATACTTTTAGATGACATAGACTATTAATAAAGATACTTAATAGCAAATATAGATTGCGTTTGATTTTATATTCATTTCGAAGTTATGATTTTTTCTTGAAGCAAGCATTAATATAGTAAAAATAGCCAATCGCGTGTTTTTTCGAACCAATACAGGTGAAAAACTACGTAAAAATGCTAACATTTTCTTCATTTAATTCTTAAACACTCAAAAATATGTATTGGGAGGTTTTTTGGCACGAGAAAACCGAATCCGAGGTTAGTTTTGAGATACAATCAATTTTTGTCATAGTTTCCTTGAAAAAATCACAAAAAAATTGAATTTTTTTATGGGAGCCATGCCTGTATGCTACCTTAATGACGTGAAACTTTGCACAGACTATTTTTTCTACATAAAAATAACATTCTGAAAGTTTGAAGAGATTCCAATCAAAATTAGGGCTGAAAAACGAATTCAATTTTTGGCTCAAAAACGAATATTTTGTATGGGAGGTACTCTTAATTTTGGTTGAAATTTCTCCAAACCCTCCGAATGTTATTTTTTTGTGAAAAAAATAACCTGTACAAAGTTTCACGCCATTAATGTAGCATACAGACATGGCTCCCATACAAAAATCCAAATTTTTTGTGACTTTAGTTATGAAAAGTTTTTCAAAAATAATTTTTATGGCAAAATTAATGTCAGACATATTTTTATAGCGCTTTGTTAGAAAATAGAATACTTTTAAATAAATCATTGCGGCGAAAAAGTAGCTCTTATTTTTCTCCAAATAATACTGCAACATAAAGTTTTTTATGAATAATAGTGTGAAAAAAACTTCATGTTGCAGTATTATTTGGAGATTACACGGTTTATTTGTTGTAATACAACAAATAAACTATTCATAAAAAACTTTATGTTGCAGTATTATTTGGAGAAAAATAAGAGCTACTGTTTCGCCGCAACGATTCAAATGTCATACAATTGAGTTCATCATAATAGTGTGAAAAATCTTTTGCGAGTACTTCTGCTATTAAATTAAAGAATTTTTCGATGCCGAATATATATCTTAAAAAAATAGGCATCTACCACCGTGCGGAAAAGTTCGTCTTACTCCTGTAAGACTCTTTATTTGTTTATAAAAAAAAAGTCAAAATCGAACCACTCTAATGAACAATCCACCATTTCATCATTCAAGAACATAGGATAAGTTAGCAATGATAAAAATTGCTCATATGTTTTAAAAGCCATAAATGTAACCTGTCAATATCCAATTCGAACACTTTATCTTCAATATCTTATCGTTACCAGATTACATGTAAATGCATTTATCATACTGGGTGCGACCATTTCATTTAATCACTTTTCGCGCATTACAAACTCGGAACTACAAACTCGGAATTTATTTCAAGTTTGAATTTGGTTTTTTAAACTCACATTTTTCGTATTTTCCATTGAAATCATATGGCAAGTAAATTGAAAAATAGTTTTGTGGCTGAATCAATTGCAAAAATGTATTTGAATTCGGATGTGGCCGATGTAAACTTCCTATTGAATGATGAAAAAGTGCCCGCCCATAAAAACATATTAGCAACGTCCAGCTCAGTATTTCATACGATATTTTTTGGTTCAACAAAAGGCAAAGATGTTGTTGAGATTCGTGATTCATCCGCCAGTGCATTTAAAGAATTTCTTCAGTTTTTTTATTTGAACGAAGTGACACTAACAATGGAAAATATTGAGGAAGTTACCCGTTTGGCGGATATATACGATGTGTTGGATTATTTGAATGTATGTGCTGCATTCCTTGAATATCAATTAAGTGAAGATAATATGTTTTGGGGATATCAGCTGGCAATCTCACTTGGCAATGACAAACTGAAATCATTTTGCGAAACGCAAATTAGCATTTGGCCATTGGAAATGTTTAAATCAAAACCGTTTCTTTATTGTAATAAAAATACGCTCAAACACATTTTGGCTTTAGATTCGTTGAATTGCAATGAAATTGACATTTTCAAAGCTTGTATAAATTGGGCGAAATCGGGGTGCATACGAAATGGCTTCGACGAAAACAAACCAGAAAATTTAAAATCTCAATTGGGTGATTGCTTTGCATTGATTCGATTCGGTGTAATACCTATGGACGAGTTTGCAACATATATTTCGAATAAATGTTATAAGGATTTGTTCACTCGCGATGAGTTGGCAGACATTTTATTTATGCGAACAATTAAGGAATTTAAATCAATGAAATTCAACCAAAAACCACGATCAAATGTTTGGTGGAAACTAAAAACAAAATTGATTTGCGACCGTGAAATGCAATGCTACAGACGTGAAAAATTGATACAAAACAAAGAGTCCACATGGTTTACATCGAGTGTTCGGGTTCTATTGGGTGAAATTCAATGCGTATCAATTGATCTTTATCACAACACAATCAATTGCATCGTTAATATTTCGGAAGTTAATTATCAAACAAGAACTTTGATGAAAACGTTGCTCGTACAGTACGCAACGATAGAGAGGGAGTCGACAAAGGTAGTATTGGCGTATCCCATCATAATCGAAGCGGGAAAAATGTACGAAATTTGTTTTGATTTCAAACGAAATGCCGATTCCAGCAGATGCAGATCAGCAATAAATGCTCAGGTCAAAGTAGATGAAGAATTGACAGTGACATTTCACGAAAATCCTATCTCTAACGATGATACCAGTTTAGTTTTGAAATTGTACTTCAGCAAATTTTAGAAATTGAACATTTCTTTTCAATATAAATATTGTACGATTTGTCACGTAATGTTTGTCCTTTAGGTGATAAGGCATTGTCACATTACATCTGAGTACTACGACAAAAATAATTAGCGCACTGCTATGTGTGTTATAAGATCGAACCATGGTAAAATGGAAATAATTTTGAATAAGAAATATTTGGCCTATTTTTAGTTACTTTTGTAATCAGGTAAATTGGCTGTGTACTCATAATCTTGCTACATAATTTTCTTTTTCTCGAAATTTATAGTTTCAATTAAGTGTAGGTAAGTGTACAACATTTTGTTTCGAAGTGTACCTGGAATTTTTTTTCAAAAAATCGACCCCTTTTTTCGGGGGTCCTCATCATTTTGCCCGGGGTAGAGATTTTCTAAATCCAACATTTTATGTAACGTATTATGGTCTTAAATTTCTTTTATGTAACGTACATCAATATTATGCCTTTAATTTGTCACTTTCTACTGATATGGTCAATTGGTCATGCTCTCACCTCCTACACTTAATTGAAACAATAAAGTTTGAAAAAAAAATTCTGTAGTAAAATTACGAGTACACAGCCGGTAAATTTATTAGAACGATTAATGATGAATTTTGTTGTTATTTTACGTTCTATCGAATTTTATTTGAACGTTATGAATAAAATATGTTGAAACACTAAGTTCTATGCGTTTTTATGATGTGTATCAAAGAGCCGATATCGATCATTTTTCTTTATCTATTAAGAACCATCGGCATGTCCTATTCTCGACTCTAAAATGAACATCGATCACATGGAAAAGTAGGATTACTTGTACGCCAAACAAACATTTTCAATTCATTTCAACTTAACAATTTTTTCCATTCAAATAATATTAATGGGGAGGGGATAATAGCTTCGAAATGCGCTTCACTTTAGAAGAATCTTCTGAACAAATAAAAGTGAACAACTTATAAATTAAACAATAAACATATTAACATGCACTAGCTTTAGCAAGATTTTCCAAAAGGTTCTAATGTATTTACTGAAATGATCTGCGAATCATGTATACACACAGCGGTTGCTACAGCTGATTCTCATCATTTCTGTCATTGGATACGTGTGTGTAAGATAGTTGATTTTATTCACTTCAACTGATACAACGCTTTGAGAATAAGTATGTCATGTATGATTGAAGACGCAAAGGAAAACAAAAACATAACACAGAAATAAGCGAATGAATGAAAGAGATGACAAGAAGATATCGCGAATCCACATGCTATGAATGTCAATTAGACAATAATTCCATTTAATGCTATAAAGTATTGTGTCACTTTGTTCGATAGGTTCAAAAGTCTTTTCGTTTAACTTGGAATTCAGTTTCATTTTCATTCAGGATGTCAAGTAATTTAAAAAATACATTTGTCGCACAGTCCATTTCAAAATTGTACCTTAATTTTGAATTAAATGATGTGAATTTTGTGTTTAAAGATCAAAATATTCCAGCGCATAAATATCTATTGGCAATTGCAAGTCCAGTGTTTAATGCAATGTTTTTTGGGCCCGTTAAAGAGAAAACGGACGATGTTAAAATTGTTGATGCTACTGCCGATGCATTTACCGAATTTCTTCAATTTTTTTATCTGAGTGAAGTGACACTAACGATGGAAAATATCGCAGAGGTGGCACGGTTGGCAGATAAATACGACATGATCGATTGTATGAATATGTGCGCCGAATTTCTTGAGCAACAATTAACCGAAATCGATATGTTCTGGGGCTACCAGCTGGCCATAACACTTGGCAATGAAAAATTACAAAAATTTTGCGAGAAACAAATTAGTGTTCGGCCGTTGGACGTGTTTGCGTCGGAAACATTTTTACGTTGTGATCAAAGTGTCTTGAAGAACATGTTGCTAATTGATTCATTACAATGCACTGAAAATGATATATTCAAAGCTTCTATAAATTGGGCGAAAAATACTTGCATTAAAAATGAACTTGATGAAAATGATGCGGACAATCTGAAAACCGAATTGGGCGAATGCTTTTATTTGATTCGATTCGGCGCAATGCAAACCGAAGAATTTGCCAAACACATTTCAAATCCAATGTACAAAGATCTGTTTACTCGAGATGAATTGGCCGATATTTTGTGCGCAACAACTGTTGCCGAATTCAAATCCGATATATTTAGTCAAAAGCAACGAACAAATATATGGAACACAGTAAATAAGTTGGCATGTGACCGTGAACAACGATCAGAATATGGAGATTGGGGTGAATTTCCCATAAAAAACATTGAATCGACGTGGTTCTCAACAAATATTCAAGCTCTTCTCGGTGAATTCTATTTTGTACCAATCAAAGACTATTACAATACGGGAGTATCGTTCGACTTCAGCGTTAGCATTCTTGAAATAAATATTGATACGTGGACAATAACAAAAGAATTATACGCCGGAACAGTCACAGCCAACAATGAGTCGATCCGATTTTTATTGCCATGGCCAATTCTCATTAATCCAAAGAAATTGTACGAAATTCGATTTGAACATCATTCAAGCCGCAATGATTGCTTCCATACATCAACATGGCAAACTCTGGTTAAAGTCGATGACGAACTAACTGTTACTTTCCACCACAATCCATCTGATGATGGTAGCATTGAACACAGCGGTTTAGTGTCGAAACTATTTTTAAGTAGAATTTAAGAACTTATCAATTTAGTTTTAGTATAATTACACTACACATTTTGAACGGACCCAGTGGAAATCGATAGAAAAAGACAAAATTGCAACAAAAATGTCAAAAAGCTTTGTGGCCAGGCGTAAAATCGGTAAAGATCCGTTTAGGGTGGCAAATTACACTCTTTTTCTGGCAATCAATTTTACAAATAAATATTAAATAAAATGTTTGAATTGATTTGAGTGTTTTGTCTTAATGGGCTTATTTTGCGTGCAGATAAAATGGAATTGACGAATATAATTCGGAAAATTAGAAGAAGAAAAAAACAGTATGTTTCTATTTGATTCGATTTGGTGCAATGACAATTGAAGAATCTTGTATGAAGAATTATTTACCAGAGATGAATTGGTACATATTTTGTACAGAGGAATGGGTAAATTTGAACCGAATTCGTTTAGCGATGTTTATCGATCAAAGTCTTATTTCAATGGAACAACAAACAAATGTTGATTTGCTCGGAAGGAACATCAATCGGAAAATCGACGTATCAAATACAAAATCCAGAATCGGTTTGGTTTTCAACAAATGTTTCAGTTGCATTGGACGAAATTAATATGTTTTTCACTTCAAAATAGCAATACGGATTTTACAGAGAACGTGCGATGCCAAGTCATTTGATGTAAGTGGCCAAAAATATCTGTACATGTGCGGTGAGATTTTCAGGCGACTTTGATATTAAAATTCCATTGAAGCGTCCACTTATTATTAATCCAAAAAAAAAAAATGTATGTTCTAAACAACGAAATTTTTATTAAGATTTTATTCAAAAATTTGGATGGAAAAACATTTTTATCTTAACTACTATATTTCATTCATGGTGTGTGTTTTTCTATCATAAAGTATTCATATTTTTGATTGAAAACAAATTGATTTTAATCCGTTAACGCTTTTATTAGGTCCAATTCGGCCTTCAGCGATTGATTTTCCTTCATAATAATGACATTCTTTTCCTTTTCCGAATGATATTCGGATTTCAAGGCATGCAAGTATGTTGCCAATTTCCGGTGCATCTGACGCAATGCATCTATTTTGCGTATTAATGTGGAGTTTGATTCGGAATCGTTGTCGTCATCAAAATTAATAGAAATATTGTTTGGAACCATGTCGATATTGTTGCTTTCGTCTGATATGTTGCATTGTATTCGTAGTTCTGGATTTCGAAAACCTGGTATCATTTCATCAAGATGCAATCTATCCAATTTCGATGGAATTGGTTTTGTGAATTTCGGCGCAAATTCAAACTTGCCAAATTTTTGCTCGATATTTTTAATATAGCATGCGGTTTCCTGTGCAAAACAAAAAATAAGCAACACATGACGTACGTATATAAAATATATATTCAAATCAATCCATTCACTGACCTTAACGGCTTCTTGTATATCCGCTTTATATTGACTTGTACAATACACATTCGGATCCTCCTTTGAGTAGAGATAGCAATCGTTATGCGAAACACGTGCTGTGTTGTGCTCTTTGAAAAAGTGCACTTCCAGCCGATTATTGGAGATTTTCATCAATTTCGCAGGCCAATACGGATATGCTTCAAATCTTACCCTGACACATAAAATTGTTTTTAATGTTATGAAAATTTTACATCATAATCATATGTTTTCTTACTTACCATAAAATAAGATGAGGCTGTGAACAAACTGCTGTAAAGGCACGAGCTTCCGTAAAGCCGGCAATGTAACAGTCACCGCATAGCGTGTAATGATGAACCTGTCATTTAATCGATTCGTTGAATTTGTATCAAACAATAGATGACAAAAGTGACTTTTACCTCTTCCATGCAATTGTTGTATAATTTCTTTGCGTTTTCGATCGCTTTGGCCACTTCTTTTTTTGCAAATTCCAACTTATTTTCACCTTAAAACAATATTGAAATTTTAAATGTATTCGAATGATTTTCAAATCGATTGATTTTCTTACATTTCTTCAGAATGTGACAATTGTGCACCAACAATTGGAAATCAAAAACCAACTCGTACGTTTTCGAATACAATCCATCTGTGGCCTTTTTCACAATGTCATCGAGTGTCAATGGTTTTTTGATCAGCTTGTTCTTGATATAACCTTTTGGCATGCTGAATTTGTCAATCTGCTAGAAACAAATGATAAAGGCACATACATTTCGAATAATCAATGGAATGAAAAAAATGATGTATACTTTGCGAATAATCCTTTCAATCGCATATTTAAGCACTTCGACGAAATCATTGTCATTCAGAGTCCTGCAATGAAAGTTAATTTTTTTTATCTCATTTTGCAAGCATTTTGAAGTGAATCATTGATTCAAAGTGACCTACGTTTTAACTGGCATTTCAGCCGAACGACATTCTGGACACACCCAATCGACTTTATTTCGGTTTAGATCTGGCATACAATGTTTGTGATATGTCAAAATACATTTGGAGCATTTGATTTCACGGTCGCTTTCCTTATGGCATTTCCAACAAAATTCATCCCAATTATCCTGAGAAATCTGTGTCAAACACAGTTTTACACATATATTTAATCCAGACAATATATTTAGCTGCCGTCATCTGGATATTTCAGCTCATCTGGATGCCGTCAGCAGATGATGCGAAGTGAAAACAATAGAAGTGATTGTTATAGTAATACCAGTATATAACAAGCTTATATACCTATAACAATCACTTCTATTGTTTTCACTTTGTATCATCTGCTGACGATATCCAGATGAGCTTTAATATCCAGATGACGACTGCTAAATATATTGTCTGATTTAAAAATATTTACGTCGATTGAATTTTACCTTTGTGCCATTCCCTTGATGTGTTGCCAAATCGTTGTCATCTGAATCTGATGTCATAATTAACCGTTTGTACTTTGTCTTGTTATGGGATTTTCGTTTTGCCAATGGTAAATCGTCCACCTCGTCGTCACAGTTTGTATCTGAATCTGAAGTCATAATTATACGTTTGTACATTGTCGTTTTATCGGTTTTTCTATTCGACAATGGTGAATCAATCTCGTTGTCCAAATTGCGTTTTTGTGAAGCCATTTTCTTCATTGAAAAACATATATTCGCTGTGAATATCAAAAATATTTCTTGTGCTATTCAAAATGGCGCAATATTTTATCAAAGTATATACAAACCGATCGTCCAAATTAGCAACAGTTTTAATACTAACAACAAATACCGACAGCTCTCAACCGCAGCGCAGTTAAACGGTAGATTATGGTCATCCAATTTGACTATAGTATTTTCCATAGAGAGTGGCTGTTGTAAAGCGGTACTTATAGATAAAGAAAGAAAGAGAAAAGGAACAAAAATCCATTGATGCGCACGTAGTAAAGAAATCGGTTCTGTTTCATTTGCTCTGCTGTATTTCATAGCATCTTTTTTGTTGTTGTATGCAATATTTTTCTTATAAATGTGAATCGAGATGAAATCAAATGCTGTCAACAGTACGCCGCCAATAATAAACAAAGAATCAAAATGTTTGTCGTTACTTTGCTTCCTAATTTAAGTTGATTTTTGCTTTATTTTGTTTGTTTGTTTTCATTTCTGGATAAACAATTAATTTAACGTCCATTACTGATCAAGTTTTATTAAATAGTCAAAATCATAATTTTGAAATACATATCTAAAAGTAATATACATGTATTTATGAATAATTTACAGAATGTTTAACCACTTTTGGTTTGCCCGTCGAACATCTTTTGGGACGCAAATTTGTCCTTTATGAATTTTGATTGTAACGTTTGCGCGATTTTCGGCCAATTTTAGAATTGTATAAAATTCGTGAGCTTCGATCTTTCCTGCGGGTGGATCACATAGAAAAGAATGGAATTTAATGAATAAATAATGGAAACAAATAATAAAAATTACATTGCAATTTATGATCTTACCATCGAACATGGAATATTTTAGCTCAAATAGCTTGTTGTCATAATTTTCTCGCTTGATAAATGACAAATACTTGGTGGCCGATTTGATGGTCTCAGTAGCGTTTAAGTGAAATTCCAAAATTATTTTCTCCAGTGCGATGTGGTTTTTGATGAATTTCTTGAGCATGTCAATGGAAATGTTTCCATAATAAAGGTGTAAATGTTTGAGTGTTTGAAGTGTTGGTACAATCACGTCTGAATTCTTTGGTGGCATTGCGGTGAACTCTAACGTTTCTATTGGTAAACTATTTTCGGCGGCAATTTCGAATGGTACTTCAAACGAAAGTTCACTATTTTCTTCCAAAATCAAATTTTTTAAATTGCGTAAATGTCCAAATGGGGCAATGATATTTTTATGATGCGTTTTATCCTCTGAGTTTTCGTGCAGTCTTAATGTTCGAATTCGTAAATATCGTAGATTTTGTACGTATCGACCGATACTGATGAACAAATTTGATGTCATTCCCATGCAATTTATTATCTCTAATCGTTGTAACTGCGGATTAAGCGAAAACAATTCGGTCAGCATATCATCGGATAACGCATAAACTGAATCGAAGTAGAGTTCTTCCAAGTGTGGAAATGCTCGTAGAAACCATGGATTTTCGTCCAATTCCATGTAATAATTGACGTGTAATATTTTTAATGGAACATCGAGGCTCACGATTCTTATCTGTGACATGTAAATTCCCAAATTTTCTAAGGCTTCAAAATTATGTTGTTCATTCAGTGTGAAATCGTATTTCGAGACTTCTAGACACTTGAGTGTTTTACGACAGTATCTAACAATCGATTGAAAGATTTCATCATCACGTTGACGATCTCTATACGCTGCCCATCCAATCGAACTGATTAAGTGACCAAACGCTGCTAGAACACGTTGCATTTGGACATGAGGCATTTTTCCAAATGGCTCTACGTCGCTATTGATTCTGACCATGGAGTATTTTGAACGAAAACAGTCGCCGGCACACTGTTGAAATCGTTGGCATACTTTGGATGCGTTCAGTAAGTCAATCACAGAATTCAGCCGGTCTAAAATTTCACCAATGCAATCGTTGTTTAATGCATTGAGAATATGATGCGATGAATCTTGATCATTTTCCATTTTAACGTTGTTTTTTTTTCAACTGACTAGGAGATAGAAATATTACCAATTTAAAATTAGATACTTCAACTGTTAATGAAAATTGAATTGTATTACCAAAATATGAGTACAATCTATTTAACTTCTCCAATTTTCAATGCGTTTCTCCCTAGGTTTCTCCTCTTTGAAATATAATAATGCTTTAACAGGTAATTAGTAAAACGATATGCGAAAAGTGCATTTCGTAAAATACGTCACATTTGTCAAGTGTCAGACAGAAATGTCAAAATCTGAATTTTTGAAAACGTAATGCGTTGTTCACTTTCTTCAATGGAATTTCTTATATTTTTGTTTCAAACGATTGAACACAATGAATTTAAATAATTTATTTGATTTTTTTTGTATGTCACTTAGTAATTTCACTCCTATTTTCCTTTTACAATTATTCAATTTATTAAACGTCCAAAAGCCACAAATCCAATGTGGTTCCTCTATTTACCAATAGGAGTCTCTCTAATGGAAGATCGTAAAAATATAAACGATTTTTATTTGAATTTAAAACATCAATTAATGGATACATGGGATTTTTGTACGCGTGCAATCATGAGTTGATATTATTATTAGATATGGTATTTTAATGGAAAGAAAAACTTATACGAATCATGCTTATTTGGCGCATTTTTATTTTAATATCAATTGACCGTTTCATCGCACGATCACAATAAAATGTATGGGCTACTGTATCGCATATAATTTTGATCTGTATTCATACGTCCTCAGCAGGGGTCCGAGGGGTTAAGTTTCTGAAAAAAATCGACATTCAATTTCATTAAAAAAAAAGATATTTTTGGAATTTTAAATATTAAACTTGAAAAAACTTACTCCAAAAAATGGGACTTTGTACGAAATCTAAAACTGGCCGGATGCTGTTCTGATCCAAATATGTAAGTACCAACTCGCGTATATACACCTTGTTGATGACATGACAAACAACAAATTTTATTATATGTTGAATGAAAAACATTTCGTACATGACTTGGTTCAACAAAATAAAAAAAAACACTAGACGTACAGTCAATTTTATCAAATAAAATAGCAAAACAATTTCGGCATAGATAATAATTATTATTTAAAATTTTCAAAATATCCATTATTGAATTCTTTTCGATGCAACTTGAAAACACTGCTGACAACTATCGACTTTTTTCCAGAATGAAATATAGAAATAAATTGAAAACGAACAAACACACATATATGCACTAAAAATAGACAACGAAATATAGCATGCGGCAAACACACACACGAAATAACAGAACACACCTGCATTAATAGATGAATTGCAATAAATCAACCATTGATTCATCTGCCTCTTTCTTTTCTTCTTTTTTTCCACTTTTCCTTTAAGTGCACTCCTTAACAGCAAAAATTCAAAGATCTTGACCAACCGAAGCATATTTCTATTTCAATACATTCATGTTGTACAATAGGTACAACCTTCACATGTGCATAACTCAAGACTAAACTGAAAAAAAATTGAAAAGGTATTCGAAAAATAAAATCAATTCTTGCATGTTCAGTTTAATTATGATAAAAATCCGTTTTATTCATGGTTTTCCTATGAGATTTTTTCACATTTGAGTTTTTCCAACACAAAAACCATTCAAACTGTTTCCAGATCATCGATCCTTTTTTTATCAATGCAATCGAAACCATTCTAGCATTGCAACGCACTCGTACAATTTCTAAAGCTCACACATGCGTGTGTATCAATGGTATACAATACATATGTGGCTCCAAGATTGTAGATTTCATTCATTCAAAAATTGTGTTTTCGAGGAACTTACATTTAAGTAAGTAATATTTAAAATTTTCCTCTTCTAAGCTGCTTAACAAAAGCATATAACACAAGTGTTTATTCGATTTGAATAAAAAATCCTTGAAGACATATTTAATGGAAAACTCATGAGATTGTGATTTTTCTATTTTTTTTAGTAGGATTCTTTTGTTATGTGGCATTTATTAAAATCGAATTTTTACCTTTATAACAAAGAATTATAAACACGTGTATAAACTGATGTTCACATATTTAACGTTGCTGATTGAAGACACTTTAAATACGTGATGCGTGGCAAAGGTCGTGTATCATATGTGCTTTGTATCTCTCCTGTGCGTGACTGACATATATGAATTGTCACACTTCAACTGTTTCTAAACAAATTTATTTGAATTTTTGTTTACATACAGATGATTGAAGTTTTCTTAAAAATATTTCTAACAATAAACTAATTCGGAAGCTGTATCTCGATAATGAATTGACCATTTTCAAACGTTTGCTCGAGGAAACTAGATAAATTGAAAAATGATGATGGGCCAACTTTGCGAGGTCCACAAGATATGCTGTTACAAGATCTCTGTGAAATTTCTAGTTCATATAGAATGTTTATTCGATAATCTATATTATAAAAACGAAATGCCATTCTTTTGTCCTTAACTCCTCTCACAATTTTCAACCGATCTGAACCAAAATTTACACCCTTATACTTTGGACCGAGATTTAGGTCACCATGAGGTTTTGGACCAAATTGGACTACTCCATCACGGTCGATTTTTATTTTTTAAATATTTGTATGGGCGATGTCAAAATTTGTAAATTTCATGATCAAATTCGGATTCCTCGGCCCAAAATTATGGGAGAGGGGTACTTTTGAAGTTGGTTTAACAGCCATCGTTGTCTAATATGAGTTAAAACGTTTTATCACCGTTATCATGTTTTAACAACTTTTAACATCTTTTAACACGGTAAATGAGGTCAGAAGCATGGTCCATCATGGTCTAACACGATTTAACACGGTAAATGAGGTTGGAAATCATGGAACATCATGGCCAAACAACATTTATCACGGTTATTGAGGTCGGACAACATGGTAAATCATGGCCTAACAACATTTAGCACGGTTATTGAGGTGGAAAATCATGGTACATCATGTTCTAACACGATTTAACACGGTTATTGAGGTGGGACAACATGGTACACCATGGTCTAACACGATTTTAACACGGTAAATGAGGTTGGAAATCATGGAACATCATGGTCTAACAACATTTAACATGGTTATTGAGGTCGGACAAGATGGTAAATCATGGTCTAACAACATTTAACACGGTTATTGAGGTGGGACCGTGGGACAACATGGTAAATCATGGTCTAACACGATTTAACACGGTTATTAAGATGGGACAACATGGTACATCATGGTCTAACACGATTTAACACGGTAAATGAAGTTGGAAATCATGGTAAATCATGGCCTAACAACATTTAACACGGTTATTGATGTGGGACATCATGGTAATCATGGTCTAACAACATTTAATACGGTAAATGAGGTTGAAAATCATGGTACATCATGCCCTAACAACATTTAACACGGTTATTGATGTGGGACATCATGGTAATCATGGTCTAACAACTTTTAACACGGTTATTGATGTGGGACAACATGGTACATCATGGTCTAACAAAATTTAATACGGCTATTGAGGTCGGACAACATGGTCCATGACTTAAAATTGATATTAATATTGAATGAATAAAATTTAATAAAGTCAAAATCTATAGAGATAGTAATTTCAGAGATAGAAATTATAATAACATGCCTAGCCGAGCGAGCGGAGCGAGCGTGCCGTAGCGAGCGAAGCGAGCGGAGGCCGGCTAGTAAATTATAAATACGGAAACTTTTTGCATTTAATTGTAAAATTTTCAGAATCATAGATGATGACGTAAATTTTTTTAGGGGGGTGATGGCAAAATTCCGTAGGGGGTCCCTGGAAAAATCTATGGGGGGTCCCTGACGAAGTGAACAATTTGTCGGAAATGAGGATAAAATCGTTTTTTTTTTTTGCTCTTCACTTTTTTGACGAAAAACCCTAGCAAATCGAAAGAATTTTCTCGGACACAAAAAGTGAAGAGCAAAAAAAAAGTCCCTCATTTCCAAAATTTTTGAGGGTTCCTAAAAATATTTTAGAGAGGGGTAATTTTTGGCCAAAAAAGTGAAGACCTTTTTTTTGCTTAACGACTTTAGAAACGGAAGAAAATCTTTGAAATTGCTAGGGTTTTTCGTGAGAAAATCATCCGGTTTGCTAGGGATTTTCGCCAAAAAAGAGAAGAGCAAAAAAAAACGAAAAAAGTACACTTTTCGCAAAATACACTTCAATTTTTTGCTGACCCCTCACGATTTTTTTCAATTACCCCCCCCCTCAAATTTTTCCAATGAGGACGTATGTGTATCATCAGAATTTAAAATGGTTTCCATAAATTTTAAACGACCGAATGTTCTACTCAATCGTCATCAGAAATAGTTTGATCGCAAAACCAATAAATTATGATATGGCCTCTCAACCTCGGAATCATTACATTCAAAAGTTAATTAGTCATGAGATGAGCGAAATCGAAAACTTAATTAAGACTAATGTCGTCAACTGACTTGCGTTGTTGTGAATAATAATTTTTTTCGTTTGATCATCGAAATTTTGACCGAAACACAATTTTATGGAAGAAATGTCAAAAGCCGCGAATTGAATATATTATATGAGTTTATTTTTCAAAATGTATAATAGAAAGCGAATGATGATGTGTTCGACAAAAATAAAATCTGTCATGTCAGTAAATAACAATCAAGCGATTCTCATTAAGAAAAAATAAATTCTTTTCAACCCGTTCTGTAGCGCGCGAAAAAAAACTTGTACAAAAATTAAATAACAATACAAATAATAAACAATAGAAAAAAGAATCGAACAGTTGAAACGTTTTCTATTGCACATGCATAACAATGTGAGCCGTATTCGCCTACAGTAATATGGTTGATTTTTGCTTGTCATGCGCAGTGTTTGTCGTTTATTTACAAAATGCTACGTATGACATTGGGTCAGCTGGTAGCCTTACGTCAAATGCATAAAGTATCAGGGAAAACAAAACGATATCATAGTCCAAACGAGATAGAGAAAGCGAGAAAAATATCAAAAAAATTATTTATTTTGTTGTGTGTTTCATTGGTGTATTGTCAAAATAAATTGTTTGCATTGTACAAAAGTGATTTAATTTGCAGCACGAACATTCCATTTATTCGAACACATCATATTTTCGATGAATAAACACAGAATGACACTGTCAACATATTGAATTGTCAAAATGCATTGAAAATAAAATTGTTTTTATAACGCAATAGAAAATCGAACAAATTCTAAATTCTACAGAAAACGAATCATATCGCAATTAGAAATATACGAAGAGAAAGAAGTAACAGTAAACGTCAAAAAGAGCATACACATCTGTGTTTTGTGCAATAATGACCATGTCAAGAACGTAACAGTGTGATTGAAAATAAAGCAGAGAACAAAACCAAATAATGTCCTATTTCAAGATCTATTATTCGGGCCATGAGCTGAATGTGATGCATACTCAGCCAATGGATAACATTACGAAAATTGCATCGCACAATGATCATGTGTTTGTGTTGACAACGGCCAAGCAACTATTTTTTGGAACTCTTAATGGTCATGGTCCACAGGCGAAAATTCAGTTCGAAGTTATTCGCACGGACATAATTGACGTTGCATGCTCAGTTGACTCGGTATATGTGGTCGATGAAAATGGTAACGTCCAGCACTGTCCATTGATGGCATTCGACTTTGACAAACGATGGAATAATATACCAATATTGAACTGTAAGTTTATTTCTCGTTACTCGGATGAAAGTTTTTTCTCTTTATAAGCCTTTTCAAATGGCGTTGACATTTTCTTTGTCATTCTTCACTTTACAGATGGTGCAATTTACGAAGGTGTTACAACATCGAATGGCGGTGACAGTGTTCGTGTGCTGGAAGTATGTTGTAATAATGATGGTGCCTTGTTTATAACAGCCGATCGTGAGCTATATGCAATGGGCAGTTTCAACGATGTCTGCACATCCGATCAACCAATGAAAGTGGCACAATTCATTAACTATGAAATTTTGCAAATTGCAATGGGAAAACATTTTGCTGTGATCCTAACAAAAAAACGAACAACACAACCGTTCCATACAAATGCATCACATACAAATCACATTGATTCATCAAGCTGTGACGGTTCAATCCATTCCGTCGATAATTCATTGGCAAGCATATCAATCAATGAACATGATTGTGAACCGTTTGTATCGTCAACGCCATTGCCGTGTGACAATGTTAATAATGTCGACGGTGGCTCATTGAATAGTGTGAATTTGAGTAATTTAAAAACAGCAACGATAAACAACAACAATAACACAGACACCGAAAGCAGTTCGCCGGATCAATCATTGTTATTTGATGTGGAACATGCTATCGGACGATTGTTGAAAACAAATGGACAGATTCAAACGCAAGTTTGGTGCTTTGGCAGTATAAATGGTTCCGGCCAATTGGGCGTTGGTGATCATGTAAGACGTATGCATGCCGTTGAAGTGTTGTCGTTACGTGATCAGGGTGTTGTTCAAATTTGTTCGGGTGATGAACATACGGCCGCTCTAACGCTCGATGCTCGTCTCTATTTGTGGGGCGATAATTCATATGAACAAATCTCACATTGGTTGGAAAAAGAGGATTGTAGCTCACCGAAACGTTTTTATAAAACGGAGCAAAATATTTTCAGCATGCAATGTGGCCATCAGAGTACATACATTCTAACAAACAATTTGGATCGATACGAGCTCAGCCGAAATAGACATTTTCCCAGCATTGGAATTATGCACGAATGCAATGAAGCGTATAGCAGCCATCAATCGGATTATTTATTTTTAGCCAGCAAACAATATTTAGTCGTTGGAAATGTGTATCGGCCGTTACGTTTTGAAAAGTATTTAAGATTCGAACAACAATTTCTACAGGATATTCTACAAAAGACACGACCAAACATTGAAAATTTTCTACGCACTGTCAGTCGTAATATTCAAATTAAATATCGTCAACTGTATCGACAATTTGCTTTACAATACAACACCGTAACGGAATTGGCGGCAAAGAATATTGCCACTTTATTGAAGTTTGCATGCCAGAAATGTGATTTTGTTGCAATTCCATTTATACGACATCATATGGAATATGTGCATGCATTTCGTACATACTGTAAATTATATTGTGAAACAATTTGTTCGGATGATTTTGGTCGTTTCAATCAAATTATTATACCAAATGCTGATTTCACATCGAAATTTTCACTTCCATTGCAACACACCACAAATTATATCGATTGTATTCGTGAATTGATTGAAATCAATGGTGAAAGTGATATGCTTCAAACAGCGCTAAATCATTGGGAACAATTTCTTTGTGAAGTCGATGAAATGCAAAAATCGGCCGATTTGACAATTGCATTTTGGATGTCAAATCAAAAGACAATTCCATTGGCATTGCAAATACCCGAACGTCGTTTTATTATGGATTCAAAGGATTCGTCATTAAAAATGCTGCCATCGAGTCGATTCAAGTCAAATTGGTTCATTTTATTCAATGACATCTTTTGCCACAGCACTGGAAGCAGTTCATCACTTAAGCAATATCCGTTAAAAATACTTTGGGTGAGTAATGTTGTGGATAAGGATGTATCACCATCATCGTCATCTTCGACGGCGCCCGCATCGTCAACGGTACGAAAATATGCATTTAAAATTGTAACGCCTGAAGAACAATTTTTAGTGAGCGCACCATCGAACGACATAAAAATGAAGTGGTTGCAATCGTTTGAGCATTATATCAAAGTTTCATTAGGTAAAGTTAAGTCAAAATCGAATTTTATGCGTCGAACAACGGCCTATACATTCAGCGATAAACATCGTGTGTATCCATTGTGTCAATATCTTGGCCAATGGTTTTATGGTAAAATGGATGGTATCGGTTGCATTGAATATACAGACGGTCGCATTTATACCGGTCAAATTAAAGCGAATGCCATCAATGGCTACGGACGTTTGACATATTCAAATTTGGACTGTTATGAGGGTCGGTTTATCGATGGGAAATTTGAAGGTTTCGGAACACTTGAAACACATCAATCGAATGAAAACTATGAAGGTCATTTTAAAAATGGACTTAAACATGGTTTTGGCATTTTAACGGACAATTTGCGAACATATATTGGCGAATTTTCAAATGGTTTACCATGCGGATACGGTGTACTCGACGATTCTGAGAGCGGTGCCAAATATATGGGAATGTTTAAAGATGGTCATCGATGTGGACACGGTTTTTGTATAACAGCCGATGGCAAATACTTTGAAGGACATTTTAGTGATAATGATTTGAACGGAAACGGCATTGCAATGTTTACCGATGGCTCCTATTATGAAGGTGATTTAAACATAAATGGTCCAAGTGGCCGTGGCAGTCTTTATTTACCAACCGATTCACATCAGAGCGATGTAAATATCGAGACGGACAGTCTTAAAGCTTTAGTTTTTGGCAGCATACTGAGCGGTTCGTTGAGTGGATGCTGGGAAAATGTTAAAATTAACAATGGAAATATTTTGTTAAATCAAGAATTTACCAAATATCCCGGTCAAATTGGTCAACCACAAATTGACAGCCAATCGAAATGGATGGCTTTATTTACAAATTGGGAATTTGACGTATTTGGTGAGGCAATGAATGACATTACGGATACAAAGAAACTATGGATTAAAATAGGTGATTATACAGATACGGTGAAACAAACTGAAATGCTAAAATCAACCATATCCACATCGGCCATTTTATATAAGAGCGGCGATGGCATTGGCGGCAGTGGCAGCAACACGACAAATCATTTTTTGCACGACAATACAGCTACCAATCAACATGATTATCACGTGTCAAAATCGTTAAGTTTAAGTCGTATCACGGGAAAAAATTATAAACGGAACTTGTTAGCAGTTGAACGATCCAAATCTATAAGCAACGAATTTTTGAATAATGCAGCCAATTTTTCCCATTTGGCGGAAAGTGAGGAGAAAGGTGATGCAAACGAATCGAATAGCAGTGGCGGAAAAAATGAACGACTCGATTTATCAACGGCATTGAAAAGTCCAATTCCATGTTTTGGCATCACAAAGTTAGATGCAAACGATTTACGATTAGTTCGTGATTATTTAACAAAAGCATTCAAAAATCCATATCATCCGTTGGGCATTTTGAATGCAAAAATTTCCTACTGTTTTTACACATCGTACGGCTGCTGGAAAGTGAAACCCATCGCTATTTTATCCACGCATGCAATGCACGAATGGGAATGCATATCAAAACGCATTTACACTATTCTACGGAAATTATTCCCAACACTACCCCAGGAATATGGAACATTGGATGAGTATGTGCTGTTGTTTTTCATATATTTTGCCGTAACCGCAATAATTACAAATATTTCTTACATTTTTTTTTCTTTTTTTTTCAACAGCGAATTCATATCACATCGAAGCTTATTGTATCCTATTCTGCTGTCGGAAGGCGTTTATTCAACATTGTTTGTACTGTACGCAAATAAATGTAGCAAACGCGATGAAATTTATCGGCAACGCATTCAATTGAGCGAAAAGAAAACATACGATGAACTGATGGGTTTTCTAAAACTCGCCAGGTAAATATATACTCACACAGATATAATTACGATCACTGTTCTCTTTATTAATTTCCATTTCAATTGAATTCTAATTAAATTCTTGTCATTGACAGCAAATATCTTCCGTTGATCAAAGACGACGAATTCTCACTGGCAATACACACTTTACAACAGGTTAAAGAAAAGTTTTGTCCACGCGAAATGCTACAATTGATTGAAAAAACATTTAAACATGTCGAGGCGGCAGCTGAAATGGTATCCAAATCAATCGAAGACCAACCAGTAGCTGAACATAGTTTGAAAGCGACCGAGGTCGTTCAACTGAACGCTGACAATATGATGCCATTGACAATTTTCTTGTTGCTTCGTGCAGCTATACCACATCTTGGTACAGAAATTCTACTGCTCGAAGATCTTATGGGACCTGACTTTGAATTTGTTATGAATGGGTTTGCCGGCTATTGTTTTACAACAATAAAAGCCGCCTATCAACACATAATCAATGACTCATTTTTACAATAAAATCATATAACAACACACGTATCGAAATTAAAACAAATCTATTCCGCGCGCTTTGATATTGTGATATCTGAAATGTAAAGGAAAAATTAAACGAAATTTATTTAAAATAAAAACAAACAAATCGTTCGTTCTATTGAATTGTAGTAGATTTGAAGGTTTGAAAAATTCAACTCTGTCTGACATTTATTCAAGTTTGGTTTTCTTTTGCTTACATTTTCTTTTGCTTACGAAAATGATGCTGTGTTACTTTTGTTTTGATCCAATTAGACTTTTTTTTAACCAAAAGCCACCCAAATTGTAAAAGAGCTGTATAAAATATCCATTTTCTCCGAATACCAGCCAAATAGAGATTTGATGAAAAGAAAAGACGGTCAAATTATATAAACTCGCATTTTTTTATATCTTTATTTCCTTGAATATTCTGTTTCATTAAAAGTCAGAGTACCAAAGATTTTAAATTGTTATAACGAATATTTACACATGCTTTGCAGAACAAAAAAAATATGATTTTATTGTATTTTATTGAGACTTAATTTAATTCATGCGCTGACCTTTATAATCCTACTATTTATCTTCGAATTTCCTATCGGAAATCTTTTTGTAAAACAGTCTAATCAAATCGCGTTCATTATTAGATATGGTTAAAATATAAACCGGTATCTTTTGACATTATTTAACCAAAACAAAAAAATTCTCTATTTCGTAGAATAGGTTGTATTTTTTTCAATGATTTTTTTTTTTAAATATGGACCGAAAGAAATAATAATAATATGTAATGCTAATTACAGACTTGAAAAATAATAAACAATTAATTGACCTAAATCATCTTAAACTATTGACTATTCGTGTCAACAGTCGATTCGTCATTTGTTACAGTTATGTTTCATTGGCAGCACGATATTGATGATATTCATCTCTATTTAATAATATACCAGTAATTACAGCGTTGCTAGGATTCTTAAATAGCCCACAAATGCGGATACAACGGTTTGTCCAATTCCCCAAACAAGCGCATAAACTGGTAACATTTGTAGGCTGGATACACGATGAACAAGTGCAATTGCTGCACTGCTTACGATGCCACTGGTCACTGGTGACACCACACCAATTACTAATATCAATATTGAAAAGAATCGACCGAATTTATGTTTGCGTAATGTGACAAATGCAACGAGTGCGGCACATGTATGTACAAGAATTGATGAAAATAAACTATATAAAAAAATCTGATACCACATTTCGGCAAACGTTTTCAGCGCACTATTGCTTCGAAGATCTCCAAACAAATTGTCAATATTGAACATTGAGCTGTCAAGCTTTGTTAATTCTTCCCTCAACATATTTTCAATATATATATTTATCTTTTTTTCTTCTTACATCAATTCAATACACCAATAGAAATTTTCATCAACTATTTCTTGCTCTTTTATTTCGATGACAAAACAAAACACACTTATTGTCCCTTGGTTAGTTTACTTTTTTGCCAAAATTTGCCGCTCGTTAACGTGAATCGGTCGCTCTCGTTGACAAATCATTGTATTTTCTGGTTTAAGCACCATTCTTTGTACACTAACGAAATAATCGTATTTTATCCTAATTTTCCAAGCAATGATCCTTTTGTCCTGTGCAAATTGGTTTGCAATCAATCGATTGACATATTGATGCGGCGACGGTAGACAACGAATACTCGTGCTGTTGAAGACGGCGGCTTCAAGAAATACCACCAACAACGTCGAATTTGAGCGATGGATTTTGGTTTCATCATACTTTTTCTGTGAAACGAAAAAAAAAAACAGGCAAACAAATTAATTTAACAAGTGTCAGAATGCAATGAATCATAAAACAGAAAAAGTGAATATTGTCAAGGCCATTTTGTGTTTGAACGAATCAAGTTGCAATTAAATTAAATGATAAAAATACGACTTTTTCTGCGATGATACCAACTAAATGTTAGTTACATCCATTTATAAATTTACAATCCAAAGTTTAACTAATATTCATCGTCAAAAATGAAACATTGTTTATTCGATCGGTAGCTTTGTTTCGAGGTTTAAATATCATTGCTCAGCTGGTGCATTTCCCAAGGTCTTTTTTTATTACATCCAATATTTTGGTTAAATTTTATTCAATATACTCAAATGTCATTTTGAAATAAAAAAAAAATCGGTTATTTATGAAATCGATTCAAATTTAATCGAAAATGGACCAACCTATTCCAAGCTGGTATCTTAATGATGATAAGTGTGTTCCATTTTTCATGTTTTGATATATCTCAATTGTTTTCTTAGACACTTTACACTAAACTTTTCTTAGCTAACTCTATATTTTATTTTGTCAATGTTGTATGTCTTAAGTGTTTTTCTCTCTGTGATTGTGTACTTTATTGAATAAATATTAATAAATAAATTGTTTTGTTTAAAAACGCAATTTATTCGATTTTTTCTTTGTATATTGTATTATTTTTACTTCTGATGTACACATACAATGACTTTTGTCTATAAATCACCCGAATCAGAGCAACAAAAGGCGACCAACAAATTTTCAAGACACTTAAGTTGGTTGCATTGCTTGTCAAAGTGTCATTTAGAAAGCAACCATGTAAACACACAGTTCGATTTTGAATGTGATTTTATTGAATAAATAAATGAAAATTACATAAATCATCGTATTCAATTGTAGATTTGATTCTTTTACTTATGAAACAAGTATAAGTAGTAGTTTTTTTTAATCCAATTGTAGTGTCATTTTAATTTTAAATCCTTTTTTGGTGAAATTGGTGATTAGTCATCAAAGATAATAAATAGATAACTGTCTCAGATAAACATAGTTAAAATGTTTCCTGATAAGCGTTTGTTTCAAGTTTTTGTGTATGGCACATTGAAAAAAGGCGAACCAAATCATCATTGGTTAACAAATAAAGACAATGGATTTGCACGATTTGAGTGCAAAGGAACAACTGAAAAAAAGTTTCCGCTTCTAATAGCAACGAAATACAACATTCCGTTTCTATTGGATAATGCACCGGATACTGGCCACAATATTTGTGGCGAAGTTTATTCCGTTGATGAAACAATGTTCAAAAATCTGGATGAACTTGAAGACTATCCAGAGCTATACGACCGAAACGTATTCAATGTAAACGGTCTCGATGGGTAAGTGCAACATAGTGAAAGTTCATTTGTCAAACTTATATGAATATTCACGCCATCTATTGAGAAAATTAAAACTAAACATTGAGAGTGAATTGATATGAAATTTATTTATTTTTATTTTTTAACAGAAATTCTCACCAATGTTGGATCTATTTGCTTAAAAAGTATCCAGATGAATTTCTAAAAAAAGAGAGATTCATCAGCGAATATAAAGATTCAGTTGAGAAGCCATATTGCGAAAAGTTTGTATACTATAAATTATTAACATTTTCAAATAAATAGAAAATTTATATATTTTTTTGATTCATTTTTTCCTTCAAGCTACCTTGATACCTGCACTCCAGAAGATTTATACAATTCATAAAACTACAGTTATTCCAATAGATTTCAACATATTGAAAAATCCAAATGTAAATATGGATTCAATTTATTAAACTTGTATCAAAATGTTGGTCAAATATATGAAAAAGATAATCTACTTTTTGATTCATAGTATTTTAATTGATGTTAAAAACCATATTTTATATTTAAATGTACATAATATGCCGAACATAATATTTCTCGATTTATTTCGTATAGTTATGATGTTCTTAAGAATAATATTGTAGGTATAGAAAAAACAACAAAAATGTAGATAATTTATCAAAAATGGAATTAGCGTGATACAAATTTCAAGCGAAACTCTGGTGCATATCTGAAGACTCCTGAGAGAGTTTCACATGGAAGTGGCATTCTTCCGTTGGCTGGTAATATTATGTTAAAATTTTGCACAAGAGCTGAAACAAGCAAGAAAAGTGTATTTCTTGCGAATGTTTCCCCCGCACATATCTGTAAGCAAAGATTTTTTTTTTTTTTTTTTTTTTTCAAAATAACATTTTAATATCCTTACTCGTTTTCCAGCTCCAAATGGCATCGATTTATCTAGTTTCGGTGAAAATTGTCCAGACTCGTCGAGAAATCGCTCCGGCTGGAATTGGTCGGGATTTTTCCAAGTTTCCTTGTCATTCACATGTGATGCATGCAATGATGAAAAAACAATTGTTCCCTATAATAATGTTCAGTAACAAATTTAAAAAAATTGCCAGAAATACAAAATTCAAGCAATAAACACATTTGCACCTTCGGTATATCGTAACCTCTGAATTTAGTGTCTGCCATTGCGGTGTGTGGTAAACCTGATGGAATAAGTGTTTCATGACGCAGAGACTCTCGAATGGTTGCTTCGACGTATGGCAAACTGGAAACATGTAAACACGGTGTAAATATTGAGATAATAATATTTTATCGGTACGAAGATTTTATAATGGTGTCTAGTAAATGCCGATAAAATTGAAACAATATTGAATCTCATTGTATATGCGTGATACATCACAAATGAACCCTTCAATATAATATAAATAAATGTAATGATAAAATACTTTTGTCTGTCATTCAGCGTTGGTAGACGACTATTTCCAACAACTGTGTCTATTTCATTTTGACATTTTTTCAATATTTCTGGTTGCAGATAAAAGCGTTGCAGTAAAAATTGCGTTTGAATTGCATTAGCAAGTAATGCTGGCAAAAAGAGATCTGCCGTCAGAAGAATCAATTGCTGGTCTGGAAAAAAGTAGAGTAAACGATGTTGGCTGTTGGTTTTTAAAAAATGTTCATACTTACAGGTATGGCTTGATTTTGGATTATCTTTGTTGTCCTCCATTTTCTTAAAATATATATCCAAAAAGTTTCGTTCGTGATTTCGATCATATGTTCGGTGTTGTTCATCGATAATTTCCTGACAACATGAGAGATTGAAGAAACAAAATTGTTTTTACTATTTTTTCATTGCACTTTGAGCACTTTCTTATTTTTTATACCTTCATGCAATTGTAATATTTCATTTGTGTTTCTCTAAGCAAATTATATTCAGAAAATTTGGGAAATAGCTTAGGTATCCATTCATTATAGCTGAACATTCGTCCTATATTTTTAAGTAAATAAAATGAGTTAAAAAAAAAAATCAAAATGCCATATAAATTGTATTCCAAACCCCAATCATCTCCCTTCTTTCCGAATTGACTTCCATTCAAAAATGCTCTGTTTTTTTTGGATAAAATAAATTAAGACCGGCCTGTATATTTTAAGATTTATCAATTTAAAATGATACCACAGGCTTACTTGTACAAAATGTGCATTTTCTCTCTTGGCAAACGCTCGTTCAAAAAAACTTTCATAAAAAAATTACCGAGCGTAGATGGGAATATATTTGGAACTAATACGCTATCACCGTCATGAAAATTCTATGAATTGAAAAAACCCACAATCACATTCCAGAATAATAAAAATGAAAAATAAATTTGCTTATGAAGAAAACCTTTTCAAAATCATATTTCGGTCCATTTTTAATCAAGTCAAGTAAATTCAAAATTTCGTCGTGTAATTCGAGTTCAAGTTCATCTTGTCGTCGACCAAATCCAAAATCTCGTAAGTTTCTCAAAGCAAAACGGCGTTGTTCATGCCATAAAGGACCCTCCGTGAAAAATATTCCTTTAACATTCGTTTTTTTTTTTTGGTTAAAATTTCGCTTTTGTGGAATTTAATAAATCGATTGTGACTACCTCTAACTTCAAAATCGGGATCCCGAAGCTGTGCCAATTTTAGTGCTGGTTTACCATCCAATGCTTGATTATTGAGACATTCTTTTGCCGTTGTCGATGTGTTCGCAACAATCGTCGGAAATTGAGCCGCATATAATCCCAAGACATCGGTTTTATAGTACCAACACATCCAATCCACTGCTTTGTGGACATGCTTATAATTTAACAAGAGTAAATAGGGATATGCTCCAAGTATAGGCAGTCGTGGTGGTCCTTCATCAAAATATTACACGAGAATCGAGTAAGAAATTCACAAGATCGATGTTAACAATCACTAAGTATACCTGGCGGGAAATTGTTATTCGGCCGGTGAAACATCCACTTATAGATTTGAAAAATTGCTAAAGCAATCCAAATCCCCACTAATATCAGTGATACCATTTTATTTCACTTGCCCAACGAATAGATCAGACTAAAAATGAATTAGAACTAGCTCAGATGTCTTATATGATCAGCGGATCGAGTTGAATTGGTCAATTCGAGTGTTTTGATCAAAATAAAATGTCATCAATCACAAATATCATCAATTTTGATTGTTTGTTTTGTTTCGTTTTTTGCATTTTGGATTTATAAAATAATAACAAGGTATCAGTTAATAACAAATCTCGAGACATTTTTTTTGCTTCGACTAATTTCTCTGTGTATTTGATAATATCAAATTTACGTTGTAGCATACTACACAAATCGCAATCATTTCATTTCCGATTTCGTTTATTTTGTATCGTTTTGTGTCATTTTGTAGACAATAATTGGTGGTCAATGCGAAAAATTCGATAGGTCTAAAACGATTGTTATTGGTAATTTAATCGTCTGATAATACAGAATGTTCAAAATGATTTAGCGGGGGGAGGTACGTTTTGCTCAATTTGTTACAGATTTTTTTTTCATCTGAACTTCATGCGATAAGCATTTTCATTCGCACGTCTTTTTACGTTTTACAAGCACGTTTTTTTTCTAGCAGTCTAAACATATTTTTTTTTTGCATTCCTTCACAGTCGTCGGAAACCATAAATTCTATTGATTTAATTATCTCATTCAACAGCTTTGAACACACGATGTGGTTCAATTGTTTTATATTTTTGCGGCATTATAAAAATACAAACTCTAGATAACTTCGATTTTATTGACTCTTCAATATTTATCAACATATACATGGCCTGCTTATAATTCAAAAGCGTGACATAGATCACTGTGGTGCGAGGTGCATATGACTCGTTTTAAGTCCATTTTGTATAAGATTCAAAGGTGATACATTCTTATGAATGCAAAGCAGTTTTATGTTAGTGTTTATGAATTATTGTTGATGATTTGATCGAAAGTACGAATGCCAGTCATGTCACACCGGATAGAAAATCAATTTACATGAAATAGTTAAAGGACAAAATATCAAGCAATTTGGATGTCATTTTTGAATGAACCGGTTTTGGGGAATATATCCACATTTATCCAGCATCCACAAATTTGTCGTATTCTTTTTTCCAGAAATACTGGATTTGCCAAAAAAATATTTTAAACGATTGTTTCGCATTAACTGCTGTAGTTGCCTGAAACTGGTTTCACTTTGTTGTAACAATGTCTTTCGGTCTCACATTTCTTTGATTTCTTCACATTTTTGTGTGCAACCGATTGAATTGTAACCAATCTTGAATTTTAAGCAAGGGTTTTTTTTTTTTTTTTTTTTTTTTTTTTTTTTTTCGGTTTGAAACACAAACCGAAGGTATCGAAAAACACTAAAAGCGAACGTTAATGGCAACTAGTACAAAAAAAAGTTCATAAAAGAGAGAAAAATGTACCTTTTGGCGTATTACCACCTGTTAAATAAGAATGATTTCAGAAAATTTACTTACCATAATTTTGATACAAAAATTCTCCAGAAAATGCTCAAGTGCTCATTGATAAATAATAACAAATGAAGTTCCAAATTGAAAGATTCAACATTAAGATACACATGAATGTTGCAAAACTTTTATTTTCCATAAAAATATTGTAAATTTACTTGACGATTGTAAATCAGTTTTTTCTATCTCTTTAATATGCTAATAATATGTTATTTTGTATGTATTTATGTATTCTGTATGTACGCGTGTATGTATATGTGTATGTTTGTATGCATGTTTGAAAACTAGTGCTGTCTATTCTGATACCAGCTTCATTGTCGTTTTTATTATCATTGATCAAATTTGTAAAATCGAACAATTGTTATAAATGGAATATGGGAACCATTTTACATTGTTTTACAAATGATTTCATCTATTTGTTACGCAAATTTTCGAAAAATGCGACGTTATTTTTCAAAATGCCAGGCACCAGCACGGGGCTGCTGGGCCGTTCCGGAGATGAACGGCCTTCATCTGTTGCATTCCTAAAGAATAATAAATAAAAGAATAAAATACAACATGTCAAAAGGGACATATATATGAATATACATGTGTTTATAGAGTGATCTCTGAATTGCCCAAATAATTCATTCGTTTAAGTATTAATTAAAGTCACTTTTGTAATAAACGATTTTATGTTTTCAATAATGATTATAATTACTTTAATTCTTCGCGAAATTTCGTTGATAAGCTGCGAGCCGTAATGCTGTAGCCAGGCGCCATTGGATGGTATGAATGGTTAAAGTTCGGAGGTGCATTCGATGATGAATCATTTCCATTTTGATCTTTGACATTAACGTCATTGTTGTTGGACCCATTGTACGAGCTACGCCAAGCCATCTGTAACACAATGTGATTTAAACAATTTAAAATTTATTTTGACACAACATTTTACTTCCAATATTTAACGATTTATATTTGATTCAATAAATTTACCTGATTAGTTAGTTTTCGCTTTCAATAAAATCGCAAAGATTTAAGTGAAAATAAACCAATAGTTCAATTATATTTGTAACATATGTGAAATTGCTTTTCAAAACTTAAGCACTTTAAGAAACATACATACAAATGATAAGCAACTTACCTTTGGGCGATGCAATTTCTCTGGTACGGTGTTTGTTTTTGTTGAAAATGTTCGGGCGAGCTCTTTGACAGATGGTAACGCACCTATAACATCTTCTTCAATGACCGATTTTTCTTTATGTTCATTCACTTGAACTATAACCTCGTGATTTCGTTCATAATTTGTCACTTGACTTTGAATTTGATTGTTCGATATGGGCACGGGCGATTCAATTGTCGTTTGACTATGCGACGTCAGCAAATCCATCGTTTCACATTCGGTTGTGACGCAGTTATTTTCAATATTTTCATTATCATCTTGCACATTTGTTGTATTTGTTGATTCACAATTGGCACTTGCATTGACTAACACATTTTGTGCATTTTCACAATCAGACACGGTTGATTCATCTGATTGTTGTTTAATATCTGATTCTTGGCACTGTATTTCTTCATCGAATTCTTTACTCACTTTACTGAATTCACGCTCTTTATCCAATAGTTGTTCGGTTGCATTTATTAAATTCTTATCAAAATCGTGAGTCACATTTGTTGACTCAACTTCATCAATTTCGCCATTTTTTCGCTTCAATTCGTCGATAATTTTTGGATCCAAGCTTGTGCCAAAGGCATCATTCATCAACTGAACGTCGGACATTTTAAGTTTTCGTGGATTTCGATTCAAGTGTGTTGATTTAAGTTTGGTTGGTGATCTCGGTGGTTTGCGTGTTTCGTTTACGTTTTCCAATAAACGACTGTTCAATTGTTTAATGGTTGTTTGAAGCGGTGAATCGCTTCGTTCTTTGGTGTATGTTTCACTGCAGCAATTTCCAAAATTATCAAATGAATTAATTGTTTCGCCGCCGATTGGATTGCGTGATCGTTTGATTATATCGTGACGCAAAATTTTCGTTTCGCGCTTATTTAAATCGTATACACGAACGGCAGCCGTACATTCAGATTCTTCGCTCACCGTTGTTGACAAACTGTCGTCACAATGTGGCAGTGATAATTGCTGTACGTGGCTATCGTCAGTTGTTTCCGAATCTAAACTTAATTTTGCGTACTCTTCAGCTGTAACCGTGTTGCTTTGTAATAAAAAATAGTCACGATCTTCGGTACATAAATGATCTAGTTTTGTTGCCTTGTTGAGAATCGGATCACTTTCGTCCACTTGTATTGGTTGCACTTTACGCAATGTTTCTGTCTGATTTTCCAAGTGGTTAGAGTAAGTCTGTTGAGTTTGTGTTGTCGATACCACTTCTATATCGCCAATATGCAACTGAAATGGGTCCCATATTCAACATTAAAAGAAAGAGAAAAGAGAAAGAAGGGATGTATAGATTATTGACATATATGATAAGAGGTTCAACAAAAACAAAAACAAAAAAAAATATAAAACAATGTATAATGAATAGCTGGCTACACGACGACAATACATCGATCCTCACGACAAACACACACAGACGAAGAATAACGAATGAACATACCAACAATACATTGATAATATTTCCAACTGAATTATTAGAAGTGTCTCAATTACTTTCTTTCTTTTCAATTTTGTATTTTTCGTTTTTGCCCACTTTTCAGGGTATTTTTTTTTGTGTATCACACTCCACGATTACAGAAATGCGATTTATGCGTATTTATTCAGCAACAAAACCAACGCCCCAAATTAACGTGTTCTTGTTTTTTTTTCTCCTTCGTTTCATTTATATGTCTTTTCTTTTCAATTTTAACGAGTCTATTGTTTGGCTTTGTTTTTTTTTATTATTATTATTATTATTTCTCTTTTCTTTTTTACTTTAATTTTCGTTCGAAAAAGAAAGAAATTAAATTGTGAGCAGATTCGATCTGAATCATGTGAGTGTACCGATATTGACATATGTTCCACACATATTCACGATAATATTAAGATTGCTATTTTTATCAACAAAAAAGAAGAAAAAAAAAAAAAGAAACAGTCAATTTACTAAAGACGGTTGTCCGCGACAATTTGCATTTTTTCCATATGTTCTTGAATGGAAATTAAAAAAGCTCGAACCAATTACAATTGCGACAAACTGTTTTAGCAAACGATCATTATTGTTCTTATCGGGCTGCCGTTAATGAGCGGCTGAAACGTTTTAGCATTTTATTGAGCTATATAGTTTCTTCAGTAAATAATTGATTTATATGACCTTCACAAACAGCAAAAATATTTGAGCATTCGAACACTAATATCGACATGTGACATGTATTGGCCGATAACGACATGTTGTGCTAATGTTTTTATTTTACCAGGAAAAAACAATATTTATCTAAAAAAAATATACATGTGCCTTGTTTCTGTATTGTTTTCGTGCGTTTCGCAATGTGGTCAAATAGTATCAATGTCCAATATTAGAATGACACTTTAACATACTTATTTCGTGCTTATCAATAGAAGAATGATATGAAATCGATAGATAGTCATAGTACATAATACCAATATGAATATTTTTAGTTGTTGATATGATTATGCTACTTCATTTGTCAAAATTTTAATCTTAATTTATATAATGCGAATTTCTAGGTAAATATTTGAAAGTATTTTGTTTTTGTGCTGTTCGAAAGAGAAACAAAAAATGAAGCAAAATCCATTGAAAAATTATAATGGGAATATTCATTGTCATCCAATTCCATGCAAATATTTGTTAATGCATAAGACTTTATATATGTGAATTGTCTCGCCATTTGAATTACAACGCTCCTTTTTTTTGGCTAATGACTGCCAATTCACGTCAAATATATTTCACGAATTCAAACTTTATTTTTGGCCGGATCCATTTTTTGTATTGTCTAACAATGGAATATTGATCAAATGTTAATTCCGAATTAAATTTGAATTTAACAAAAGAAAAGTTATGGTCAATCATTATGCAACATAAATTGGATTTTGATCGAAAAAATATATTTTTTTTTTTCTAAAAATGAATTTAGCTTATCAATCTATGTTGTTTGATGCGGATACGAGTAAATTATGTCAATTTACTTTTGAAATTATCGGTTCAAAGAGGACATGAGCTACCGAGGATGAACGTGATATTCACATCAATTTTAGTTTTTAACCGATAATTTATGCTGTTACTTACACAAAATAAAAATAACAATATTTATGGTGAACTGTCAAATCATTACTAATACAACTTTATGTGGTTATAATTTTAAACACAGAAGAACACATACATTCAAAATACGTATACAGTAATGACGATGGTGGTGATTATCTAGTTCACAACCCGTCTATTGGACTTGATGTTGCTATTTGTGTTTTGTGTGAATGAATGAATATTGTTGTTGTTGTTAGTAAGAGTTCTTTTTCATTTTCTCATGATCTCTTGATGAATATATTAAAATTTCATTGAATGGATAATATATTTTGATAGAAAAAAGGCCAACGAAATTGAGAAAAGATAAATGCACAACTTACCACAAAATACAAGCAAGTAATTTTTTTTTTTTTTGAAATAAATAAGTCAGAAAAATGTATGCAAGATATTGAAACGAAAGAAGTTTCTTACTAAAAACAACCAATTCACTTTACTATTCGCATTTTTCAATAAACGATAATATAATAATTTCACTTTAATAATATAACTTCATTGTATAATATACATATTGATTACAATTTCGATTTTTGCTAAACTTAACTGGTAATATGTGTGTAGGTGTGTGTGTGCGTATGTGTATGGCTACTCTAATCAATCAAACAAAAATGGGCTATCTTATTAAATTTGTTGTTGTTGGTATTATTTAATAATGTTGTAATAATGTACATAGCAATCAAGTGGTTTACGAAGCTTTAATGTCATCTTTTGGAAGCTACTGGTTTTTTTTTTATGTTACTTACTGAGGAGGAATTGAATGTTGGATCCACTGTGATTTATAACTGAATTTCAAACCATATACAAACAAAACCAATTTTCAATACAAAAATGGCACAGTCGCATAACAGAAAATCAACAACGAATTCACTGCGACGATTTTGACTTTTATACTGAATTAAAAAAGTGTGTACACGATAAATACAAATCTATATATCTTGAATTTTTCTCTCATCTAACTCGAATACTCAATTAATTTGTTCTCTTTTTGCCGCTTCATGAATTCCAAGCTTAAATACAGCTTTCTTCACGTCATTCAATGGCAATAATATTACTATCAAGTGCACAGCAATAATGTAACGCGTAAATCAACAACAAAAAAAACACCGAAGAAAAAGAAGAAGAAACAACAAAAACTAAAAACATCCAGCCAATACAGTTGTTCAAATGAAACTAACCTCAGTGCGAAACGTGGAAGAAAGAAAGAATTAGATACGAACGTTAACTAAACAAACGGCCACGCAAACGAGTCAGAGATATGCCATTCGTGTTGAATAACAACCATAAGTTTGTTTTTTTCCCGAGTTGTTGAGTGAATGGCATCGAAATGTTCTAAATCTACGTTTATGATTCCGCTGTGTTTTGTTCGGTGTATAACGGATTAATGACAAAATTTTGAGTTCCTCTTCGGCTACTAAAACTATTTCGATGAATATCACTGTGTAAAGTATCACGTTCCAAATGTGCAATCGTTTGACCACCATGTGGTTGGTGATTCGGATGGGGTTTAATGCGGGCTTTTCCATATTGTCGACCCAATGTGCTTACCAATGAATCAACGCAATCATTGCGATTTAAATGTTTTCGTATACCATATGTTCGAACGGAGCATAATGAATGTGAACGTTTCAGTTGTGGGTCGTTTTGGAGCGATTCAAGCGATTGCATTGCTGATGTGTTTCTCATTCGTAAAGTCATCGGTGTGGGCACATGAGCAAAACGATATCTACATTGCCATTCGCTACGACTACTATAAAAGCTATCTAAATCACTCACACTATCATCGTTCGTATCATTGTCCAGGGTGTTGTAGCCATTATTGTCATCATCATAGTCGTCAGCATTATTGTCGTCGTCATCGTCGTCAATGGTACGGTGGCGATTAAGATCACCACTAGTTTTCAGAGCCCGTGAACCAGAAGCGCTTTTCGCATCATTTATGTAATAATCTCGGCGGTATCTAACAAAATTACAAACCAAAAACAACACTTTAATTTACAAACGATTTAAATTGATGGCTTTTTTTGGTATACAAACCTCTCTGAATCCATCCTATTTGAATTCAATACAACTTTGATTGGTGCATTGGCCTTGGTTTGATTTGTGGTATTTAACTGGGTACTTTTGATATTTGTTTCACACTTTCCAGTTAATCGTTCGATATCCAGGAATTTTGTATTCGACGATTGACTCAATCGGCGTTGTAGCGCTTCCGCCGAATATGGATTATTCGGAAGCTCAACAGCATTTTGCCACTTCATATGCTCTCTTTCGGCAATCGATCCTAAAATTGAATGATTGATATTTTTTTAGTTTACAACGAATACATTTACACCGAAAATCTTTGCAAAAAACATTTGTTATGATTTATAATGTTTTTACGATTGGCATGCATTTTTGTAATACCTGGTAAATCTCGATAGTCTTGATTGTCTGATTGGTTAGTGGTAATTGTATTGTTAGTTTGATCATCGAATTCGTTAGTTTTGTTATTTATTTTATCGATTTCAACTAATTGATTAGTGCTAGAGCTAAACTCAGAAGTACTGTTTTGTGCTGGACACTCATCATTTGACCAACTACTTCCGATTTGAGCAAACGGAAGAAACTCTGGCACATTGTTATTCGATGTGATTACATCCAGTTTTGTCGTTTCTAATGAGTCTTGTTCAACGATATCAAATGGTTCACCTTTAATATCGTCATCAATATCTTGAACAGAATCTCTGTCGGTCGTATTCACTTCCAACGAATCATTAAATTCTTCATTTACATTTAACGATGACAACATTTTCAACGAAATTCGATCGTCATTTTTTGTAATTGTGTCAGCAGCCACAGTGCTTGAGCTACCGCATTCATCTGAAAATGTTTAGTTTGTGCAATAAACAAATCAATGCTACATACATAAAAAAACAACAACAACAAACTATTCTTTGTGCAGTTTATAATTTTAAATTAAAATAAATCAATAGCGAAATAATTGAAAGCATAGATGTGCATGCCAAAGGCTTTTGGGGTGAAATGGGCAAAAATGAAGAGTGGTCCTCGCTCAGAGGCTCGTAAAATTGCTTATTTGAATTTTTGGAGAGGGATTAATTGGAATTCTCGGAAGTTGGGTTCATAATGATGGAAAATACTCTAAGAAAAACGAATAAAATTGAATCGAACTTACCAGTGAAGCGATTTATATCCTCTTCGTGGTATGGATCATATTCTCTGTTATCATAAAAAAAACGTAATAAAATGTCATGAATACGAAGCATGAATTGATTACGTGATGAGCTCCTTTACCTTTGGTTTTTCTCATTTTCATTCAACGTATGTGTGTCATCTGATTCGTACGCCTCAAGTGAATCGAATTTAATGAGCAGATCAGAGTTTTGGTCTTGCACACTTCGAATACTGTTATCCATGGTTGTGAATCGTTTATTAGTTAACGATGATGCAATTGCGGTGGTTCGATCTTCAATGAGAATGAGGTTATTTTTTGCTTCTGAAATGGCTGGACTTTGACCGGTCAAAGACTGTTCAGAAACTAAACTATCGGGTTCAAGTAGATCAATGAGAGCCGCTTTGCTTTGTTCAAACGAATTCATTTCATTTTTTCCACCAATCAGTGTTTTACTTTCAACTAAAACATGTGGTAAATCATATGCATTTAATCGGCTGCGCTTCAAATCATTGTCACTGTGTTCAGCGTGCAATGACTCAATGTCAGAACCATTTTCGGAAAGATCGCTAATTTCGTCTGCGTTTCGATTGCCAATTAATGTTCGACAATCTTGTGTTGGTGAGGGTACAAGCATACCTAAATAAAACCAAAAAAAATGTAGCAACATATGAAATGTGAAAAAAAAAAACAAATCAAATGCATACCAACTGGGGATGATGCTGATACTATGCTACTTGTCGATCCGTTCATACAGTTGCCGGATCCAACCTTACGGAACAGCCAATTATCAGAAATGTCGTTGAAATTTGTTTCGAATCCAGTGCTATTTGCATAAATCGATTGAAATTCCTGTTCGATTTCCTCGGAGTCGTCGTCTTCGATATCGTTTTCGTTAAATTCAAAGTTTGGCAACGAAATCCTATGATTCTGAATATAATCGCTTAATTCACTATGAGCGCTTGCCGACGCCGAAGCTGATGATTGATAATTTTCTTTGCCCAATTTCTCACGGAATATTTCATCAATTATATCAGCCGTCTATTGCAAATAAAAAAAAAACAACAGAAAAAACGTTTAGTTTAGATTGATTGAATCATTCAATTAGAGTGGCATTAGCGAAATTGCTTGTTCACCTTCATTGACGGTGAACGAAAACGTTCATTAAATGCACTGTATTCACTTTTCAATTCGGTTGAACTGCAACGTGAATTTAAAATGAAATTAGGATTCGTTTGATCGATATGGCAACTGCTATCCAAATCTGAGCCTCCTGAATGTATACCCGAACTATTTTCGTACTTTTTATCGTTGTACGTTTCCACAATCTAAAATTTTAAACAACACCAGTTAGAAAAATGCGATTAAAAACTTAATGTTTAAATGTACAAATAAATCAAATCACTAAAATCGTTTGTATTCCTTTTATGCATAACAATTGGTGACTGAATTTGAAGTGTCTTCGGCGCAAACATATTGACTTTAAGGTAAAGGTAAACGCCAAAAAAGAAGCCGTACACATGGTTTCGTTAGTGGATGTACACTGTACAGTACATAAACAGCGTTAGAATTGCTAAATGCGAATCGATAGGTTACATGAAATTTACATAGGTTTCCATACTGTATTTTCTTATGAATATTGATATTTTTTGAAGGTGGTCATCGATGAACGCTTTCAAGTGTTGAAGAAAGTTTATGCGTCCGCATGATTCATGCGCAAATGTACATTCGTTTGGATATCGATGTATGATATAATTTTTGCGGATAACATTGGAAAAATATATTTTAATAACGATTGAAACCCATGAAGATGAGATATAAAAGAAAAAAATGTGAGAGAATTCGTTGTAGCCTCTGCATTTTAAAACATCGATTAGATTAGCTTGCTGATTTGAAAATGACTAAGATAACAAATAATCGTGAAAGATTTTTTTTTTCAGAATATTCAGCTATTCGAATTACTTAGATTAAAATTGTTCTCAAAATGCGTGAGTGTACAGTGATTCACGCAGTTGTGAATAATTGTAATTTAATCTTTAGTAAACAAAAACAAAAATGCGATAACAAATGCAAAGACTACAATGATATGATAAGATAAATGTAAGTTAACGGTAACTGCTTACTGTTTGTGCAAAATGAAATTCACCAATTGAATTCTTATTGCCGATTTTAATCGTATACCACAAAAAAAACACAAAAGTAAATCAATTAAGAAGAGTAAACGATAGAAATCCAAACCACTTCTGTTTGCTGGAACGTTAGTTATAACAACAAAAAAAGTTTATCATCATATTTCCAATTTGTTCACCAGTTAATTTGTTTTCACAATTGGAAGATCATTTTGGGTACTTTTCGTTTTTTTTTACGTGTGATTTATCTGTTTTACTATTCTAAATGCACAATTCTCCAATTTCAAAAAGAATGCTTGTTACCTTATTTATGACTGCCGTAGCAAGTAAGTCTTCATAGATTTTCGGCTCGAATGATGATTTGACTTGATTGGCATCAACACTAGAGAATCCTTTTTGATTATAAAACTCCGGTAATTTGATCACTTCTTGAACAATGGTGTGTACAATTTTTCGTAAATTTTCGTACGACACACCGGGATTTTTGTCGTGTTCTAATATCGGTAAATCTGAAAGAATGGATAAATTCACGTTTAATTTACAGAAAATATTTCGTTGCAACTGATTCAACTACAAAATCTTGAAATATGATTGTTTTTTTACATCGCTATACAAAACAAACGATAATACAGTGATCAACTGATTTGCATGCAAATTAACGTTGTAACTATTTTACATCTAATTTATGTACGGTGTATGATTATTCCATGTTATCTTCTACTTGCACAAAAAAAAAACGCAAACTAAAAAAAATGTTCTGAAAAAATGTAAGATGCAACTAGTTTCAATTTATTGCATGTAACATTTTCTCCCTCCGTTTGTCTGTAATAGCATTGAAATCATGTTGGAACTGCCCAGCACAGTTAAAACAAAAATTACTTTTTAATTTGAAAGCAATGGACCACATTTGCTTTGATAATTCATGTGCCTGAAAAAATAAATATCATCTAACCCAAATTGCATTAAACAATGACGCACACATCTTCGTAATGTCATTTAATTTGGACGTGTATTTGTTATCTTTGTGAGCCGGTTGCATTTTTCGTGTTTTTTTTTTTTTTGGTTTGAATCATACGTCTGAATATCGTAAAATATTTCTGGCGTTTTTACCAACATTTTATTACACATTTTATTTAAAAATAGCTTTATTTTTGTTCGATTCAAATTTTATCTCTATGCCTTTACCTAAAATGATCTCGATCCAGTGAAAAATTCCGTACAGAGCAAATGCCAAAATAATATAAATGAATATGATTAATTGCCAAGTGAATTCCATTTTGGTATGTAATGCGGCAAATAAATTAAATGTTCACTTGGTACCCGTGCTAACGAATTTAACTTAATTGTAATTTAAATTGAAAAAAATAAAATTGCGTTTCACTTTTATTTTAACTCTACGAATTGAAAATTTTCTTTTTGTTATCATACACAGTCCGGCACGTTATTGAATTCTAAAGCACATTTAAAAAAAACATGTTTTATCGATAAACGACTACCGTTTCGATTTTATTTTTGTTTCACGGATTTTTTTTATTAATTTTATGATCGACATTGAATCGCACACGAGTATAAAGTGCACAAATTATCTTGAATTGTGATTGATATAAAATGCAATGGTGGTGCGATAAAAAGCATCTAAATAACGTTGACGTGCAAAAAAAAAAAAAACAAATAGTTTTAAAACATGAACTATGAATTCTATAAACAAGATCGAATTGCGATGGCACAATGTGTTCTTCTTTGATTTCACGTATATTGTCATTAAAAGTCCTTTAAACCAATATCACCCGAATAATGTGGTAAACAATAAAACTTATTAACTTTTTTTATGTCATACGAATTTAGTACAGACTTCAGATGAGTTCGAGCTTCAGTTTGATTGTAATCATTTCGTTCAGCTTGTATCTTGATAAAGTCGTTCGAGTGTTTTTCTTGGTCATCGAATGTCTTTGGGTTTTAAATTACAACAAAAAGTCGCTAATTCACATTGAGTAGTCTTTATCTTCACTTAAATTCTGATATTACAAACTAAACGAGCAAATATTGAAGTCTTCCGATCCGATGATGTCAACATTGATTAAAAAAAACAATTCTGGCAATCCTATAGAATACAACGTTGTGACAATCCCATTTCAAAAATTCTTCGTTGAAAACATCTATACTGAATTCAATGTTCAGAATGAGTCTATTCTATTCAGAGTATGAATATTTTATTTTCTAATACATGCTGTCCGTTCTGAGAAAATAGCATGGGAAATGTAGAAAAGCACAAAACATAGAATTGGTCTTGCTCTATTAATTAACTTGCTGTAATTTTTTTTATCACTGAAGAATATTCAATCACAGTTGACGTTTACGCTATTTCAAATTGCTTGAACGACTGCTTTGTTACCAATCGATAGTCGCAATAAACTGACATATAAAATGTGGTCAAAACCGAATTTTAAACGAGTTTTTTTTTGTGTCACCAAAATCAATAGGATGCATAATTTCATTGATTTAAAATGATAATGAAATGTCGATTGAAAGTGCAACGATTTGTTTTTTTCCGCTGCTTTTGATATCACAGCAAGATATTTAATATACAAATGTTGAAATCGATTGTGCTGATATTGGCGGTGGATAATTCAAGACTCTCGCCGAAAATGATATACGAACAGTTCAACAAGTCGCATTGATAATCAATTTTTGATTGGTTTGTAGAAAAATATCGACGTATTTGCCATTTTCAATTGCGTGACATCATTTTATGCACTGTGTAAAGACTGTCAAGTGTCAACAACATGCAATCGTTGTTTGGCCTGCATTTTCTGTGAATATTTCAAAATTTAAGCTTTTCCACACATTTATTGATTGCCACAAATAAAATTTAACGAAAATGATTTTGCCGGGGCCAGTTTCTTGAATGAATGTATAAATTGTAAATAAAAGTTGATATCGCTACCAAAACAAAAAATTTCTAGTATTTTTATGGTTTCTTAATTGCAATAATTAGTACCACTTTGATGACTACATGAAAATTATTATTTGTCACAAAATACAGACACATTTCAAGAGGCTATCCACACAAAATCACCGAAACGGTCGCGTTTTCGCGGCACTAAATCTGTGTGGACATGTATTTCATGTGCTTACGAGTTACACGATTCGATAGAGCCGACTGATAAAATGTGTTCAGACTGAGAATATGTTCCAGTCTGGAAGGTGAATATATCAACACAACAAAACAAAACACCAGGTAGAAACGAGAGTGAGAGAGAGAGAGCGAGCGAGCAAAAAAAGATACCATGTAGTAAGAATATGTGACGCAAACTGCGTGAGCACATTGATATCGCGACAGCGCGACAACACCATACAAGCAACCATATTATTGTTTTGTTTTTGCTTGTGGATGGTTTCGTTTCGTGCGAGTCTAAGTGATTCGTATATTCAATCACCTGATAGTGAACAGTCGTATATGCTAACGTTTTCTTTTGTTTTAAATTTGATTAGATAGAAAACGGTAAAGTATATCAGACACTAAATTGCAAATAGTGTAATTGAGTCGCAAAGAAATGAAAACCAGACTAAAATGAAGCCCTTTCGATATGGCTCGTTCTTTGAAAATAACATATTTTACGCTTCTGATTGATTGCATTGCGGCCACCAGGCAAAACGGTTTTTTTTAAAACAAAAGACATACGTAGCTGTACGATTGCTCCATACAATCAAAAAACAGATAAAACATGTAAATTTATGGCTTTGGCTAATTTTTTTTTTTTAATTTGAATACTTGCTCAATGAACAAAGACGTTGAACACTCAGGTCATGTATGACAAATTCAAATCATTAAACGCAAAAAATTAATGCCATATTACGCGGATTTTTATGACAAAGCGTTTTCCTTCTTCTTTCGATTGTTTAATCTACGTGGTTGTGGTTTTGGTAAATGTTTTCGCATTTTTAAAAAAAAAAGTGCCAAACTTGCACTTGAACCTTATCAACATCATACAATGACAACACATATTTTCATATACACTTACATTTTAATAGTTTTCAAACAAAAAACAAATGTTTTACGTCTACACAAATGACAGATAAACAAGTTAAATCAACTCTAATGAGAAGGAAATGATGAACATGTATTCTCAAGCATATTGTATACCTCCGATTCTACCTTAGCAATGATTGCAACAAATTAATCAGACATTTTATAAGTGAAATCATTGAAATGCTTTGACATCGTCAGATGGCAATGAAATCAGTAATTTTCATAATTTTATATGAACTATCCAAGTACTCGGGTTCCATTCTAACTGCAACTTTATTGAAAATTGTTACAAAAAACACATCTCGACAACCTTGTTGCATTAGAAAAAAACATATGCAGTAGCAATGGAGAAAATATAATGAATAATGACAGCATATTGGATAAAGTGTTTTTCATTGCATCGAAAGCGTTTTCTGTTTCTTTTTTCAATGTGTTAGCAAATCAAGTATGGTATGTGCATGCATTAAATCTAATAGTGAAACGCACGCACGCAAAATATCAAAAAAAAAAAAATGCAAACGAGAACATCACAGATTATAAAAATGATCAGTTAACGAAAATCGCAATTTCGGTCATTGCGTATGAGTTTTGAAATGGATTCGCATATTTCCACCACAAATTGAATTAGAATCAGAATTTATCAACTTAAACGCAGAGCATGCGAATGATTTTGAAATAAATTCAATTATTTGATGCAGCATATGAGTTATTTTAGAACATTCCGTTTCACTATTCTCTTTACCAATTTAGCTTTTTGTTTATCCAAACGCAAACATATTTCTGAAAATGATATCGAATGTGCTGCAGCCTATTTGAAGATTTCTTTAAAGAAAAATTTTGGAATAGTTCAATTGAATCCTGAATCTACGCTTCGACAAAATCGCTTTTATGGAAAACAAATAAAAAAAGTGAAAATATTGAAATCGTCCATCACCATTAATAACAACAAAAGCAATAGTAAAATGATGATGTTAATTGACTCACCGGATGACAATGCTTGATGTAATGAAACTTCCAACTTATAAATGGTTGTGCTTAATTCGCAATGGAACAATAAAAAAAATTTCAAATCTGAAAACGTACGTACATTTTATGAAAAACGCCGTAAATTAGTCTATTCGTATTGCAACCAAAGCAGACAAAATATGCTTAAAATGAAACATTTCGTTATGCAAATGTGATGAAAATGTGTACTGTACTTACATTCCAAATTCTTATAAATTTGTCCAACGCACACATTGTCCAGTGTGCCACCCAGCATAGATGCAAGCAGATCTTCAATGAATTCCCGTACGCGAACTCGTTGTTGAAGTGGAATTGGTGATGTTTCGTCTATTTGATTTCATTAAAAGTTTGTGAATGAATCTTGGAATTCCATTTGCGTATTTTGTAATTTCATAATTTCATTTTATCGACTGAATATTACCGTTTAACTTCAACATAACATCATCTTCCAGTGTTGCATCGATTTCATTTATTGGCGGTATATTTTTAACATGAGCATCAATTGATTTTGCATCAAATCGTTGGTTCAGTTGGTCAAAAATCCAGTCATATGCTTGTACATACACAACCGAATCGAAATGATGGCAATTGCTGCATTCCCAGCAATTTTGCTCTTGCAACCAAATTGAACATTGTGGACTTTTACATGTTTGCAACAAGCAATGGCGACACGACACAATGTTTTCAATTATCGATTCGGCACGATCGGAAACAGCAATGTTGATTGGATTCTGACAAACGGAGCAACAATCAAATGGATCTGCTTGTTGAATTGAATTTCTCTGACACACGCTTCTCACTTCTGGTTGTGTTATATTGGAGTTTAAATCTATGTTGAGATTATCTGCCGACGATGACAACTTTTTTGATGTGATCTTTTTTTTGTCGGTGATTTTCTTGCTGGGGAGAGAAAAAAAATATGAAAAACAGGAAAACAACGTTTATTCATAAGGAAATCATTAAATACATTTATTCGTAGAAATGCATACGTAATGAGTTTCAACACATTGCAAATTTTTTGCTGTGACGATGCTTTTAATATTAAATTTCAAATTATTGTCGTCACCAAATCGTGTCTATATGGCTATGATAATAACGGAAACGAATGAGGCATTCCAAACAGTATTGCCGTGACATTTTGTGACCGTTTGCGGTAAATCGGCGGTTTAATTTGCTTCATGGTCAATACAACAATTATGAGCTAATGCTGACGCTAATGGCGATAACGAACCAATACATTTTCGATATCAATTCATATTAAAAATGAACCACCTGTGCTTAGCCCTGATTTAAATTTTTAAAATCAAATTTTCCCTTCATTTTTTCGCTACTTCTTTTTCATTTTTTTTACGTTCAATGCGAACGATTTTTCGACTCATTTTTATCATTGTGAATAATTGATTTTTGGTAAATATATTTATCAAAATCGATAATATTTCTTTTTATATTTGGCCGAACAAAAAAAAAATCCAACCCATTTGTGACAAAAAAAAATCTTCGCGAATATTTATGTGTTAAATGTAGAACGTTCAAAAGGAAGAGCAATGAATGAAAAAAATGTACATAAAATTCATGTCGCTCCAGAAAGAATGTATATTACATGACACGTATATTTCTATGTACCTCAGCGGCAACGCCGCTGGCTACTCATGTACAACGCATAAACAATAGTTTATTGTGAATTAAAACGATGAATGTCAATGTTAAAACTCATTCAAAATTAAGTAATTAACAATTTTAAAATCTCGGATGTTATGACTTGCCGTTTCATTAGCTAATTAACTTCTTTTTTTAATTCTTAGTCATCGCTTTGATAACATCAATATTATGTGCTGAGAATTTAATTTATACCGGAAAATTGCTTTTATGACAGGTCAATCAAAGTGGGCATCGATACCAAATACTTGCGACGGCGAAGTTGAAAAGAACCTATTTAATACACAAAGAAAAAGCGCGTCTGCAAATGTTGTGCTTTTTTTAAAACAATGATTCAGGTGTTGTAAGAAAACGACATCTTTATTCTGATCAATAAATAATTGGTTGTGATGATTGCAAAAAATTGTTAATTAACTCGCAATAGCAATTGGGCCGCATAAAATTTGTCTCACAAGCATCAACAATCATCTGAATTTATGCCAACCAAAATGAATTAATGACTTTATGATGAATGAATGTAAGTAATTGACGAATTTGATGTCTCTGAGTCTATTGGATGAATCAATTTGAGTCTCTCATATCATAACAAATGAAATCACCGACTGCTAATTCGGATATCATGATTTTATTGTATAAAATGTATTCAAGCCATAAAATTTACATCACATTAAATACTACATTGGAGATCCGGCTGTCATTCAATGTTGAACAAAATACGACGTATTCTAATACAAATTCGATCCAGGGGGTCAACAAATCGCTAAAATTTTTGAGAAATTTGCGTAACTCAAAATTAAAAATTAAATGATCGACAACGTTCATTTCGCTGTAAGAGTGTCCCCTACTATTTGACGTTAAATCTTTTTTATGCATAAATAAATTGATGGAATTTCATTGTACGTTTATTTATTATTTTGTTGTGGCATCAAATAGGCTTGTGTTGAATAGCTGACTCACGCAACAAACCTTTCGTATGCGTCGCAATGCACGTAGGCTACTCTCCGATTCGCAACTTGCATTCGGGTTTTCCTACCAATTACTAAGGAAAACGAAATCACATATCTTCATCGTGTGCACATGAAATCATTTAACACAATACAAAAACTGTGTTGCTACATTGCAAATTGTTTTCGTTTACATTTAATTAATGCATGTGAATGAGAAAAAAAGAGAAAAGAGGCGTAGGAAGCCCATTATTATTGGTTACATAGTGATGATCGATAAGTCTTGATAGAGTTACTGAAGTTTATGTCATATAAGCACGTTTGATGTGGACAATTGTGTATAAAATACAAAAAGACTGCACCGTATTTTTCAGGAAGAAAATCTGCGGCTGAATCGCCGAGCACAGATTTGATCGTTGTCTACAGCCATGTGAAACAGTGCATTAATATTTATTTTTTAAATAAAATGACCATAGTATGCGTTATTTGAAACTTTTCTGCGTGCGGTTCATAGACATTCCACAAAATGTACAATAAAAACGAATCAATCGAAGAAAAAAATGTTTAGTGCGATGAAATTTATGCCAAAAATTTCAAATAATTAATGAATTAAAGTCGCTGATTATTCACGAATCAATTTCGAGCTCTAAAGATTTATGCTTACTGCTTTTTTTTCATTCATTCAGTTGCTAAACGAGATTGTATGCACATATGACAATAAATTGACCGCCGATATTTCTCAAGTGTTTGTTTCGGGTTTTTTCCCTCTTCTTCTTTTACTTCTTTTTTTTTCTTCGTTTTTTTACACTTTCTGTACATTCTGTTGAGTCGACGGTTTTTAAGCTTTTTCTGTCTCTTTCGTTTGAAACATGTCGATTGTTATGTTATGTGTATTCTTATTTATTTGATATTCGCTCACATGTGTGGACACAGACACGAGACTACATGGACGCATATAGACGATAATTTAGATTTAGTCACATCACTGATATGATTGTAAATGGTTGTGGAAGTGAGAGAGTTTGAGAGCGCGTATGAGCGATTTTTTTTTGTCATTCCTGATTGTTTAACATTTGCTATTGCCATTGGCGTGTTTCGCACCATCGTGTGTGTTGAGTCAGTTGATTCATTAATTTCTTTCAAATCTCATTCACATTTTATAAGTGGTCTTAATCGGTTCGGCATTTCATATGTTATCGTATGGGTTTTCAATTTCAAAAAAAAAAAAAGTTACACATATATACAAAAATGAATCTGAAATTTCTCTACGACTTTATATGTAATTTATTTGAAGAAAAAAAATCAATTGAAATAATTTTAAATGAAGTACAATGATAAAAACAGTGACTTTTTTTTTCAAACACATAGACATTTTTGAAACATATGATTAATGATCAACGATTTAGTGGTGCACGGACTAAAGTAGTAGTAAATCATATAAAAATGTGTTCAACAAGTGTTTGTGAAATGGCCCAAAGTGTAATCCACAATTGAATTGCGTGAAAAATATGTGCACGCGTATGCAATAACAAATGATGACCCCTTTTTTGCAAACTGTTTAAATTCGAACAAAAAAAAAAAAGCACTCTAAGCATAAATACTCGATTATCAGTGTGAGTTTGACATTAGTGGCATATCATTAAAAAATGGCACAATTTCTGTTACAAACGTTACGTTTTATTGGTCCGGTGCAGTCTTTAGTGAGTGTGGTTGAGCCAAAAATAAGTGATATGGCCTCAAATCGACATAATAACAACATATTCCATCATCATCAGCAAAATAGCAATTTTATACTAACATATTCACAATACACGAATTTGGCGATTTGCATTTTTCTATTCTTCATTCTGGCAATTGAAGTGATTTTTGTGAAAATTGTCACCGCCATCAATTTGGTCGAATCAACAACGTCAAACATCGAACACGATATGGATTTATTGAATAACAATTCAATCGTTGGAAATAATTTTAACTATATGAACAATAATTTGAATAACGGAATCAGCAATGTTACATATCCAATGCATCAACGTCAATAGCACCGAGAATGAAGACGCCGTAAAAATTGTTGCATTGAAATGGCAACATTTTGATCGCTAAATGTGTGAATTGGCGGCGATTGTCTAGCGGCTAAATTATGGAGCAAGTTTTTTTTCACTCTCTCTTTCCATATCAGTCCATTTTTTGTAAATAACTATAGTTAAATGAATAAGCTAATACATTAATATGCAAATTTGTTGCCATATCTCATTATAATTGTCTGACACCATTCTATTCAGTATTTTAGATTTGATTATAATCTTACAGTTGATGCAATCTATTAAGGAGAGTCTGTCTTTTGTTTTGCCAATTTTATGCACAAAATATGACTCCAAAAGATTTACCCAATAGATTGCAAGGGATTTCAATTGAATTTTTTTTTTGTGAAAATATTCTTCAAATACAGAAACTGAATATTAACCGGCAGAATCATTCAATGACTATTAGATCGCTTTCAACACGTATAATTCAGAATAAACTATTGAAGATTTTATTGATACGCATTTAAGTACAAATATTATATTAATATACATACAGATTCTTTTTTTTTTTCGATAAATTTTCAAGCAAAATTAAATAGAGGAATGCTCATGCATGCTATTGAAACAACTTTAATGAGGTTATAATACATATGCCTGCTGGTCGCAACTCAAATATTGATTTGTAAAGCACTCATAAAGCACTCATTAGTTGTAGTTCTTATTCTTTTAGTCATCATTTGTTTTCATTTAAATTATTTTAATGTAGAAGATGTTAAGAAATAATGTCTCGTCACTACCTTTTTTTACAATGGCATTCCAAATGAATAAATAAATAAAATGTACCAAATTATCGACACGAAAACCTATTTTTCTTTTAATTACTTTCGATTAAATTGGGAATTAGGTCTGTACTATTTAACTTTAGTGTAATAGACGGAAAGATACATCAATTTTCAATGAGAAATGATCAAAAAAAATTCCTGCCATCTAAGTATATTGTTGCTCTTCTGCTAAAAATTTTTGCGTCTTTTCCATAATTTTAAAAGATATGAGCACATTCTTTACGCTGGATGTTATGGTAAGTTTCATTACTTTTGCGTCTATTACGCACATTGTTTAGATAATCTTTGACTTGACGAGGAAAACAATTCATGAGAAACGAGAAATATTAATTGTAATGATGATATGGAAATGTCGTAGTTGCGTCGAACTCTTTTCAAGAGTGCGAAACAAAACAACTTGAAAATCATGAGACACTCCTATTTCGAATCTTCTACAT